GCTGACCACCTGAACGTGAGTTTGATGAGACCAGTAAACTCCAGCAAGCTAGTCTGCCCTGTGAACACAGCTTTCGTCGTCGGGCGCACAGGTTATCAAGGGCTTCTGTGACAAGGCCGATGGCAAGGATAAGCTTACGGGACTTATCCAGGTGAACAGCTAGCTCACCCGACACCATCGCCACTGCCAGCTGCGTTTCCCTTAGCATTTTCTCCCCAAATGCGCAGTATGCCTGCATGTTCCTTTCTGCTGGCGAGCCCGGTAACCTTAAGAAGGTTCAGGCGTCCGTGACGGCGGCGCGGAAGGTCTTCCGCATCATGCGGGTGCGTAAAGCGCGCTTTGGGAGAGGACGTTTTGGCGCCAGAACTAAAGCAGTTTCTTTTCGTATGTAGCCTCTGGAGCTCATGAGTCCTCTGCTCATCAGCCCGGGCTTCTCAGGCAAGCAGCCAATGCTTCTCGAGGCCATCAACAAGGTAAGCTCGTTCCCTTCAACGGAACACCTCGTCGGACAGAGGTTGGCAAAGTTCATTGAACAATTTTATTAGCGGGTAGTTGTATTACCCTTGCCACCCACTACACGGCCCCTACCTTCGCCGTAAACAGCCACATGATAGTGTTGACGATTAGACTCGTGACAAGCCTAGGAAAGCCCCCTGAAGAGGGCAAAATGAGCGGGGTGTGATATGGGCGGGGTGCGGGATGTATTCCCGTCACTATGGGCATGCCATGCTGCATTGGGGTATAGTTCAAATGTCGCCAGCTAGCCCCCCTAGCACATGTGCGTAATGGCAGAACAGCTCTTGCTTTTTGGGACACGACCCACATGCGTACACGTCCAAATGTGTCAGTATACCTGGTCATTACGACGCACTCGTCGATGCCTAACACCGATCACATTCGTGGCCCGCGGTACGCAGGTCAAGACCGTGCTGATGGCTGTGTACTTCGGCGCGGACCACGTCGTCTGGGCCCACCAGATTGGCCTTATCTCGGACAAGAAGATCGGCGAACGGTAAGTGATCTGTTACCCTGAGGGTGGCTGAAGCGTGCGACGTGTAAGGCATGTGTTTAGCACGTCGTGAACTTATCTGGAGCTCGTTGCACATACATGCAGGTACCAGAAGCTGTCCTTGTGGACCTGGGCCCTTGGGTCCGTGTGCTCGGTGGCCGCGGAGAGCTGGCAGATTGCGATGCAGAGCGTTGTGCGCAAGGAGGGCGAGAGCGACGCGGACTACGAGAAGCGCGTTGAGGCCGTGAAGAACGACATCAACAACCGCTTGTTCATCATCCTGCACTCGGTCATCCAGGTGGGTCAGTTGTGGTATAAGCCAGTGCACCTGGAGATCTGGACGCTAGGCACAGACGTTCCTCCGGCATGGGCATGAGCTAGGTACCGGTAGTAGTATCGTGAGACCTTGACATATGGTAACATGCCGCCCCGCCTTTTCGCACCAATGCCCGCAGGCTGCCCTGGCGGCCGGCCTGCTGCAAGTCCTGCCCTTCAAGCCGCGCACCGTTGGCTTCCTGGGCGTTGTGGCGTCGGCCATGAACTGCTACATGCTTCTGCCGGCGTACCCCAAGCCGGCGCCCAAGGCGAAGGAGCAGTAAATGCATCATGTTGCCGGTCACCCTGGGGGACTTGGTGGTAGCAGCTGACACGAGCATCCATGCTCGTACCTCGTAGCATGCTTGCACGTGGCGGGCAGCAGGAGGGCTGACAGTTATGCTTATGGAACTCGAGCGCCACTAGGCCTTTTAGGCGTGCGGCTGTGCTGCCGATAGGGCAGGGGCCGACCTATGGGGTCTGTGGTCCTGGGCCTGCGAGTCCAGGTCCTTCCCGTAAAACCACCGCATTGTACATTGCGGTTATGATCACCTTGCAGGGATGCATGCTGGGAAATGCCGTGTATACACGGCGTTTTCGTATACTTTCTCTATTAGTTACGTATTTTTGGCCAAGCCATACAACGTATGGATTGGCCTGTCCAAGTGGGGTCATGCAAGCTCGTGTTGAAACGCATTCATTTAGGCGATCTGCGTCGTATAGGACAGATGCGTACCGTGTCTGGCTATGAAGCGTTCAACAATGCTCGAGGACATGTGTTCAATGTATCAACAAGTTCAATGTAAGCAAGCCCGAAATGATAGATGCGTTGCAGCCTATATCCGCTCTGTCCGTATCGCCGCTGTAACTAAGCTAATTGCGAATCTCTTTTGCTTTCCAATTGAGTAATCTAGCAGGGACAATGCAGATGAACCATTAAATAGGCAGCAGCAACGTGTCCCACTAGCACTAAACAATGGCGAAGCAGCCGAACGTGTTAAGCGCAATGCTGCGATGGTTTTCTGTTTGGTTTCGTCGAGCGCTTCAACTACTGCTAATCGTGCTGGGGAAAGTGCCGGAGCACGTCGCCTTTGTCATGGATGGCAACCGTCGCTACGCTGAGCGGCAACACGTCGACAAGGCGACTGGTCACACCCATGGCTATGGGAAGGTATATTTTTATGTGCTTAACGTAAGCAGGTCAACAATCGGCGAGTATGACTACGGTTCCCCTGCAGATGGTAGACGTCATTCACTGGTGCATGGAGCTTGGCGTAAAGCACATCACCGTCTATGCGTTTAGTATTGACAACTTCAAGCGTGCCCCCGAAGAGGTGGCGTCGCTTATGCGTCTTGCGGAGGAGAAGTACATAGAGCTGGCTCAGGTGCGCGTTTGCCAGGGGTCCCTTCTGCGCGCCTTGCTATGGGCATGTGGCGGGCGTACAATGGCGTAGTTGGAGAACGCGGCGAAGTGGAATCACCGTGCTGCACGCAGGGCAACATCCCATCCCATCTCAGCCCCACAGATGGCATGGGCTTGTATCAGACATGACAGACATACGCCCATGCGCAGTGCACCTTATGCTTGCAAATCCTTACAGATCTACCCACACCCCGAGCGGTCATCCACTGTCTGCATATACTGCCTTGCTACATGTTGCCACGGCGTGCAGGTCAATGGGCTGGCGGAGCGTGAGGGCATCCGCATGCGCATCGTGGGGGACCTGGAGCTGCCGCCACCGGGGGTGCAGGGTGCGGCGGCGCGGCTCATGCGCGGCACGGCGTCGTTGGGCAGGCAGCGCGCAACCCTTAACGTGTGCTTCTCATACACGTAAGCAAGCGGGGGTGTGCCAGGACTGTGGGAGGGCGAGCTGTGGGTGAGGTCAGGAGGCATACAATCCTGTCCTCGGCCGTCATATCCCAGCAATATCCCATCTACCGAAAACCGTCCCCACTACCTCCGCTCTCCCCTGCATTGTATCCCGCAGGTCCAGTGAGGAAACCGTGGCCGCCGTCCACGAGCTCCAATCTGCCGTACGCGGCGCTCAGCTGTTGCCCGCCGACGTGCGCCCCGAAACCCTGCATGCCGCCCTGCGTACCGGCCCGCACAGCCCCCCAGTCGACTTGCTGATCCGCACCTCCGGGGAGACGCGACTCTCCGACTTCCTGTTGTGGCAGGCCTCTCATGCGCACCTTTGCTACCTGCCCGTCATGTGGCCGGATATGTCGTACTTGGATTTTGCCCGTTGCGTGTTGTCGTACCAGCGGCATGCGTCTGCGCTGGCGGGGCTGCGACGGAGAGCTGCGGAGCGGCTGGCGGGTACGTCAGTGGCTTCGACAGCAGCGGCGAAGGCAGTGGTTGAGGAACAGGAGGATGCGCAGCAGCCAATTGGGTCTGCGGAACACCTGTTAGGCCGTAGAGCGAATCGCGAAGCGGAGTGGGATAGGAAGCAGGTTTCGGAGCCGCATACCGGCCATGCGGCCAGGGGGAAGTCCGGAGCTGTGGCGGAGGCGCGGGAGTCTGCTACGGCTGGATCCCCGGTGGCAGGATCCAGCGAGAGTACGGCAGCCTGGTGGTGGTGGGGCCAGCGGGGAGGTGTACGACACCGCCATGCTGGCGGGAGCCGCGGGAGGGAGCATGCGGGGGGCCGGCCGCTCGCTCCTTGCGACACGGAGGCAAGCTGCAGCGACGGCAACCGCTGCAAGGCGGCCCTACGTCAGCCTGGCGGGGCCGGGGGGCTGCTGGGGCTGTACCGCAGCCTGGTTGCGTGGATGGGAGCGGATGTGGGGCTGGGGCTGTGGAGCACTGCTGCAGGTCTTCCCAGGGCAGTCAGCAGCATCTGGGCTTTGCAAGCCGGGCGGTTGTGGCGGTGGGGCGGCAGAGGGGCGGTGGGACGGGGTGCGGATGGTGCGCGCGGGCGGTTGTGGCGGTTGTGGCGGTGGGGCGTCAAGGGCGCGGGCTTGGAAGAGGATGCGGGTTATGGCGGTGTTGGCGGCGAGGGCGGTGGCGACATGGGACGAGAGCTTCGGCTGCTGCGGTTCTTTGAGAGGCAGGAGGCGGCACGGGCAGCCTGGATTGAGGCACATGCGGGCCTGTAAGCTAGAAGGCTGTGCAGGGGGCCGAGGTGTGTGGTTGAACGCATGAGGTGTTGAGGATGGCTACTACGGGACGTGACTGCTGAGGCGTTACTTCGAGCCTGCAGCAACCCCCGATGCAGGGATGGAGTACAGGGGCCTGCACTGGTGCTATTGCAGGGACATACGGCGCTAGTACCCATTCCTGGATTGTATCATGCATGCACGGTATCTCCCTCCGTTGACTCAAATGTGATTATGGTACCACACCAGCACGATATCGCACGAGTAGTCGACCATTGTCGCATTGGACTAAACCATGACTTGCGGGGACCGAGCTGCTAGGTCGAATGATCCGGGCGGTAGCGTTGCACTGGCCGTTAACCAGAGAGCTAAGCGCCTGAGCAGGGTGTGGGGACGACGGTCGAAGGAGGAAATAAAAAGAAAATTAGAAGTTGAAGCAGGACCTTGGGAACACCAAAGAAGCGCAAGGAAGCATCCGCATGCTAGGCTTTCAACGGCGTAACGTGCCCCGCTGTCGGCTTCGGAGCTTGCTGCCACCACGTGGCACTCCACGTCTCCAGGTAGCAGAAAATATAGACGCTTCACTTGCAATCCATTTCCTTGTGGCTGTCTGCACCGGTATTCTGCAAGCTAAGCACTGCCAGCTCTATTAAAATAGGACAGCTTTCTGACTCAGCGTCCAGTTATTTGCCAAGAAACGCCAAAAGTGCAGCTTTTTTCACTTGTGCTACTGCTATACCTGTTCAGGACCTGGCAAAGACATAGTGTGCCATAGCGTGGATAGCAATGCCCCTGCTAACGTCTTGTCTAGCCCTGAGGAGCCCTAGCTGACTGAGGATATATGGCGCATCCATTCCAGCAGAGGAAGCTTCTTGTTACGGTGCGCCTTTCCTGCTCTGCGTGACGTGGGGTGACGCACTTGCGGATGGGAAAAGGTGGTGACCAACCTCAACCTCCTTACAGGTCTGCAAAGCAGAGATTGGTTGGGATCAGCCCGATGGATCTAGCCTTCAATCAGGGAGCGTAACTCTGGTCGCCGGGCCTTTTAGGTGCGGCGTTCCCGGACTACACCGTGGTCTCATCTCAAACCATCATCGGCTTCCTCCGCCGCTCACCTATGTCCTCGAAAGCCCACCGTTGTCTTCAGCTGCATCTTCTGCAATTTGCAGCTATTAGGATCTCCTAGGAAGCCAGGTTACAGCCGGTTTACAGTCGGGTACACTGGACTTTCTCCCATCCCAACGCCCTGCATCATCCCCTTCCACTGCAAACCCGCAGTGCCTGTTCCCTAGGCGTTACACCCGCAGTGCCTGTTCCCTAGGCGTTACACCCTTCCCCGCACACCTCTCACATCTCTCAGTCCCTTTCCGCTCCTTATAATCACCACCCCGGAACAACAACGCCTTCCGCCCACAGGGCCTCCACACGCAGCGTTCCCGTCATCCGATGTCAGAACCGCGACTCCACCGCTCCCGGCACATGTTGCAACACCCCCACCACCACCTTTGCCAGCGCCAACAACAGCAGCGTCTGCACGCCCATCAACGGCAGCACCATCGGCCAGCTCAGCTGGGCTCCCTCCCTGGGTGGCGAGCTGTTCGTGCTGAGTGAGGACTGTCTGCTGGTTTCGGAGCTGGTGGTGGGGGCGGAGCTGTGGGGTAACCGGGGGGGCAGGTGGAACTCGGACTCGCTGTATGCACAGGTGGGTGGGCATGGCAGCATGGCGGGGGGTGGGCGGGCGGGCCTCCATTGAGGTTTCACTACCGTTATGCTCGGTTGGATGGGTCCACGTTGGGGGCAGCTGTCCTCGTGTTCGTGTTCCTCAACGGGTCTCGTATACCTGGCATGAGCCTCCTCGTTCTCTCCCCGCGGCTCCTCCGCCTTACCCGCTGTTGCTAGCGCTACCTCTATCCTCACAACCTCACAACCTGCTCGCCTGCTATGTACGGCACCTCCTGCAGGCTGAGATCTGCCTGGATGCTGCGGGCCAGGCGCTGCTGCTGTCGGGTCGCAGCCTGGATGTGCGGCTGCCGCTCATGCAGCCGGCGGGGCAGGCGGCGGGCGGTCGCAAGGCGGCAGGGGCGGGGGGTGCGGCCGCGCCTGCGCCCCCGGTGCTGGGGGTGCTGGCCATGAGCCTGCTGCTGCAGCCCTCGGATGCGGAAGCAGGTGTGTGTGTGCGAGGTCTCGGCATTGTGGCGTGAGCGGCGCCTTCTGAGGAAAGGAAGCCCCTGAGCATGCAGGTTCAGTTCTCTCTGTCTTCTGACTCTTCTCTTTGTCCCTCCCCCTCCTCCTCACCCCACCTGCCTTCCACCTCCGCACCCCCCCCTCCGCGCCTCCCTGACTTGTGGTCTCCTATGGTTTGGTATGGTCTTTGACCCCCCTCCGCGCCTCCCTGCCGCCCCGCAGCCATCACGCGGCACCTGCCGGTGGAGCTGCTGCCGCGGCTGCTGCTGGACACCACCCGCCTGCTGCCGGGGGCGGTGGTGCGCAGTGCGGCGGGGGCGGCCTACGTGGACCCCTGCGTGGTGTTCCTCAGGTGGGAGCTGACACCCCCCCTAAACCCATGTTGGCAGCCATGATGACGCAGTGTGCGCTGACACATGTGCGCTGATATGACGCACAGGTTCCGGCTAGTGTCCGCATCAGGTCTGGGTCGCCCTCGCAAGGACTCTAAAGAGACCCGTGGGTCATCATCCCCCTGGGGCCGCGGTCACCGCAGCAGCACCAGCAGCAGCATCAGTGGTGTCCCTGCAGGCAGGAGCAGCTACCCCGGCCACAGCGGCGGCATGGGTGCCAGAGGGCACACTGGCGGCTTGCCTGGGCAGCACCTGGTGCAGGAGTTGGGAGCCAAGCTGGGCGCTAAGCTGCATGCACACATGGACCGAACCATGGGTCATGTGGGGGCGTTCATCAGCCGGTTTAAGCCGCCACATCGTGGGGACAAGGCAGAGGACAGGGAGGGGGAGAGGGAGAGGGAGGGCAGGGCGGCGGCATGTGGGGCGGGAGCGGGGGGGTGGGAGGCTGAGAGTTGCGGTTGGTGCGGGGCGGCAGACGAGGGAGGGGAGGGCTGCGGTTGCGGCAGTGCAGGCCGGGAGGCCGGGGTCGATCATGCGGCTGCGGAGGCGGTGATGTCGCTGCTGGAGTCCAACGGTTTCGCCGTTGCAGATAACCGCCGGCTCGCCAACTACTTTTGGTGCAAGGTAGGCCTCAGTGCTATGCAGGAGGTATCTGCCATACGGCATGTACGCCTATGCTTCAAAAGCCAGAAAAGGCGACATGGGCACGTGACTGTTTCTCCTGGAAAGAAAGTCGCAGTCCCGTGGAGCCAGCCAGACGTATGCTGCTATACCGACATCCAGGCTCTCCTCCTTCCCAACCCTCAACTGCCTGTCCCGGTGCACTGCCCATCTGCACCGCACTGCATGCAGGTGTCGTACGAGGGACAGTACCACACCAGCCGTCTAGTGGGCGTGTCGGGCGGGCTGGTGCGCTGGGATGAGACGTTCGTGATCGCCGCACTGCGACCCGTACGACCCGCGCCGCTGGAGATCGAGCTGTACGGCAGCAACGACAGCAAGTAAGGAAGGGCCTTGCCTTCCTCACTACTTTGAACAGAAGAGTGTGTGCACTATGACGTGAGCTGGGGCACACTCTCGTGTGTTAAAATAACTCTCGTGTGTATGTTCAAAGACGTGCGGAAGTTTTTAGTTCGCACTCTTGCCAGGCCGCCGTATTGTACTTTGCCGCATGAATCCTTTCCCACCCACCCGCCCACTCACTCTTGTCTCATCATCATGCGTCTGCGCCGCCTCCGCTGCCGCTGCCGTGTCCTCCTGGCTGCCGCCCCAGGTCCCGCGGCAAGGTGGTGTGCTCGCTGTCCGTGCCGCTGTGCGACCTGGTGGAGCTAGCGCACCAGCAGCACCTCGCACAACTGCAGCGACATCACCACAACCACCAACATCCTAACCACCACCAGCACCTTGATCGTCACGTCCCGCGCCACCTGCCGGAGTCGGTGCCAGGCCCGCAGCTGCCGCAGCCGCAGCCACTGCAACAGCAGCAGCAACCGTCTGATGCGGCACAACCAGGACAGGGGCAGGGGCATCAGGCACAGGCCCCGGCAGGGCGTGGAGGTACCCTGGGCGGCGGTACGGCAGCAGCCGCGGCATCCCGCTTGCTGGGTGCGCTTAAGTCGCCTTTCACAGCCGCCCTCGGCACCGGGGCAGTACCCGCTGCTGCTGCTGCTGCCGCCACGGCCTCCTCGGGTGTGGCTGCTGCAGCTGTGTTTGGACCGCCGCCGCCTCCGTCAATCCCGCCGTACAATCCGGATACCTGGCCTCGTGGAAAGGTCGTAGTCACGGCACGCATGGGCGGCCAGGGCGGAGGTCATTCCTCCACAGTAGCGACGTCAGTAACAGTGACCCATGGGTCTCTGCCGACGTCTAGTGGGCTTGCTGCGGTTGCTCTTGGCGGTGGCGGGTGCGGAGCCCAGGCTGGTCACACAGCAGCTGCGGCTGGTCACGCAGCGGCGCGGGAGTGTCGTTTCGAACTTGAAGTTGAGGTGGTGGATGCCGACCCACGGGCCGCTGCAAACGCCACACAATTGCTTCCATGGGCACCTCGAGATGCTCACCCGCCCTCCTCTTCTTCAGGCTCCTCCTCTTCCCAACGGCACCCCCACCACCACCATCAACAACAACAGCAGCAACACACATCGCTACCGTTCTTGCCTTCGCCGCTACAACAGCAGCAGCAGCAGCAGCAGCAGCAGCAGCAGCTAACACTGACGGAGCCCGGCAGCAGCACGGGTGTGACAGTGACACGTCAGGGCTCCCTGGACAGCTTCACAACGGCTGCGGTGGAGGGTGGCGATGGTAGTGATGGCAGCAGCAGCGGTAGCGGCGACAGTGACGATGACAGCCGGCCCGAGAGCCCTCCCAGGAGTCCTGTTGGGGGCAGCAGCGGCGGCAGTGGCGAGGGTGGTGGGCGCAGCGGTGGCGGTGTGGAGGGTGTGCGGAGTCCGGAAGAGGGAGGCAGCGCCCCGGGCGGGATCCTCAGGTACAGGGGTGGGCATGGGTGCATGGGTGCTTGGTTGGCCATAATGCGCGGTGTGGTTGAGCACCTGTAAGCACATGTCAGTGCTACTTGGGGAGCCTTTCTTTTACTTCCCTGGTCTGCTACGGTAGCTTACGTTTTGTAGACTCATGTAGTTCTCCAATCCCCTTAACTGTTGTGTTTTGCACCCTTTCCCTCCTTGTGCGACCCGCCATCTCCGCAGCCTGGGTGCCAGCGACGTCCCTCACCCCCCCGGACCCAGCGACGCTCCCCAGCCCCCCACATCCACCTCCTCACATCAGCAGCCTGTGCAGCTCACCCGACAGCCCTCCCCTCCGCTACCCGGCGAGGAGGACTGCTGGCTGCCGCCACACCCCAACAAGCAACCCGGCGGCGGCGGCGCGGCGCCGACCCGTACACCTGCCGTACGACATGACGGCGCGCTGGCGGCGGCGACGCCGACGCCAGGTCCCGGCCTCTGCTCCGCCGCCGCCCTCGCCGCTAGCGCCTGCGCCACGCTGTCCCTCGTTTGCCATGACCTATCCCTGGAACTTCCGCCGCCGCCGGAGGCGCCTAGCGGCGGAGGCGGAGGCGGTGGCGGCGGCGGGCTCAGCGGCATTGGCGGCGGCGGCGGCGGGCCGCAAGCGCAGTACTCTGCCGCCGTCAGCTCGCTGGTGCAGGGGGACTACTACCTGGCACTCCGCTGCGGTAGCGTGTGGGTGACATCCCACAGCATGAGGGTGGTGGGGGCGGGCGGCGGAGGAGGCGCCGCCGCCACGCCGGCGGCGGGCTTTGGCGGCAGCGTGCCGCGCCTGGCGCCGCACCTGGGTCTGATCGCGCCGCTTCTGAAGCCCTCGACTGTGGTCAGCATGGGGCTGTTCCGGCGGACGGATACCGTGGCGGGGAAGAAGGTAGGGAGCGGACCAGGGGAATGGACGCCAAGAACCGAAGCGTTCCCATACCGGTAGCACCCCTCCCTACCCCGGTTCACCTCCTTACCCCTGCCCCTGCTTCCCTGCCCTATGCCTCCCCCACCCCCCAGGTCCTCAACGTTCGCGCCATGATCGGCATGATGGCCTCGGAGCAGCTGCTGGGCAAACTGCGGCTGCGGGCGTCCAGCCTGGTGCCGGGGCGGCCGGTGACGGTGTGCCTGCCGCTCAAGGGTGAGGGATGAGGGCGCATGAGGGAGCAGGCGCGGGGTGCTGTGGAAGAAGCCGTCATGGATTGGGAAATTAGGATGTGTGAGCAAACAAGGCGTGTGGTCTTGTCTCAAGCACTAGCAGCACGTGCTTACCCCCGCCTCACCCCGGCATCTCCCCCACTCCCGGTGTATGTCCCCCTCACCACACCCGCAGCCGAGCGGTCCGCCCCCCGCCCCTGTGCCACGGTGGCCTGGTGCCGGCTGACACTGCTGCTGAGCCCCGGGCCGCGGGGGCTGGGCGGACTGCTGGGGGCGTACGCGGAGCCGCCCACCTACCCACCCGTGGCGATGCTACAGGTGCGGGGTGCGAGGGGGGACTGATGGGGCCTGAGGGTTAGGTAAACTGAGCCGCGGAAACACTAACTATGGCCTGGGGGTGGTGAGGGGATGGGTGCTGGATGACCGCAGAGTCTCTTGGGGACCAGTAGGGCCCATTTCCAAATGACTGCGGAACTTGTCGTTATTGTCTGCTCAAAGGCAACTAGCTGGCGGTCCCCCTGTCCCTGCTCCTGCTCCTCCCTCGGCCCCACAACGTCCTCCGCACCCCGGCCCCCCCCCAGGCTGGCGCAGTGGCGGGCGGCGCTCTGAGCCCCACCCTGCCGCGGCTGGACCCCGCCAAGCAGGTGGATGCGGAGGCGCTCAAGCGGCGGGAGCGGCGGCTGCTGATCAGGTGGGGTCAAAGACCACCTTACCATAGGAAACCACAGGTTAGGGCAAAATATTGGGGATAGGAGACGGCAGGATGCCACTAATCAAGTGGGGTTGAAATAAGGATACTGACAAACTGATGACGAGGCATGGAGGGCGGGTAGGCGAGCGAGGAGGAGAGGGCCTGAGGCGGGGCATGTGGAAGCCAGTGAGGGGCGGATATGCAGTGGGGGGTGATGGCACGGTCTGCATGCGGCCGCTGCTTGGGAAGAGCCGCCGTGCTAGCGGCTTGGAGGCTCCAGGACCGATTGACTATCTACCAGCCTACCACCGCGTACACATACACCCCCCCGTCCGCCCCCTCCCCCCCAGGTGGGTGTCCGAGAGCAGCCCGGGGGTGTCCGCCAGCGCGGCTCGCAAGCTGGTGGAGGACGGGCGCACCGAGTTCAACGCGGGGCGCACCACACAGAACTGGCGCCGCATCGCAAGGTGGCTGGGCTGGGCTGGGCTGAGCTGGGCTAGGCTGGGGTGTACAGCCTCCACCGGAGCACGGTTATAACCCCTCACCCTCGCCCCCTCACCCCGGCCCCCCGCCCCCTCACCCCGCCCCTCGCCCCCTCATCCCCGGCCTCCCCCCCCCCCCGCCCCGCAGGTCCCTGGCCGCCACGGAGCCGCTGAAGCGCTTCTGGGACCGCGTGCAGAGCTGGCAGCAGCCGGGGCTCACCCTGGCCGTGGGCGCGGGGGAGCTGGCGCTGCTGGCGTGGCCCTCGCGGGTCATTGCCGTACTGCTGGTGGTGCTTGCCGTACACCTGCTGCGAGTGCGGGCAGCCATGTTGCCGGTGACGGAGGAGGAGGAGACGGAAGCGGAGGCGGCGGGGGGTGCTGGGGGAGGCGGTGCAGCCTGGCGTGTGGGTGCAGGCGCGGGCGGCGGTGGTGGTGGCAGTGGGGGTGCTGGCGGAGTGGAGGGCGGCATGGGGGGAGGGTGCAGGGGAGAGGTGGCAGGGGAGGGCGGGCCGCTGCGGTGGGGCGAGCCGCCTGCCATGGTGGAGGACATCGGCTCGGACCCGGAACGTAAGTACCGGTAATCGGTTGCGCAGCGTGGGCTGCCTGTACCTTGTTACCTTCAGCCGTGCCATGCAGCGGTTCTGCAGTTCTGAGTAGCGGTTCTGGGAATGATTGCGCTATACGCCTATACCAGTGTCGAGTTGTGACCCCTGCAAACTAACAACAGAAGACCTGACAAGCTGCCCATGCCCTCACACCTCCCTCTCGCTCCCGCGCCCCTTCCTCAGCCACTCTCTCCACGGGAACGGCGCCCGGCCCTCGCCCCGCCGACGGCGAGGCGCCCACCGGCAGCGCCAGCGGAGAAGCAGCGGCAGCAGCAGGCAACACCGGCCCGCTGCAGCCCGCCGCCTCCGTCGCCTCAACCGCCAGCAGCGCTGCCGTACCCATACCCCTACCCGGTACCTCGCCCTCCTCCTCCCGAAGCGCCGCCTCCGCAGCAGCAGCAGCGGCTGCCGGCTGGATCTTTGGCAGCTCACCGCCGGCAGCTGGCGGCGGCTTTGCAAGCGGCGGGGCCGGCGGCGATTGGGCGGCGGCGCAGCGGGGCACAGCATCCTCTTCCGCTGTGCCGCCTCCCGCTGCTGCTGCTGCTGCGGCCCCCGTCATCACCACCCTCGGCGGCTCCGAGGTTCCCAAGGACCCGCTGGCCGCCCTGCGGCAGCAGTACGACCAGTTGGTGTACTTTGGGTTGCGGGTGCAGAACGTGCTGGATGACCTGGCGGGCGGCATGGAGCGGCTGCAGGTGCGGGGGCGTGCGGGTGCCGGTACCCCCTTACCCCCCGTCCCCCTTACCCTTGTGAAACGGCGTGCATTCACTCCGGCTCCCCCACCCCATGCCGCCTCTTTACCCCTGTCCATGCCGCTTTCGATTTCCCCCCCTTCAGGCGGTGCTCAGCTGGCGTGACCCGGTGGCCAGCGGCTGCTGCGTGTGCGGGCTGCTGCTGGCCGCTGCGGGGCTGTGGGCGGTGGGTGTGCGGGTGCTGCTGGGGGCGCTGCTGCTGTACGACCTGCGGCCGCCGAGGTGGCGGGACCCCTGGTTGCCGCCGCCCGTGAATGCGTTCACGCACCTGCCCACGCGGGCGGACCTCATGATGTAGGGGAGCGGGCGGTGGGGGAGAACGGGAGTGGTGGGGCGTCGCAGGGTAGGCAGTGACGTTGTGTGGTGTGGATTGCAGGAGGGTGATAGTGAGGGGGGCTGTGATGGGAAAGGAGAGGGAAGGAAAGGAAGGTTGCTGGGTGGAAAAACGAAAGCATTAAGATGGTACGCCTTTAGGACAACCCTTGCGGCGGAAGGAGCTTAAGGAGGGCTTGCTCGGGTATTTGGGACTGCAAGAAGAGGGTGTGGCATTTAAGTTCGGAGAGCCCGAAATTTGTATCATAAGTTCATGACCTGTGTCCTGCAGTATTCATGTTGTTTGGTTGCCTCTCGCTTTTATCCTCTTCCCAAGATGCCGTACAGATAGGCTGTAAGATTACATGTAGCGTCGGATTGCATTGGGTGAAATGACGTTGAAATTGCTGCTGCCCTGCTGGCTTTCATCTGGTCTGGGTTGTTATGTTGGGTCTGGGCGGGTGCGCTGCTCGCGGACTGTTGCCAGGGCTCCCAGGAGCACCCAGGAAGCTATGAAGTCGGCGTCGCATTCACTGCCATGAAGCTGTTAGGGTATTGCTAGCAGGAAAGTATACTGCAGTTGGTGAGATGGCAACTGCTCGCATGCTTTTCTGGCCTGGGGTGTGTGAGGTACGGATCGGGTATGTTGTTTGCTGCCATTTGGCTAAAAAGGCATTCCTGGACACCTCACGGATTCCGGAGAGATAAGGCCCACCCATAAGTTACTCACGTATAGGTACTTCAGAGAAGGCTGCTGCGTTTCAGTTTTTGGGAAGAGAATTCTGAAGAAGTAGTCCGAGTGAAATGGAAGGGTTCAGACGCACCTAGCACAGGTTACAATAGCAGATCATCATACCAGATTAGATCTTTATAATTATACTTGCCCAAACTCGAGAGAACGAGTACACATGGTGGGCATCATGTTGCCTACGCACTCCTCCGCGATCCAGCTAGATCATGCAAGAAGGTAGAGATCTAGCCGGGTATGAAACTAGCTGAAGACCTAGTTGGATCCTATATGATCTGAATCACAGGAATTAGGAGAGCAAGGATTAGAAAACTGGGAGCAACACAGGGACACGTACAAGCCATGAACAGGTATAAGCGGATATATACGCGTACGTAACCGTCTCACAAAACATCACTCCTGCAATAAGCACTGCCGAAGCGCTCTGCGCATCCACATGTCATGGGTACCGGTAGTTAAGCACATACAGCGTCGTATAAAGGGAAGAGTCTAAAAAGTGAAAAAGCTAAATCGCGTGCATAAAACAAGATCCATACAGTGAATCGGTATTATGACTAAGGCATTAGTTCCAGCCCCCCTGCAACGTACAGTAAAACATGCCAACGTTCGCAGCTGACGTCGGCTGAAATGTGTCAGACTCTGTACCACAAAAACATGACACCCAGCTACATGAAACGTGATCCATCACCGCAAACTTACTCCTCAGACCGCACACAGCATCTCTGCAAGTCAGAAATCAAAAACCTTATAAGCAATACATAAGTCTGCCAAGATCCATGGGTAGGCCTGCTAAACAGTGATACCTCCGGGTCTACCTCCGGGCATATCAAGAACACTATATATAGATAAAGGCATATCAAGAACAGTATATACAGATAAATGAGGTTAATAACCGTAAGCCGGAATTCATTGTATTTAGCAATATGTTAGGGGGGAGATAGTAACAAGTCCACAGGCGGGGATTCAAGTAAGCAGTATCAGTCACCATTTATAAGTACGACAAACCTGCGTCATCATATTTGCGTGCAGTAATCCACAAAATCGGGAGGCACGCTAGCAACTTCGCGCATGGCACTAATCGTACGTAGTGGTAGTTGGCTGGAGCTGCTGGCTGGTGTTGGGGCATCCACGCTGTGCTACTGCTGCAAAACAAGATTGCAGGCACCTAGGTGTTATCTCGTCCACATATTGCGGCACGTCGTAGTTCACTCCACGTCCTAGCTCACTCCACGTCCTTCCAGCTTGGTCCATGGGGCTCAAGCAAGCGGGGGGAACACTGCGTGTGGGAAATGAAAGGGGAACGGGGAAGTTCAGAAAGCGCGGCGAATGAGCAAGGAGGACTGAGAGCGGCCCCAAGCAGGCAGCAGTCCAGGCACGGGCACGCGGCCGCATACTGGTGCATGTGCATGACGAACAGGCTAAATTGCTCCTAGCAAGTCGGTAGCCCTGCGCTTCCGTCATCAAGCTGCTGGCGATAAACTCACCGTTCCTTGCAAGTTCCTCGTTGCTGGCCAGGAAGCCCGTTCGGAAACGGCACACGATCACCTGCAGGGAGGAGCCCGGCGCCGAGCAACCGGAATTGTTAGGGGTTGGGAACTTGTCGCATGCGGCAGTGCGTCCATTGACGCCCTGTCGGAGCCAACCATCCAGGCACCGGCCAAGTCGCTTACATAGCGAGTGGCTGAGCTTGTAAGATTCCGGAAGGGCATGCCTAGCCCTTGCTTGCCGTGCACCGGAACAGCCTGCCCCAATGCCTTAATAGCTCATGACTACCGTAACGACTCCCCAGAGCGTTTGCTACACGGCCACTCCCTTACCCGCCCACATATTCACCACCACCACCTTATAGCCGTCCCCAAGTAAAACCCGCAGCGGCAGCTATAGGTACGGCAAGATCTCACCTTGCAGCCTCCCATGCCGGGCATGTTGGGGATGGCTTGATCCGCCAGGGCCACACCGCAACCGAATGACGTAGTGCTCCGCCACACCAGCTGTACGAAGTGCATGGTGCCACGGCCCACGTTTGTGTCGTACGGCGTACTGGTGGCAAAGTTGTACATCTTGACCTCGCGGTACCAGGAGTCTATGGCACGCTGGCATGTCGCGTCGGGCTTGGGATAGCTGAGCGGCGGAGCAGGATGGGCGGGGAAGTATCCAGAGTTAGGGAGCCAAACTTTAATGAACCATACCCGGCCTTCATGCGGAAAACTGGACCCTTGAAATGTGTTTGTCGGGGCCAGGCTACCCCCCTAAGCCCCGGGCCCGCCTCCATACCTGGTCATAGAGTACAGGCTCTCCCCTCCCACGTTGGAGTGCTGCAGCACACACTGGTTACTGCCCGCCAGCACCGCGGCGTAGGCCTGAGAGTCCGCCGCTAGTCCAGCGTCCCACTGCAGGGGCGCCGCCTGGTGCAGCGCACGGTAGGCGTTGGCGGCGTCGAGCACGGCGGATGCGTCGGGACAGGCGAGGCCTGCGTGGATGGGTGCATGGGGGATTGCATGGATGTCAGGAAAGGGAGGTTCAGGGCTGGGGCTGGGGCGCAGCTATGTAGGAGAGTGCTTGGAAGAGTAAGAGGGAGTTGGAGTTGTTTTATGTTCCCTTGCAATGCACAACGTGGCACTGCAACCGGCATCTCGGGCGCTGTTACGTTGCTATGGGCATCTTACCTGAGAAGGGGTTTGCTGGTGGCGGTGACGGAGGCGGGGGAAGGGGCGATGGCGGCGGGGAGTAAGGTGAAGGTGGGGGCGAGCGCACTGCCCGTGGGGGCGGAAAGGCAGAGCGGGACGTAGGTGGCGGTGGTGGAAGGGGTGGTGGCGGAAACGGCGGAGGCGGAGGCGGAGGAGGCGGGGACGGAGGTGGCAATGAGGGCGGTGGTGGCGGCGATGGCGGCGGAAGCGGAGGTGGCGGAGGTGGCGGCGATGGCGGCGGGTGCGAGGGGGGAGGCGGTGGCGGTGGTGGTGAAGGGGGCGGTGGGGATGGTGGTGGAGGCGGCGGAGGCGGCGGTGAGGGTGGCAAAGGCGATGGGGGCCGCGGCGAGGGTGGAGGAGGGGGTGGGGGAGGCGAAGGAGGCGCCGGGGATGGTGGTGGAGGTGGCGGAGGCGGCGGTGAGGGTGGCGGGGGTGACGGGGGAGGTGGAGAGGGCGGTGGAGGTGGTGGGAGCGGCGAAGGAGGCGAAGGGGATGGTGGCAGGAGCGGTGGAGGCGGCGGAGGGGAGGGAGGAGGAGGCGACGGGGGAGGCGGCGAAGGCGGCGGCGGTGGTGGGGGCGGCGTAGGAGGCGAGGGGGCTGGTGGCAGTGGCGGTGGAGGCGGCGGGGGCGAGGGAGGAAGAGGAGACGGGGGACGCGGCGAAGGCGTCGGAGGTGGTGGGGACGGTGAAGGAGGCGCCGGGGATGGTGGCGGGGGCGACGGGGGCGGCGGTGAGGGTGGCAGCGGCGACGGGGGACGCGGCGAGGGCGGCAGAGGCGGTGGGGACGGTGAAGGAGGCGCCGGGGATGGTGGCGGGGGCGACGGGGGCGGCGGAGGCGGTGGGGGTGGTGGCGAGGATGGCGGAGGCGGTTGGGAAGGCAACGGTGACGAACGTGGCAGCGGCGACGGCGGAGGCGACCGAGAGGAGGGAACTGGTGGAAGACTAGAGGGAGGTAAGGGCGACGGCGACGGTGGTGGCTTGGATGATGAGGGAGGAGGTGGCCGACGGACTGAAGAAGGAGGCGGCGGGCGAAGCCGTGGGGGCGGTGGTGGTGAGGGTGGGGGTGGTGAGGGTGGGGGTGGAGCAGGCGGTGGTGGTGATGGAGGCGGAGGAGTAGGCGGGGGAGGGAATGGAGGTGGAGGAGTGGGTGGGGGTGGTGAAGGCGGTGGAGGCGTGGGCGGCGGGGGAGAAGGCGGGAAAGGCGACGGTGGGGGTGGTGAGGGTGGGAAAGGTGATGGCGGTGGCAGAGACGGCGGTGCAGGTGGTGGTGGCACTGGGGCCTTTACTACTTGGAGCTCTCTGAAGCGATGGTCGCGCCGGTGCTGCAGGTATCGTCGTCCCATAATGAAACCAGCTATATCCGAAGCGGGCAGGCCGCCGCGTGCTGCCACAATATTCCCGTCTTGGGAGTCCGGATGCCTCAGAGCAAGACGCCGCCCCACTGCATACGTGAAGGTAAAAAAACCCGATTAATAAGCATCTTTTGTATAGTCTGATGCAAAGACAACAGAGCAGTGACGTCGAAGAGTAAAATGTCTGTGACCGTTACTTCCATTTCAGGCGGCCCTTACCATCACCGGCGCCCGAAGTGGCAACTCCCACGACAGCGTAGGTTGCCACAACTAACGCTATTAAACTTGAGCTTTGGCAACGATACATTGTTGGGAGATGCCTAGCTTGGTAAACCGTGCAATAATGTCGCGAAGATTATGGGCCGCGACTGGGAAAGAGCAGTACCCAGAAGCTATTAGGGCTAAACTGGATAAAATACGTTAACGTTTTCACAGAATGCAGGCCATAACTGGTTTGGCCTCTTGCTTCAGGGTTGCCGACGAGTCGCTCGGCTAGCTACTGCTATTTTTGTATTATGACGACCAACAAAGTAACCTCATTGTATCGGGCTACAGATGATATACGAAAGTACATGAAAGGCGTTACTTTACAGGGATTATGCGAATGAAGGTCGGATACGGCGGCGGGCTGTGGGCGGGCATACAGTCGGGCAGACGGGCACTTACCTCCCGCAGACTGGATGCAGGTACGGACTCATAGTTTGTATTTTTCCTTCACAACTGTTTGGGCTCAGCAGCCGAAGTGTACCGTTACCAGGATTGACCCGCGCGCCGGCTCCGGAACTCCCCGGACGATGCTACGAAAGCCTACATTACACTTGACACGTAGATCATAATGGTTTAACTGACTAGGACGACCTGTTACTGTTTGCGTGGATCTCGCTGTAAAAACGTTGCTGCAAGTCATCATGTCGCAGTTGGGTATGTTGCTCGTGGCATGTCTTCCGTAGTGCACGTGTCCTTCATATCCTCAACCTACTGACACTCTTCTCTTACAAAGCAAGGCGTAATGCTTTCAACCGTAGCAGGTTTGGTAGCTTTACGGATGGCAACTGCTTCGGCTCGACATAATGCGTAGCAAGAGAGAAGTTCGGAGTGACTGTATTTGTTTATTTGCCGTCACTATGCGCCCTCGTTAGGCAGCTATTGGTTAGGATCTCTTGTGAAATCATAACACACTTTGTTACGTTGGTACACGTCATCTCCCGTTCATTAGTACGGGACTACATACCGGTATACGGTTTACGATCCTTGCTGCCAGCACCCACCTGTACAACATGGTTAAGACCACAGCTAAACATCAAGCATATCCTCACCCCACCACTGGAGATAGGCTAACCAACAGAAAACGTAGGGCTGGGCATTCCACATGCCAAACGTCACCAAAGAACCTGATACGCAGCCCCAAACGAGACCGCAGCTTTCACCCTAACACAGATAGGGGGCCAACCTACGCACCAACCAACGAAACTTAACACCAGGCTCGCTTCTTTCAGCGAAGCCCATTGCACAGACCGGAACTACTAAACAACAAAGACGGGTAATATATCGGAAAATTGAAAGGCACGCTCCAACGTACACAGCCGTACACAAGCACCAGCCAGAGCAACGTGCACAGAAACCTGCAGGTAACCTGCCAACAAAGCCTGCCATAGTCGTCAACAGCTCAACACGCAGCAGCATGACAAAGTAAGCCAGCATTGCGGAAAGGCATTAGAGAGAAGATAAGAGCTAAGCAACGCCAAAGCTACGCCAAGAAAGCCAACAGGGAAGGGAAATCCTACATGCTAGGCAACATGCATGTGCCTCTACGGCATGCAAGCTAGCCAGGTTAGTTAGCCAATTAATCCCCAGACAAGGAATGGACGCAATGTAAGAAGGACCAGCTGTATGCTCTGGTAGGGTGGATTCAGTCAGACATCAAGTCATGTATGCTAGAGGTGCGTGGGTTGGCTTTCTTGGCAATTCCACATTTTTGCACGCCCCACCACCACGCCCTGCCTAATGCGGCCTGCTAATAGCTTAAATACGGCAACAACAACGGTATACATCTATGTATGGATCATTGGTAAAAATGAATCAAACTATATATACTTCCCATATTGCGGAGGGAGAATAGTTACTCAAGTACATACAGTGAGCAGGTCTACGCCGCTCCGCTGCCATATCATCTGACGCCGCCGCTTTCATTGTGCTGCTAGCTGCGGCAGCTCTCTCTTACTGCTACTCCCGCAACCCCGTGCTTCACAGCTCACACTTTCATCTTGCAATGAGTCACTCTCAAGATAATCCTTCGTAAGTACTTCGCACACCGTACGGCAGCATCTTCTCCTTACACCGCTCAGCTTTTGGGAGGAAACACTGCATGGCAGGCGAAAGGGAGAAGCAGAGGGGAACACACCGGATTGCAAATGTCTGTTTAGAATGTGCCCACCAGGATCGGTCGCATACATGCCAGCTCACACCTACCACACAGCATGCAGGAGCCATCCGACACGGCTGCTGCTGCCGGTAGGTTTAGAGGAGCAACGGGCTTACACTCGCAGCTATTCAATTTTGACAGCCGTGACAGGTACCTAGGCTAAAGCTCCCTCCAGGATTCACACATGCAGCGGCACTGCACCGCATGCGACCCTCCGTGCAAGGCGGCCTTCCGTGCGTGGAAACCCCGCCGAACCCACCGTTTGCGAGGAACTCCTCATTGCTCGCCAGGAAGCCCGGGCTGAAGCGGCAGACGATGACCTGCGGAGAAAGTTAGGGCACGTGCGTCATGAAGGCAACCGGCACGTGCGGGCTCCGACCGTGGCTTAGCACTTGGGGCATGCAAGGAAACGTGCCAGCCATAATCCTGGGCCCGAAAGGTTGGTGTACAGAGAAAGCGTACCTTACAGCCTCCCATGCTGGGCATGTGGTCAATAACCTCATCTGCAAGGGCAACACCGCATCCGACCGTTTTGCTGTTGCGCCACACAAGCTGCGCAAAATGCCCGACATTCTTGCTGTAGTTTGTGTCGAACGGCGTGCTGGTGTTAAAGTTGTACACCGTCTCCTCGCTGTACCAGGCGTCGATGGCGCGTTTGCATGTGGTGTCGGGCTTGGGGTAACTACACGCGATAGAGGGAGGGGTTTAGATTGGAACTCGCTTGCAAACAGCAGCCAACACATGCTGAAGGGGCCGCAGATGCGCTGGCAGCAATTGCTTCGACAAAGTGAGCCAGCCCGCACTAGAAGAATGGGAATGGGCTTAGCCGAACCATCTGTGCGCATGTTAGCCGAACCATCGGTGCTCACGGCATGGACGCATGGCGCGGGATGCTCACAGCACACAGCTATAGATCGCGTGTCAGGGGCAGGCGTGCTGAAGAGGCAGGCATGCTGGCTTGGCAAGCACGCTGCGGGGCAGGCATGCTGACACCGCGAACTAAAGTTGATCGGCCTCAAGCCAAGCTAGCCGAAGTCTGATTAGCACCCAGGCCCCCTAGCCCCCCGTCTACATACCACGTGCATGCCCCGCCTCCGTACCTGGTCATAGCGTACAGGCTCTCCCCTCCCACGTTGGAGTGCTTCAGCACACACTGGTTACTGCCCGCCAGCACCGCGGCGTAGGCCTGAGAGTCCGCCGCTAGTCCAGCGTCCCACTGCAGGGGCGCCGCCTGGTGCAGCGCACGGTAGGTGTTGGCGGCGTCGAGCACGGCGGATGCGTCGGGACAGGCGAGGCCTGCAGAATGAAGCACACACAACCTCAAGCGGTGTGTAGTAACTGAAGGGTAAAGCCTGGCAAACGAAGGCTCACCCTAGCTCAGAACCCGGCACATCCAATGCAAGGAAGCCTGACTCCTTTTCCCGCCCATGCTCAAACAAGGGCCTGTCGGCCTACGGTACCATGGGGCTTGCTTGGCTAACCATTGCTCACCTCGGACCAAGCTGGACAAGATAGCAAGCGATGGTGGGGAAGGTGGGGAGCGGGGTGGTGGAGGCGTCGGTGAGGGCGGTGGCTTTGGTGCAGCCTTGGGGGACGGACGGGGTGGCGGCGGGCGGGGTAGGGGCACGCGGACGCGGGGCGGTGGTGGTGGCGGCAGGGAGGGCGGTGGCGGCGGAGGAGGAGAAGGCGGCAAAGGAGAAGGCGGCGGCGACTTGGGTGGCGGAGAAGGCGGTGGCGACTTGGGTGGCGGAGAAGGCGGTGGCGGCGGGGATTTCTTGGGCGGTGGAGGCTTTTTGACGGCCTGCTTGAGAGGGAAAGTAGGAGAGCGGTTATGAGGTGCTAGGGAAGGTGCGGATTACGATGCCAGAGGTGACGGTTCCCTCTCCAATCACCTACCAGCAGCATTCGCCTCCCAAGGGCAACTTGCTTCTCGAGTCCTGCTGTCCCTTCGCTTGTGGGTATTTCGGTGTCGCCACCCTTTCTTATGCCCAGTTGACCACGGAGGACCCCCAGAACTATCTTGCTTGATCCTGAACACAGTAAAAGCAAGTCATGTCATTGTTCTCATATTTGACTTTCTTCACGCTGGGCATCCTGGCGTACATTTGCAAACTGGCAAGAGACTTGGTGCATCGGCTGTCCGCCGGGAGCAACGCGACCCATCTTACCATCGCCTTCTGCCGAAGCGGACGCAGGCCCCGTGAGGACATGGAGGACTAGTGCCGTTAACAGGAAGTTCTTAAATGAAGAAGCCATCGCTCCAGACTGCTTCCTGGCAACTGACACGCTTGGAGCTCAAGCGACGCGGTAGACGACCTCCACGTTTTAACACGTGCATACGCCAGCAAACGAAACTTTCTTATATATTTTATATATCTTTAAATATGTGGCGATGCAACGACGATGAAGCCTTGCTGCATGTAATCCAGCCAGTAGTTCAGCTACTTACTTTGTCACTGAAGGAGCGTTTGTAACTATTAGACAAATGAATTAAATGTCTCTACAGTTCCATCGTATATGTTTGCGACGGTTCGTGTACAGATGGGGTGAGCTGACTATTGACTACGGCTTATCCCTTAAGATGCACCTGGCACCAGAGTGATATGGGTAAGCTCGCAAAGCCTTCATAGGTCATATTATAGCTTGGTGAATGACAGCTGCAGGAACTTTGGCAGTCTTCATTGGCGTCCTGTGTTTCGTACAGAGACGCCAGTAACCGCCGATGTCAGGTGGCGAGCAAACTATGCAATTATGAAGCCAATCATCGACGATATCATGAAATTGGTTTATGGCGGCTTTTTAAGCGTATAAATAGTGAAGTCACAGAATGCAGGTAACGGTAACTACTTGTATCTTAGTTAAATTCTCTCCGGTACAGCACTGTCATCTTGCTGTTTCTTGCAACCTCCTTTTGCTCAAATTGTTATGCAACAGTCTTCCTGTCAGACGTCGACATCCTGCCCTGCCTCTGTGTTGACATCGCAATTAGTGAAGGTTAGCCCAGCCTCTACCTTCTCCTGCAAACATGTAGATATGTAGCCCAGCTGTGGCGATCCCCGTGGCAAACCTGGAGCTGTATGCACCCGGGCAGGCATGTCTCTCAGCATGTCCATGACAAACACTCGTTATTTACAAAAGCGGCTTGGAGTAACTAACTCTTATACACTATAAGTCAAAAAAATTTTAAGCATAATGCGGGGCGCAAGCAGTCCTGAAAGAGGCCGTACGTATCGCGTGGGCTTCGCAAACTGAGGAAGCAATGTCTAGTAACGTGTCTCTTCTCAGCCTAAGGCTATGTCGTAAATCGTCTTTGTGTCCTCTCAAATGATTGGCATGTTATGATTTTTATTAGCTAGCCGTCCACTAGTAGTACCCGCTATCTTGTTGAAAACGCCGGATAGCAAGCCGAACAGCATAAAACTTTACTGCTGTCCACAGCGCTCTCTGGTATTCATTAGAAGAAGTGCTTCCAATGTGTGTGAAGTAGGATGCTTACAACCTTGATATACGTGAGTATACCTCACTGGGTTTCAAGTAGAATTCATGAAAATCACCAATAGATACGTAATAGCTTTGGGTTACAGAAGGCGTGCGAGGGAAAGTCTACGCGTGCTGTAAGGAGGGAAGAACGGGCGGCTGTCGGCGATGCATTCGCCGAACAGCTCGAGCTTCGGAGGCAGCAAGCTTGTCAGGCCTAATGTTGTAGTTCCGGTGGCTTCTGGTGATGCGGATCAGGAAGCCGCGGAGGGAGGCGCATCACCCTTCGCATCCACGCGGCAGGTACCAAGCGCCGATAGCCTTTCAACTATATGCCTATAGTAGCACATGCGCGTGCATCTTGCGCGCTTCTACTAACGTTAGCGCCAACGCGGGGCTTCATGCAATTGGAACCCTTAGGGTTCGGGCACCTTCGAAGCTAGTACGTTGCCTTGGATCTCACAATCGTCGGGATTGCGGTAAATACAGGGGTATTCTGCGAATGGAAAACAGCTTCCAACGGGCGACACAGGGGAGGGCTCCTCGCCAACTGCTTTCACCTATGACGATGGGCCAGTGGAACAAAGGACAAGGAGCGATGCATCCAACTATGGCAAGCAGCAAAGCAAGCTGACGGCCCATCTCGTGGCCAAGTCGGTAAGACCAGTGACCTATGGTTCAATTCGTACCGCCCATGAGTTCGTACTGTCCAGCAACATGCCGTGCCGAACTCCTTTAATCTGGCAAGAGCCGTCCTTAAACGTGCAGAGCTCTTTCCCCTGCAGATACGTCGTCCATCACATTTAAAGACGTCTCTGTCACAACAAATTGAGGATCAGGGGTCGAATGAGGAAGCTGGGCCCTGGGGAGCATTGCAGGAGAACGCAGAGCCGCCCAGTCGTTGGGCGAGAGTCAAGCAGCGCCTGCTGCGGCTTCGACATTCGCTGCTGATCCGCCCCAGCAGTGTCAGGTACGTTGGTTGGGTGGTTGGTTGGAGGGTAGTACGGCAGAATACTACCCTGCCATGGCAACCTGCAGGGGTACTACGGCAGGAGATAAGTACTAAGCAAGACCGGAAAGGGGTTGGGTTCATAACATGGGTACAAGTAGAGCAAAGGCAGTATTGGGGCTTGGGAGGGGTGGGGGATCGGTGGGAATGGAATGGAGGATGTGTGTGTGTGTGGAGTGTTGGTTACGTTTGCAGACCAGGACTTCGCAGCCTTTGCAGTACCTTCACGGGCTTTCCACACGGGTATATACTAGACAGCCTGGTGCCTAAGCTCGTGATGTGTTAAAATAACGTGATGTGCGTGATGTGTGTGCACCACCCCTACTCCCGTCCCATGACTCCCTATCTAGGCTTGCCTTTACGGTACCCCCTGAACCCCTCCCCATCTCTATCTCCACCGTGCACATCTGTACTAACCCGCATCTTGGCCCTACTTCTACCGTACCTCAGGCTGCAGTACTGGTTCTATCTCAACGTTACCATGGCGTTGCTGAGTGGCTGGGTGATTCCCTACCATTTCGCCTTTAAGGAGGCTGGCGGTACACTCCAGTAAGTAGCGTGTTCGGATACCCTCTTGGGGCTCTGATAGGGCTGCGCAGGAGGGAAACACCCGTGTCTGGCATGTGCCTGTTAGGCCACGCACTGTCTGCTACCTACGCATTACTTCATATGGCCGCAAAACACTGACACTGACCATATCTGTGTGTGCCTTGAAACCTGCAATCCTGCATACTTAACATCAGTACTGCACTGCATGGAGATCACCTCCCACCTCACCACACCCGCCGGTTGCCGGTGCGGTCGATGACCCTAGAGGCGTCAGGCGTGCTGTGACGTGTGATGGGCGGCCTCCAGGATGCCTCCAAGGACACATGGCGTTCGTGGTGTGGACTTGCAACGCATGCCCTCGATTGCACTACAGCTGTTCAGTGTTCAGTGTACAACTGCGGCAAACCTTTGCCGACGCGTTGTCGACCTTTAGCCCCCGCCCTTGCACCCGCACAGGCCCTATACTGACTGGCTAGCATTTATTGAGTACTTCAGTACGGCAATCTTTTTTCTTGACTTCCTGGCCAAGTTTAATTTGGCGTACGTGGACCCGGAGTCGGGTGATCTCGTCACCAACCGGCCCTCCATCGCACGCAATTACGTCAAAAGGTAGGCCTCCGGTTCCTCCCAACACGAGTAAATAAGTGTAGTTGCTTCCCCTTACTAAACCTCTTTTTGATGCCTCAATTTTTTGTCCCGGCCTTCCGCAATGCGTGGTGCCTGTTATTTGCGACTCTTGTTGCCGCCCTCTCACTTCTTCGTGTCCCCTGCCATCCCTGCTTCCTTCCTTCCTCCCTGCCCTCCCTGCCGCGCTCCCCGGCGGCTCCGCCACACGTGTAACCCCTCCCGGCCACAGCTGGCAGTTTGCTATGGATTTGGCGGGCTGGTTTCCCCTGGACTGGATCTTAATAGAGTCAGCGGAGGCTCGTGGCACCGACGACCGCACACTGACGGGTCTAGCTTGGCTGAAGTTGCTACACCTGGTGAGGCCCGAAGGCGGGGCCGGAGGACGGTAGCGGCCCTAAAGAGGGGTTAATGATAGAAGGCAATCATCCCAGATAGCATTGTCCTTGCGGGGCGGTGGGGGTGGGCAAAAGGAAGGCCAAAGGCACAGTTAGAAGCGATTGTTGTGGGGTACGGGAGCTCCTAGTTCAGGCTGTGCCAGTCCAACCCTGCTTGGCCCTGCCTTCCGCTGGAAACCCTGGCCTTGCCGCCAATCACAGTAGCCAATCGTCGACCCTCCTCCAAGTCCGCCACCCATCCCTCCACGACTGAGCCCGCATCGCGCCCACCTCGCCCACACGCGTGCTTGCAAACACGCGCAACGGCTCTACCTTACACCCATGAACAATCCGATTCCTGCTCTCAGCCCCCCAGCCATACATGCCTGCCCGCCCAATCCCCAAACCGCTCTTCTCTCCTTCCCCAACCGCTTCCCCGCATGCATTCCTGCATGCACATGCAGGCGCGGCTCTACCGTGTCTTCGAGCTCTTTTCGGACCTGGACTACCGCATGGTGTTTTCCCAGGGCACGCTGATGCTTACGCGCAACTACACCTACGTCTTCTACACCACACACTGGGCCTCCTGCATGATGTACCACATCGCCCACCAGGAGGGTTTCTCACCAGAGTCCTGGGTGGGGCGCAACCGGGAGCGCTTCGTGGGGCACCCCGACTACGAAAAGTACCTGTTGTCCCTGTACCTCAGCGTCAGCGTGTTTACCGGACTGGGAGATGGGGCGCTGTTTGCATCCACGGTGGGCGAGGCGGCGTTCATGGTGATCTACCTGTGAGTGGGGGGCTGGGTTGCTGGAGGGTGTGGGAGGAGGGGGTGCGGAAGGGGCGATGAGGTGGGTATGGTAGGAGGGGGATGCTTGGGGAGGAGGGTCCAAGACCATACCAAACCATAGGAGACCATGCTTGGGGAGGAGGGGGGGGGGAAGGGGGGCGGGGGCTTTGCGAGTGTTGGGCAGCTGCGGGGGGGTGTCAAGGCGTTTGCCTCGGAGCTTTTGCGGCTTTTGCGGCCTTGTAGAAAGGCCGATGGTGTGTGCAGCTGTTGATGTGCCCGTCAAACAAGTTTGTGACCCGCGGTTAGGGCTGGCCCATCCACGTATCGCCGAAGTTTCCTCCTCACTCCTCTTACCTCCGTCGTACTTTCCCATCTTCCTTCCGTACAGCCTGTTCAACCTCTTCCTGGGCGCCTACATTTTGGGCACGGTCACCATGCTGGTGGTGAAGGGCGATGAGCGCAGCAAGCAGTTCCGCGAGCGCATGAGCAGCCTCAACGAGTTCAGCCAAACAAACGACCTGCCGGAGGTGAGCGGAGGGTACGTGTGCATGCATGCGTTTGGGCATGGCCGGCATCTACCGGTATTTGACTTCATGGGCTCCCACGGCCCCTGCGCGTTCCACTCCACCGTCCTCCAAGCAACCATCTTCCAGCTCTTCCAGCCATCCCACTTATCCCCCCTCCCTCTCCCCCCTCCCCACCCCTTCCCCCCAGCGCCTGCATTCCGCCATGCAGGAACACCTGGAGGTCACCTTCAACACCGAACAGGTGGACGACGAGCACGTGCTGGGCATCTACCCCGCCACCATCCGCCGCAAGGTGCTGCGCCACCTCTACCTGCAATCCGTCCGCAGCTGCTACCTGTTCAAGGGCTGCAAGCAGCGCTTCCTGGACGCGCTGCTCACCGCTGCTCGCGTGGAGCTGTTCATGCCGGGGGTTCAGATCATGGTTGAAGGGGACAACGTGACGGAGTTGAACATCATCGTGTCTGGAGATGTGATGGTGGCGGAAGCGGGCATCAACCTGAGTGCGGCGTTCAGCCAGTATGCGACCGAGGCCTCGGCGCATGCTGTGGGGGGTCGCACCTGGGCGAGCAGTGATGGTAGTGTGAATCGAGGCAGCGTGAGCCTGACCAAGGCGGCTAGCTTGAGCCGTTCCGCAAGTGCCCGGACGATGAGCGCAGGAAGCATGAAAGGAGGTGAGGGCTGAGGAGGAGGTGTGCGGTGTGGCTTGATGGCTTGGCTTGCAGTGGGCTGATTGGGTGATTACGGTAGGTGCTGACGCGGGCACCCGGCTGTGCGTTTGGTGTTCTGACAGGGCTTTTGGATTCGTAACGACCATGTGCGGTGGCTGCCCTGCTACCACCGCTGCTGCTCTGCGCCTGTCCAACTTCCGTTATGTTGCCTTCTGTTCTGTTAACCCCCTTCCGGTTTTCAAGAGTTTAACTTTCCCTCATGCTGTGTACCTCTTCCTTTGCTTTACTTAATATTCATTTTTCTTCCTCCTCCTATAATACCGGTACCCTTCCTCCCAATGCGCCATACCCTCCATCCCCACCGCCTCCCCGCTTTCCCAGCAGACGCGTCCATCCACAGCGCCTTCACCGAGATGGCGGCGGGCAAGCAGGTGATGAACAGGTCCAGCAGCGATGCGCTGGCGGAGGTGCCCTTCTTCACAGGTACAAGGGGAAAGCGGAAGGGGGAAGGAAAAAAACGAGATTTCGCTGAAGAAGTGTAAGAAAGGAGGAATACTAGGCTGAATGGCGAGAGGAGAATAGATACCAGGCTGTAGGTGGAGGGGAGCGAGGGCCCTCGTGTGGGTGGTTGCGTACATTGAGTACGATACATGATCAGGGTGTAGCGCACCTCGGGCTTTGCTGGATGGGGCTGGATGGGAACCCCAGGGTGTGGGATCACCACCGGGGGAGGTGGGTGCTGCATTGAGGCCGCTGAGCTCGGCGCTTGGGGTAGTGCAGCTGTGTCGTTTTGTCCTTCCTGAGCACGGCGCTGCGTTTCGTTTTCAAGGTGTCTTCCAGCCCCCCCCTCGTGGCCCTCAGCCCTTACCTAACCGTACCCGCCACCCCCCTGCACCCGCGCAGATGTGCCCTCCAACGAAACCATCGTGTCGCAGAGCGTGCTGCGCGTGCTGAGCCTCCCCAAGCACTCCTGGGAGCTGCTGATGCAGCAGTTCCCGCAGCAAACGCGGCTGGTGCTGACCAACCTGCAGAGCCTCACAGAGCTAGACATGGCGCAGGAGGTACACGAGGTGTGCGACGCCTCGGGCATGACTGAGGAGGAGCTGAAGGTCGCGTTGCAACATGTGCGGGACAAGAACGGCGCGGGGTCGCCGCTAGTCACCCGGCTAAGAGGTGGGGATGCGGTAGATTGTCGGGCTTGCGCAGGACGTGCATGGAAGGAGGAAGGAGGAGTAGGCAGGGATAGGGCAGGAAGAAAGGGGCTGTTTGTGGGGGCAGAAGACGTGCGTCTGGGCAGACGCCGGGTCTGATGATGACCCCTCTGTCCATTCCATATTCCCCAGTCCTCTGCGTTATACCTTACGTCCTTTCTTTACATGACCCTGCTTACGATACCACGCACCCCGGACCCCAAGCACCTTACATCCTCTGCCTTCCTGCCTGCGCGTCACCCGCCTTCCCCCTCCAGAGTCGCTGACTCAGTCCCAGATCGACCATGTCCTGCGGCTGGACGACGTACGTGCCGTAGTGCGAGCGCACGTGCGCAAGGTGGACCAGATCCGCACCTTTGAGTTCCTAGGCTGTGCCTCTGACGGCGACGTGGAGACGCTGCGCAACATGCTGAACCAGGGCATGAGCCCCAACTCGGCGGACTATGACGGGCGCACGGGGCTGATGCTGGCAGCCTCGGGAGGCCATGAGGTGGGTTGGGATGCGGCGGGCTGGGGCTGGGGAAGGGGTTGGGGTGGATTTGAATGGGGTGGGATGCATAGCGGTGGCGGGCGGCATGTGGCATGATGGAAGTTGCCAATATGGATACCTGACTAGCCCTGCCAGCACGCTGATCCTTTCCGCCGTCCCTCTCGCTCCCTGTGGCATGCTTTCTTCCCGATGCCAGGCTGTGGTGCGGCTGCTGCTAGACAGCGGGGCAAAGAGCGACCAACTTGAGTGAGTGTGGCTGGTGTCGGGGATGCCGGGGGTGTGCCTTGACGAGGCTTTCGAGATGCCCCGCTGATGGCTACTGAACTCTGATGGTTTTCCGCGGCTCTAGTTGCGTTCCTTTTCGTTCCGCTTCCCCCCCTCTGCTCTCATAATCTTCATCTCACCTCGCCCCACCCGCAGCGCGTTCGGCAACTCGGCCATGTGTGAGGCCGTCAAGAACTCCCACGACAATGTCATCGACCTGCTGCTCAGCTACGGCGCATCGCTGGGAATGGACGCCATGGCCGTCGCAAGTGTCATGTGTACGGCGGTGTTCGAGGGCGACCTGGTCAAGCTGCGCCGGCTGCTGCGCTCCGGTGCGCCGCCGGACGCCTGCGACTACGACCGCCGCTCAGCGCTGCACATTGCCGGCGCGGAGGGCAACCTGGCTGCGGTGAAGCTTCTGGTTGAGGAGGGCGGTGCCGACCCTAACTTTCAGGACCGCTGGGGCAACACGGCACTTGATGAGGCACGCAGAGTGGGCGCCGCACCTGTGGTAGCGTACTTGGAAGGGCTGATGGGGAACGAGCAGCTGGCTGGCTCGGGTCAGAGGTACCGGCAACAGCTGGCCACGGACTTCCTGGCAGCCTGTGGCACGGGGGATGCGGAGCGAGCGCGGTTCATCCTGCACCATGGCTCCCCTGGATGCGTGTTCTCCGGCCTGGTGCTGGCAGCGTCGAAAGGGCATAGGGTGAGTTGAGGGTGCAGCTGCTGTGGGGTGGTTGATATGGCCGCCACAGCAGGCATGGGGGCAGCTGCGGGACTGCTGAAAACATGCTGGCGTCCCCGCTAGGAAAATCATATACTGTAGCCACTAAAAGGCACCCCGCGTACCTTGGACCCTGGGTGTACTCCTGTATAACCTCACCACCACAGCTTGAAAGGCGGCGTTTACATGCTCCCCCGCCGTCCTGTTGCTGCTTCTTTTGCCCACCTTCATGACACCTCTCGTGACACAATACCCGGCCCTGCTGAAACCCCAACCTCCCCATGCCGCCCTGCCGTTTTGCCATCCTGCCCTCATGCCGCTCTCCGCAGTCTGTTGTGGACACGCTGGTAGTGTGGATGCCCGCGGACCTGCTGCTCTCCGACGGCCACGTGGCGCTTGTTGAGGCGGCACGCATGGGCCATTCCGCTGTTGTGCTGACGCTCCGCTCAGGCGGCGTGACGCTGCCCGACCCACGGGACGCGACGCTGCTGACGCACCTGCGCAACGCAGTCAATACCGTGGAGCTGCGCATCGTGGCGGCGCTGCTGGCGGCGGGGGTGGACGCGACGGGGGCGGTGAACGCGGGAGGCAGTCTGCTGCACCCGGCGGCGATGAAGGGCTCCCTGGAGCTGGTGCGGCGGGCTGGGTGCTGGATGGGGGGTGTTGGATGTTCCCCTGACTGTTTAGGTGCCTGGTCCCATAAGAGGCCCATGAACTTAACAGCCCGACTCATTTAATTGCCCTGGGGGCCTTTGCTCGTTACCGTTTTGGTCGCAGCGGCTGGCCTCTGCCTGCGCCTTGGTCACTCCCCTATAACATGAGCACCACCACCTCCTGCCCTCCTGCCGCAATCCCGCCCCGGCTGTCCTACCTCTGTGTCCATTCCCTCCTCCTGACACTTCCTGCCCCATCCTTTCCCTGCTGCACCCTCCCCTCCAGGTGCGCCGCCTAGTGGAGGACGGCTGTGTGCGGCCTGATGCTGAGGACTCCACCGGCAAGTCCGCTGCCGTGGCCGCGGAGGCCGTAAAGCAACCCCACGTGGTCGACTATCTGCGCTGGGCCGCCACCTTCATCTCCTCGCCAGCTGCCACGCAGCAGGGGCTGGTGGCAGCGGCTGCCGCACGGTTTGGAGCTCTGCCGGACTACAGCTCGCCGCACTCCGAGGCGGATGGAGGCCACAAAGGGGGAGACAGCGTGACACCGCCCAAGACACCCATGTCTGAGGGTAGGTGTGTAGTGGCAGCAGCTGTCTAGGAAGGTGGGGTGCCAGGCTTTAGGGTGCTCGGCCTTTGTTTTGTCGCTTTTGCTGTAGCTGACGATATCACAGCCCTGGAACAAAACTGAAAAAAGGACGCATTGTTCGTCATCCTCGGTAGTCTTTTGGCTTCCCTCCTGGGTTGCAACCCCCATCCCCGTGTCGCTCACACACTTTTCTTAACACACATTTCGCAGTCTTCGAGGACGATGTACCGCAGCTGATTGCCCACATGACGCCCCTGCCCGAGCCGCCTGGCATGGGCGGCCTGCACCTCCACCATGGCGGCGCCACCCACACACCCGAGCCGCTGGTCCACAACTCCTCCATGCCCAAGCTGGGCAGCATGGGCTCGCTGCCCCGGAATATTACCGGTGAGTGACCGGCAGAATTGAACATTTGAGGCAGGGGGGGTAGGAAACGCGAGGACAGACCCCATGATTCCTAGTTAAAGAGCTGATTGAGAGCATTCCAAATCTGCTTTAGGATTTCTATTGGAGTTGTATGGAAAAAGTTATCTGTGCCCAAAGGTGACTGTACGGCAGGGTGGGTGGGTGGGGTCTGGGGGTCCAGTGTTTTTTCCGAGGGCTTCCTAACTTTTTCCTGGCGTTGCCAAACTCATTATGAAGTATGTTTATACTATAAACATACTGTAAGCAGTCTATAAACGTATCTTTGCCTCTTCCTGATATGGTTTGGGCATGGCATGATGACATGACCACGCATGGGTGGTCAGAGTCATACCAAAACAGGCATGGGTAGGTGGGGGGCAGTCAGGGTGCGGGTCCGGGTGCCTCCACGTAGGGGGGAAACCACCCGCAGGTGGTCTGCCAAGCCAAGCAGAAGGGGGCCGTGAAGTTAACCATGTGACACGGCTCCCTTATGTGCTGCATCTCTGGGTGGGGTTGAGGGGAGTAGAACGGGGCAGGTCTCTCGGCAGCAGCTGCACGTTGTCTGAGCCCTGCTAATCCTTGCTGGTAATTGCTGGTCTTGACGCAGTAGTGCGTGTGTTAAAAGGCTAGTGTACAACGGTGCACCCATTGCTGTCTATAGGGTTGGATGGCGTGACCATGGCATGACTTCGGAAGTGCAGAAGCTCAACAAGTTGTATATACTGAAAGAGGACACTGAAAGGAATCCATTGGTCTTTTTTCTAGTCTTTCTTGGCGTACGGCTATATCAGAAAATAGCGTTCGAAGTTCTGTAGGGTGGGCGGGTGGGTCCGGGAGGGGTCGCCACCAAAAATTCATCATGGGGTTTACAAAAAAAATTGTACCCCCCCCCCCGTTTGAGGCCCTCAATTTTCGGGAAAGAGGATTGCCGGGATTCCCACTACCTTCCTGCTTTTGATGGCTCCGTGCCTTGCCTTCCATCCGCATGTCCTTTCACAACAAGTCCCCATGTTTATTCTCTCATAGGGTGATAGCCATGCATCTCATCCTCTTTCCTAACCTGCCCTGGCAACGCTCCTAAGCTCTGGCACCTTTCCATGTGTGCTCCTTTCACCCCAGATCATGTCCAGCATCCGCATTTGCAGCAGCTGCTGGCGGACGCCAAAGCGCATCGCCACGCCAGCCTGACCGGCTTCCTGCACAGTCACATGCCGGTTCCAGGCGAGGAGGCCAGCGGCGGCACCAGCGGCGGCACCCACCACAAGTCCAGCATCTCGGGTTACATGGGCGGAAGTGCGCACTACAACCTCTCCAGTCTGGGCCATGCTGGCAGCAGCGCGCACCACCACTTCCCCGGCGGCAGCGCTCACTTCCCCCACATGCCACAAGTGGGCCACATGGCAGGCGGCGGCAGCAACCACGGCAGCGCACGCTACATGCTACCTGCTGCCGGGGGCGGTTACTCGGGCGGCAGCGCCCGCTTCCGCCTGCCGGCTAGCACCAGCAACCTAGGCAGCGCTGCTTACCGGCTGATGAGCAACCTGGACGTGGGCGGTAGACCTGCTGCTGTGGCCGCTGCTGGCAGCGGTGGCTCGATGCAGCACATGACGCACCCGCGCGTTCCTTCCAACCTAAACCCTAAAACACATCAAGAGACGGAGCGTGTTGTGACGGCAGGGGATGCCGCGGGCGCGGATGACGATCCGGCTCCACCGCCGCCGCCGCTACAGGCAGCAGCGGTGGCGGCGCCGCCGGCACGGACGGGCAGCGGCACGCCACCTCGCAAGCAGGGAAGTGACGTGGCACTGGCGGCGCATGCAGCACCGAAGCTGCAGGAGCCGCAGCCACAACCACAGCCGCAGCAGCGGTTCAATGGCGATGGGAACTCTCCGCAACGGTCGTCAGCTGCGGCCGCCGGGATGGTGGGAGACGGCAGCTCGCTATCCAATGTGCCCAATGGAGGTCGGGTTGCCGCTGTCCCCACGGTGCCACCTACTGACGGACAACAGCAACAGCAAACCGGCAGTGTTGCCAGCGGTGCCGCTGTGTTGAACCCCGCTGCCGCAAGCAGTAGCGGCGTCTACAGCAGCAACAACAACAATAATCCCAGCAACAATCCCAGTAACAATCCCAGCCGCAGCCACCGCGGTGCTCCTGAGACGAAGCCGAATGCCGCGTTGACTGATGACGTGGACGCACTGGAATCCTACCTGTCAATGACACCGCGGCCATTGCCCGATCCCACGGAACCTTCGCAAACCATGGGCGGGGGCGGCACAAAGGGCGGGAGCACCTCAAGTGCTGCTGCTGCGGCAGGTCACGTTCAACAAGCAATTAGCAATCCTCCTACTGGCAGAGCTAGGGACCGACAGTCCCGAACCAGCCTTGAAAGCGATCTTATTGCCCTGTCCCCTTATGCGAAGCGGTAAGCGTGTCGGTGAGAAGCGTTCTGTTGGTTTTTATAAAAAAAAATTCTTCCAAACCTACTTGTTGGGAGTTGCTAGGTCCTTAGGGTCTGTTATTCACGGGAGTCTATAGGGAGCAGGCTTGGCTGGGTAAGATGGCTGTACTAGCGACAATAGATGGTGGTTCGTCATATCATTTCATGGCGGCGGCGGTGATGGTCAAGATGACGTAATCTTCACTGGTGCTATTTCAGATCTATACTCTCAGCGGCAGGTCACTCCGCAGCTTGCTTCTAGCTGTCGGCAGGCTTGGCAAGCTCGAATTCAGTCACCTCGATTGGTTGTGACCATTTATCGTTTTCGCTTGTGGAGCTGGGGCAATGTCTAGGCCGGCTACCACTGCGCTATTGCCTGCGCTTTCAAGGCCACCATGAGATGAAGAAATGGGGTTTGCTGGACTCTTTCGCAAATCCGAAGTGCACGCACGCCCCGTGTTGCTAATAACTCTAATGCCGTTGAAGGGAGGTTCGTTAGAGAAGGAAGCAAGGACATGCTGTGATGCGTTTGCGGTGGGTGGCGAGCACTGTAAGAACTGTTGCTGTCGCCCTTTGCATGAGTGACTCGGTGAGGAGGTCTGGTGCTGGGTACCGGTATTGAATGCGTGGGAGCATCAGTGTTTGGCCGGGTGTCAACATGTATGCGGCGCTGTGATCAGTAGGCGTCTACGCATGACCTATGTGTTTACGGTGCCGTGTGGGCTGGGCAACACATGTGTGTGGTATGTCCCATCCAACACGCGGTGTATGTTAATCACAAACTGGCCGCGGTGTGCGTCTAAGTGAATTGTGACGTCTTACACTTAATGTGTGCAATGACGTGCAGGTAGCTAAATGCTGGCAACAGTGTCTACCTGTGCTCGTAAGGTTGAGTGATGACGAGGTTTGTACTACAACCGTGCCTGCCTGCTCTTCTTGTTGTCGTTTCGATATTGTTGCAAGGATTAGCGATGTAAGTTAACGGCGTATGCGACTGAAAACTCAATTCTTGCATGTTCTTGTATGTGCGGAAAGATACACAACATGACGGGAGGCTGTGATGTTTTCGTCAGGTTTTGTCCGCTATCTGTCGCAGTTTTGCCGTAGGGAGTCAAGCAATGAACCAAGGGTTCTGTTCTGGACTATGCCGTAACGCGATTAATTGTCTGTGGTCTGTGGCACCAAGCGTGTCTTGCTTTGCATTGCCTTGGGAGATCAACACTTGGCAATCTCTGCGTGGTCTGTGATTAGATGTGGTTTAGGGTTTTGCCGTGCAATGCAGCTGTGTGGAAAGCTGTACGGAGGGCTAGATCCCCGCGAGCATCTTTCTTTTTCTCCTGTTAGTTTTCCTTGGGAAAGTGTGCTCATGCCTTCGGCATATATACGACGATTTGTAGCCAAAGATAACTTCCAGGTACAATTGCGCATGGGACTTTTGTTAGCATGCCCATTACGCCCTTCTCAGTAACTGTGGCGGGACAGTTGTAAGGACGCTTAGGCGGTAATTGGATTATTAGGTTTGTTACTTAGTGCTGGTAGGCTGGTACGTTTTAACTTGTAAGACCACCTAAACCATGCACGCTTCAACAGCGCCTTGGCGTGTCCCAGCAGTGCCTGCTGGATAATGCGTAAACCCCATTCTCACGTCTTTCAATGCCAAAGCCCTCGGATGCCTGCGGGTCGCTTACGTAATTGCGATACAGACTCTACGAGTGCCGCTGCCCTGGCAAACCAGATCCCATAAGGTTCGTACACTATTAGGTATTAAAATGCTGTCATACGACACCGCTGTGTATTTCTGAAGTGATTGCAGGTACACAAGTTGCACCCCTTGATGGTGTTAGCTAGGGCTTTGGACGATATAAAGGGCAATTCGTACTCATTGTTAGATTTTTCACTGGTATGAAGGTGAAATAAACTGTGAGAAGCCTCCATGAGCTTGGTAGTGGGACGCTGCGCCTCCATGGAAACCCTGACATGAGTCAACCTGTTGACATGAGAGATGCCCTGATGCTGATAGTTGAGGCCCACTGAGACCGCAGTCTATCCTGCTGTGACTTTATCGTCTTTCTTTTTGTAGTGAACTGCTGGACTTGCGAACATGGTGTGGAAAAGCCGTACACTCCTAGCTTGTTTCCGGAAGCAGACTGTAACCGCTATCCATCCTGCAAACGCGTAGTACCAAACCTGTATTACTGTCTATTCTATTCTCCAATGCAACTGCGGTTATGCTTTGCTGTCATGGTTGAAACGTACAGCGGCTTCATGACTAGAAACTTTTTACTGCAGCTCTGCCACATGCAGCATTGACCATCGTGAAAGAGGTATCGCAAATGTACAGATTGAGCTTGTTCGGTTGAAATGTCTTTAGAGCGCTCATACCGTTCTTCGAAGCTTTGTTATAATGCTTTGCAATCACTTGGTTAGTTCAAGAAAGATCGTCACATGCCTGGTGATGGCAGTCGGCGTGCCGCACGTGGTACACGAGCAGCCGTGCGTGGAGGGCGTATCCGCGCCAACACCGGCCGCTAGTCCAGTGCTTTGGCTGTAATTGATGGCATTCGCTTAGCACCAGCTGACTGGTTGTGGCGGCTTATTTCCGCGACCTGCAAGGGGACATTCCCAGCTTGTTCAGCCTATCTAGCCATATGAAGCCTCTGACTAATGACGCTCCGGCAGGCAGCGATGACAAGTCAAGTCGAAACACTGAGGTTTGTAGCGTTGCGCGTGCTATCCTTGCAAGCGCCTCCAAACCTCCAGCTGGGCCGCAAGCCCTCCTTGCTTTCGCACGCCGGCAGAGCAACCCACGGCCACTCATCACACTAATACGGAGGGAGATACATAGCATGTTTTTCATGCCTCCCTCCGCCACGTGGATAGGACTCGTCGTGTGTACTACACACATGGGATACTTGCTAGCTAGGTTTTTGCACTACATTTTCCGAACTATTTCACTTAGCCCCAACCAACCGAACCTTACCAAGACCTACCCACTAACCCTCCAACTATCTTGCTCTCACACGCATGCGCGCACATAGCCCCGGCAGACACAAGCGTTCATCTGCCACACCTAGCCTCAACCTTTGTCCTCCTCTCGCTCGTACCTTCTCACAACCCTCTGCCCACCCACCCGCCTCCTTGCACCCCGCCGCCCACCCTCCCATCCACCCACCCACAGAGCACCCGAGACAAAGTCCAATCACAGGTGTCCAACCGCCGCCGGACCTCCCGCATCTCCGAACTTCTGCTCGAGTCCTCCAATCCCACCAAGCCCGACCAGCTAGATGACTTCAGTGGCGTGGGCGTCGGCGCGCCGCACCGCCGCACCCTCGACGGCGATGCGCTGCGAACAGAGTCCTTTGCTGCGGGCTCCGTCTACAGCGCCTGCAACTCCATGCGGGGGTCCGTGTACGGCGAGTCGGTGGCGGGCGGTAACTCCATGCGGCGGAGGTCGTCCATGGGCGGCGGGGCGGCGTCCGGGGCGCACGGCCACTGGCGCAAGCTCAACTCGGCCATGGTGGTGTCTAAAGCGCTGGTCAGTAGGGGTGGTGATGATGGTTGTGGTGGGTTGTGGTGGTGGTGGTGGTTGAGGCGGGAAAGAAAACCAAGTTGTGAAACGTGGTGAAAGCGGGGCGAGGTGGGCTTGCGAAGTTCTAACCATGGCGGTAGAGCGTGATGTTATCAGGACGTTAAGGGCGTAGGGGAGAGCTGGAGGTAGGGTAGCGGTGGGCTAGCCGCTATGCCCGGGTAGCGCAAGCAGCTGGCGCCAGTGGGCTGGAGGGCGGTGGGTACGTGGGGGAGGGGCTGGTGTGGCTGGGGTGGTATGCGGGAGGTGCGGCTGCGCGCCGCTGCATGTGCGGGGTCGCAGCCGCGCCCCAGGCAGGGCCGCACCAGGCCATCAGCAACAATAGCGCCCACATGGACCCGCGGGTCGCTGTGGGTGACAAGGTGACGGGTCTGGCAGTAGGTGGTGACGGCGGTGGGGAGACCGCTTAGGGGGATTCCAAAGATATACCAAAGCATAGGAAGGACACACCAACCTGGTGCAAGTACGGTACTTGAAGCTACAGCCAAAACGGATGGTGCACGGTCGTTGTACTCTTACCAAGGGGTGGGGACACAACAACCCGATGTGTGGGGCATGCTGCCTGCGTGCCCCAAGTACCCAACCGCAACCGCAACAACAACCGCCTCCATCCCTACCATACTCCCAACCCGCCCCCGCCCCTCAGGCTGGCAGGCCGCGGGGGCAGTTCGGGAGCCGAGCTGCAACCCAGAGCGGCCGACACGACCCGCCGCCCTCCCTGGCCTCACTGTCGGGCAAGGAGGGCGTGCTGGGACTGCTGCGCATCCTTTGGCAGAACCTCACCGCGCGGCTGGCCATCCTGCCGGATACCACATGGTAAGGGGCTGCATGGCTGGCTAGCGGGTGGACGGGCGGACGGGCGGGGGGGAACTGGCGGAAGAGGGGAGGAAGCTAGGGGGCCGATAAGGCGTGCTTGCAGGTGGGTGGGTGGGTAGGTGGTGGCGGCCGGGGACTGGGAGCGTGTAGGGGTGGTGGTGGTCATGTGGCCGCGAAGCAGCCATCCACCTGCCTCTGCACCCGCGGGGACTCCCCCTTCCCCTTCCCCTTCCCCCGCTACCCGTCGCTACGCCTCTCATCATCATCGACATCATCATCGCCTCATCATCAGTTCATCGCCCTACAGCTTAGTCACCTGGACGCCACCGTCCGCCTTCAATGGCAGGGCAGGCTACTCGCCGCCTCATCCCGGGACTTGAACGGCCGTCATTCTCGCAGCTACACCCGCCGCCGTCCGAGTGTGGTCATCCCGCTGGGCCGAGATTATTTACACCACTACCTCCCAATTCTGTGCCCGCCCCTCTCGCCAACGTCATGCTAGCTGGCTCTTTCCTCATTTCGCCAGCTCCCAAAGCTCTCTCTCCTCCTCCGCCCCGCCCCTGCCGGCCCGTTATGTCAGCTTCCAATCCTCCTCAAACACACTCTCTCTCCGTCCCTGCCGCCCCTCCCCCTCCAAGCCAGGGGATTGAGCTTACAGTAGTTACCATCTTTTTCTCCTCATCCCGCTCCTGCCGCTATCCATCAACGCATGGTGTATCTTCTTCCTTCCCGCCCAGGTACCAGGTGTACTGGTTCTACTGGGCGGTTGCCATCGCGCTGCTGAGCTGCTGGGTGGAGCCCTTCCACATGGCCTTCCCGGCGGACGGACAGGGGTGGGTGGCGTGTGGGGGACAGTGGAGGGGGATGATATATGAGGAATGAAGCCAGAGGAGGTGGAAGGAGGGAGGGAGAGGTAACAGGAAGTGTGCCACGAGTGGACGCGACCTTGTGCGTGTCAATTCAAATGGCCGCAGCATTCATGTGTTAATTAAGCTGGCCGAGAGGCAGGAACGTACATGCGTGTGTGTTTAGCTGTTCATACAACTGTGCAGCGGAACAACATTGACCATAGCTGGATGTATAGGTGGATAGCGTATTGTGGATGGAGGATGGAGGAGGAGGGTCTATCCTATGGGGCTGCTCACATGCCGCATCCTGCAACACCCGCACTCCTCTTTGCCATATACCGTCCCACGTCCCACACACCTCAGGTGGCTGTTAGCTATAGAATACTTCATCATCGGCACCTTCCTGGTCGACTTCTTCCTCAAGTTCTACATCGCCTACTACGACCCGGAAACGGGGCTGCTGGTGACGACACAGCCCAAGATGGGCATGGCATACATCAAGAGGTACGTGTGGCCGACACGGGGGGTGAAAGGGTAATAATGGTATTTGGTTTGTTGGGACAACGGGCTGGAGTTGTAGGTAGGTGGACCTGGAGTGGGGATCATAGAAGTACCAAGTGAAGGCAAGACACGTGAGATAGGAGGCGGCAGGGTGCCACAAAACAGGGGGAGAGTTAGCAGTCCTTACCGATCCCAGTCACCTCGGGTGAATGATGAAGCAGCGTCGAGCGCGCTGTGGATGGCTGGTGATGCTGGTTATTTGTGTGAAGTAGGTGGGTGGGCAGGCCTACCACAACAGTGCTTGCACCCTGCCCACACTGCACCCCGCGCTCCCCGCTGTAATGCACCTTGCCTGCTGCACCCCCCTCTAATTTTGGGTTTCGAATGACTATAAACCCCCCTCCCTTTGCCGCCTTTTAGCTGGAAGTTCTTCTTAGACCTTTTCGGCTGCTTCCCCTACGACTCCGTCATGACGTCCATTGCCAAGCGCTACGGCACCTCCTCGGCCACGCTAGACAGCATGGAGTGGCTGCGGCTGCTGACGCTGGTGGGAGCGCTTTGTAGCTAGGGGTGAAGGAAGGGGAAGGGAGGAAGCCATAAGCCCATAACTCCAAAACCTTGTGTGGATGGAAAGGATTAGTTGTATGGCGAGGGGATACAGGGTATATGAGCATGTACTTGGCGAAGAGGAAAGGGGGTGCCCTAGCGGGAGCACTCTTCCATCGTACGGGTAGCGCATAGCGGTACCTTGAAGGGCGTTTGTGGAGGCCGTGTACATGCCCCCCCCCTTTCGTTAGTCCTTTCCTCATTACCCTCCTCTCCTACAGGCTCGCGCCTACCGCATCTTGGACCTTTTTAACATGCTGGACTACCGCATGCTGGTGAGCCAGGGCACGCTGATGCTGCTCAGGAACTACACCTACGTCTTCTTCACGGCACAGTGAGTACACTTACTTTGGGAGTATGTGAGGGCTGACGGAAGGGGGCGGGAGGCGGGAGGGCGCGGCTTGGGGTTGGGGGAAGGGAGAGGGTTTCGAGGGGAGGGGCCCGGAGGTTGGGGTTGGGACGAATGGCGCTGGAAGGGCGACTGGGGCTGTTCTCTGACGCCTGAAAGCCGTTTTGCCTTCGGATGATTTGAATGGTAACAGTGAGCACGATCACGCTCCTGCTCGTCACTCTTGTGGCTAGTTGTGTTACCACATATCACCCTTGCTCCCCTTTCCTTCTCGCTCTTCTTCCTCCTTCAACCTTCTTCCCTCCTTCTCCTTCCCCTTCCTCTCCCTCCCCATCTCCCTCCTCCAGTTGGGCCGCCTGCATCTTCTACCACGTGGCACAGCAGGAAAGCAACTTCGGCCCCGACACCTGGGTGGGCCGCACCGCCGACGCCTTCCCGTCCGCCGTGTACGAGCGCTACATCCTGGCGCTCTACTACTCGGTCACCATCTTCACCGCCATGGGCGATGCGCGCATGTTCCCCTTTTCAACCGTCGAGATAGCGCTCACTATTGTGTACCTGGTAAGCCGCCTGGGAGCAAGCCGCCTGGGAGCAAGCCGCCTGGGGACGATGGTGTACCGGTAATGTTACAATGAAAGGAGCCCAGTAACAAAAGTAACAGTACGGGTTATAGCTGCATGGTAGGGGTGGGCGTGGGCGTGGATCACGGTTGGTGTTTGATCGCTGCTCTGTGTTTGAAGAGCACCCCCTCTCCAATCCCACTGCTCCCGTGCCGCCCAATCCTGCTCCCTTGCCCCTTCCTTCCTTCCTCCTCCCGCAGCTCTTCAACCTCTTCCTGGCGGCCTACATCATCGGTACCGTGACGATTATGGTGGGTTGGGTCTTGGGTGGGGGATTCAGCCCCCAGTCAAGTCGAGTCGTATTGGTTTCCCTTTATTCGGCTGATAACAAGACTAACAACTTCTTTTCGTTACCTCCCCCTCCCCCCCCCCCGCCCCTGCCCCCCCTTGCTGCCATGCAGATGGTGACCGCTGACGAGCACAGCAAGGCCTTCCGCGACAGTGTGAGCCACCTGCACGAATACAGCCGCGACAACGAGCTACCAGAGGTGAGGCAGGACGACGGGGCTAAATTGAAGGAAAAGGACCGCTGAGTACCGTGCCTAGAGTCACCTCTCATCTCCCTCAGTCACCCCATGGCTTCCCCGTTCGAACCTTCTGTTCTCCCTGACTCCCTTCTTCATCGTTACCACTTGCTCTTACCCTTTCCTCCCGCTCCTCCTCCCTCCTCCGCCCGCTCTTCTAACTATAGCTTATATGCCTACTATCTCTGACTACCTACTAACATTCCAATCATTGCATTGAACCCTTTACACCTCACCCCCGCCGGCCGCTCCCGCCCCCGCTCTTTTCTTTCATTCCTCCCCCATCCCCAGCGCCTCTACACCGCTATGAAGGAGCACCTGGAGGTCCACTTCGACTCGGCGCAGAGCACCGACGACCAGGTCCTCTCCATCTACCCCACCGCCATCCGCCGCCGCGTGCTGCGCCACCTCTACCTGCAATCCATCAAGGGCTGCTACCTGTTCCAAGGATGCAAGCAGCGATTCCTGGATGCGGTACTTTCCGCGGCGCGAGTCGAGTTGTTCTTGCCGGGAGTTGAGATCCTAACGGAGGGGGATAACGTGGTGGAGTTGCTGATTGTGGTGTTGGGGGAGGTGGCTGTGTCGCAGGGGTCTGCGCGCATGGGTGCGTTGTATGGGGGAGGCGGAGGTGGAGGAGGAACGGGCGGGTTGTCAAGTGTGGGGTCGGAGCGATTTTCGGTTGGAGGGTCGTTCTCGCACCTGAATGAGAGCATGCGGCGGGCGTCGTCAGGAGGGCTGTTTTTGGAGGGAGGCGGCGGAGACGCCGGAGGAGGAGGCGTCGGAGGGAATAATGGTAAGCCAGTGGGCGAGTTGGGGGCAGGAGGACAGGAGCCGATGCTGGTACAGGGGCAAAGCGGTGAGATTTGCATGTACGTCTGTTGTGGGCCGAGGAGGTAATTGTGGCGTCTGGCGCAGCTACCCCTTTTTTGATGGCGTACCATTCCTTGTCTTCCAGCTCATGTTGCTCTTCCTTTTCCTTTTTAACCCCATTCAATCCTGCTCTCCCATCCAGGCTCCGCCACTCCGCTGCTGTCGCCGGGCGGCATCAGCGTGGGCCTCAGCCCCGCCACCGCCATGATGCGCGGAGGGGGCGGGCACGTGACCAAGAAGAGCGTGGGAGACTCGCTGTCGGAAATCACCTTCTTCTCAGGTGGGGTGGTGGGGGCGGAGGATCGGGAGGGGGGGCATGGTAGTGGGAGCTCTGGTTCGGGCAGTGCGAGGTGCATGGAACGATTGCAGCTGTGAGCCCTGCCAGCTTACGGTATCCTTAACGAGCTAATGGGCTTCCATGCCATTATCATCATTCTTTAACATTCGCTTTTTTGTTCATCGCTCGCGTGTGCGTGCTCGCACAAACTCGGGCCCCCCACTCCCCAACCTGCATGCATGCGCGCAGACGGCGCCAGCTACGAGACGGTAGTGGGCACAACCCCAGTCCGGGTGCTGAGCCTGCCCAAGGCTGCCTGGGAGCTGCTGGTGCAACAGTTCCCGCAGCAGGTAGGAAGGGGCCGGAGAGGGGGAGGAAGGGGTGGGGATGGATCCGGAGCCCATCCGACTCCCTTGTTTGCTCTTGCGACTATCTGTGCTGCTCTTCACATCTCCATCTTCTTCTACCGTATATTATATCCCGTTGCAAGTATCCCAATAATCCGCGTCTTACCCGCGCGATTCGGGATTGGGATTGCGTTGTTGCATTTATTTATAATTTTACCCCGCCCCCTCCCGCAGGCTCGCCACGTGCTCGAGAACGTCCAGCGTGCCGCCGAGTCCGCAGTGGAGGAGAACCTGAAGGCTGCAGGCGCCCGCAGCCAACTCACCGCGGAGCAGCTGCATGTGGCGCTGTCGCTGGTCAGCGGCACGGGGGGCTTCGCGGAGAGCACCGACCCGCTGCTGCTGGCGCAGACACGAGGTGAGAGGTTGTGGTGGGAGGTGCGGTGCGGTGCGGTCGGGGACGGAGTAGCAGGTCTCCAGAGTAGCAGCGCGAAGGCAGCAGCGTTGTGATGGCGTCGTGGTGGCGTTGTGGATGGTGCATGGGGTCTCGCCTGGTGCTCTCTCACAACAATGATATAGTACCGGTAGTTCATGCATTTTAGGGGGTAGGGGGTCCTGCTTTACCTCATGGCTTCTTGTCTGCAAGAACATTCCCCTCCTTCCCAAGCACAAACCAACCTCCCTCCTCCTTCCTTCCCTTCCCTCCACCTCCTCCTCCTCCTCGTTGTTTCACTTTTTAATTTTTCCCCTCAACCCCACCAGACGCGCTGACTCACGCGCAGCTGGACATGATTACCCGGCTGGACGACATCCGGGCAGTGGTGTCGGCGCATGTGCGCAAGTGCGATGAGATGCGCACCTTTGAGTTCCTGAACACGGTGAGACAGAAAGATGTATGACAATTGAGAACATACCGTATGCGGGGCTGCTGCTGATGTGGGTGGGTCCGCTGCGACGGGGATGGCCGCCGCCGCCGCTGGTGGTGATAAAATGCACTTAAATAGGTGATAGAACTCTCCCTCTGCTCTTGCAATGCTCCATTGCCACTCGCTCCCGCCCCGCAGGCCGCACAAGGTGACGTGGAGTCGCTGAGCACCATGCTCAAGCAGGGCATCAGCGCCAACACAGCCGACTACGACGGGCGCACCGCACTCATGCTTGCAGCAGCGAAAGGATTCGATGTGAGTACTGCTGCTGCTGCTGCTGCCGGTGCTGCTGCTGCCGAGCGAGAGGGGGGAGGACAGGCGGGGGACCTGTTGCTGTTGTTGCTGCTTGTACTTAACTGTTTTGGGTCCTGACGGGGTGACCGAGCTGTGAGTCGTGTGAAGGGCTCGCAACCCTAGCACTCTCCTGCTGCTGCTTCCATTCTTCACATCTTCCCTTACACTGCGCTTACACATCTTTCCGCGCTTTCCTCCTCCGTTTACCATAGGGTGCCGTACAACTTTTGCTGGACTCCGGAGCTGACAAGGACAAAGTAGAGTAAGCAGCAGCAGACGAGCTGGCAATCCCTGGAACTGGCCCCTCCCCCTTGCAGCCCTTCCCTGACACCCCTCTGAGCCGCCTCATCACCAATACCCTTGCCTGATGGACACTCCTAATCATTACCTTACAACCACCTCTCCTCACTCCTCACCCACTTCATCCATCGCCTCTCTCATCCTTACCCATTACCTCCCACCTCACTTCACCTTCCCGCACGCCCTACTACATACTCACCCTGCCCACCTGCCCACCTTGCCTGCAGCGCCTTCGGCATCAGCGCACTCGCGGAGGCCGCCAAGAACGCGCATGACAGCATCATCGAGCTCATGCTCAGCTACGGCGCAACGTGAGTGCGTTGGGAGAGAGCGGGTAGGGGGTACGGGGTAGGTCAAACAAGATTACCCAACGATGCCCTCTCCGTTTAATTCCTTAATACCCTCACACACCAACCCTATGCGCGACACATCGACCGCATGACGCACCTCTTTACCCGCTCGCATGCACACCCCCAGGCTGGGTGCTGGCGGGCTGACGGTAGCAGCAGAGATGTGTACGGCGGTGTTTGAGGGCGACCTGGTCAAGCTGCGCCGGCTGCTGCGCTCCGGTGCGCCGCCCGACGCTTGCGACTACGACCAACGCTCGGCGCTGCACATTGCCGGTGCGGAGGGCAACCTTGAAGCGGTGAAGCTGCTGGTGGAGGAGGGCGGCGCCGACCCCAACTTCCAGGACCGCTGGGGCAACACCACGCTGGATGAGGCGCGCAGGGTGGGTGCTGAAGACGTGGTGGCGTACTTGGAGGGGCTGCTTCGCGGTGGCGCCGCGATGTCTTCCGAGAAGAAGCGCCACCAGGAGCAACATGACTACATGACCTGGTGCGGGCTGGGGAACGCGGAGCAGCTGAGGCAGGCGGGCGGCTATGGTTTCGGAGAGGAGGTTGGGTGCGCCTTCACGGGGCTCATGGTGGCGGCCAGCAAGGGACACACGGTGAGGTGGCGGGGTGGGAGGCGGGATGGGGAGTGCGGACGGAATGGCGTAGGGAGGGTAGGGAGCGAGGTTGGTTGGGGTGAAAGTAATACCAAACCACAAGTGAGGGCACAGTCGTGCGGCAAAGGGGACAGGTGGCGTCAGGGTGCCGGTTGGGGTGTGGGTTGGGGCCCTCGCTTGGGCAGGGACAGCGCGCCGTCTCCTTTCTAACCTCCCATTCGCCTTCACTCGCTCGTACTCGCCATGCGGCTTCCTCTCACGTGTCCCCTGCCTGCACCTCGCCACCATCACCTCAGGAGGCGGTCAAGGTCCTCCTAGCCGGCATGCCCCCCGGCACCCTGCTCACCCACGCGCACCTAGCCATGCTGGAGGCGGCGCGCATGGGCCATGCAGACACCGTGACCGCCTTCCGTACAGCCGGCGTCATGCTGCGTGACCCACGGGTCGCTTGCGCGCGGCACCTGCTGTCGGACCTACGTAACGCGGCGCAGCAGGGCAACGGACCCGTGGTGGAGGCGTTGCTGGCTGCGGGGGTGCCTGGGCGCTTGGAACCGGGGTCGGAGTGGACGCAGGTGCAGCAGCCGGCCGATGCGGCGTCGGCGCTGCATCTGGCGACTGCACATTCGCATCTGGGCGTGGTAGGTGACTGCTGACTGCGCGTGGGAGAAGGGTGGGAGGAGGATGATAAGGGTTGATGTTCGTATTGGTACATGTGGGAGGTCATGCTTGATCAGGGGCCTAGAAATGTTGCCGTTTCCTTGAGCAAGCAGACGCACGGATCCTCACCCCAACCCCCCATTGGGGTTCAAATTTGGGAGCTTAACATTATCTCTTTCTTTACCCCCAACCCTCCCATCAGGTCCGGCGGCTGCTGGAGCACGGCGGCGCTCTGCCGGACCTCACCACCCCGGACGCTCTGGGTCGCACCCCGCTGCAGCTGGCTGACATCGCGCTGGCTCAGCAGCCCAGCAGCCTGCGAGCCAAGGCGGTGTGTGACTACCTGGGCTGGGCGGCGGCGGAGGCGGGGCGCGGCGCCGGCATGCAGCAGCTGGCGGCGGCAGCACTGGAGCGCTGGGGAGCCATCAGCCATCATGGGCATGGACACAACGAGTCCACGCAGGGTGCGGAGAAGGGGTGCATGTGTGGAAGGGGTGGTGAGGCAGGCGGGGCTGTCTGAGGCTGCGCAGCATTGGGTGAAAGAATGATGCCAATCCGGGGGGCTATCGTCTTGGGCAGGGAGCACTAATGTAGCTGTGGCACACATGCAGGAAGGGCACTCCCATTCACCCACGCGCCATGCACCTTGTCCCTCCCCCCGCGTTCGCTTCGCAGGCATGCGGACCCCCACGCCTCCCGCAATCCTCAAGGAGCGAGACAAGGGCAGCGGCAGCCCCTTGGACTCATTTCCGGGGGAGCGGCTGCTACTGCCGCAGCGCCCGCCCTCCGAGCAGGCAGCACCCTCGCCGTCACAACCAACCGACGCCAACGGTACGTGTACGGGCACGGCATCAGCTCACCACGTGATTGCCGGATGTTGTAACCAACACTAACTAACATTTTGTTGTTTGTATTGTACGATACTCCCTCAGGCTCCGACCGCAGCCCCGTCAACCGGCTGGGCGGAACATCGCTGCGAGCGGGGGCGGTGGTGGGCGAGCCCCAGCCCGAGGATGCTCAAGAAGACCCCGTTTCTGCCACCGTCGCCACTGCTCGACTGCTTCCCGTGGGTAGCACCGGCAGCGGCGGCGGCGGCAGCGGCGGCGGCGCAGGCCCGCCGGCGGAGGCGGCCGCCCTCATGGCCTCCTCCGCCGTGGCTGAGGCGTGGGACAACCTGCCCGGGACCCCGGGCGGCTCAACGCGCGGCAGTAGCCTCGCCTTTCAGGCACTCAAGCAGCTGGATGCCAACGCAGCCGCCGGCGGAGGCGGAGGCGTGGAAGCTGACGCGGCCCTCATGTACCGCTCCTCCGTACTGCATTCCGCCGCCCTGCTCAATGACCCGCCGGCCGCACTCCTGGCCGCCGCTTCAGCTTCCTTGGTGGGCGGGAGGGTGCCGGCATGTCTCAGTCCCACGGGTCGGCCCAACCGCGGCACATCGGGCAACCTCAGCAGCCCACGCCTCGTGTTGCCTCCGCCATCCAGCTCGGGCGCATGGCCGCTTGCGGGCGTGCCTGAGGGCTCCGTGGGCCCTCCAGCTGCTGCGGCGCCCTTCCGGCTCGACCGAGTCCCCAGCAGCAACCGAGTTCACGCGACCAGTCTGAACGGGGGTGCTAGTGCTTTCATGCAAGCTGGGGGTCTGCAGGAGAGCGCCTTTGGCGCGGGAACGTGGATTGTAGACGGTATCGCAGGATATGGCGGCGGGCGTGGCGGAGGCGGAGGCGGCGTCGGAGGCGCCGCCGCTGGTGGCAGCGTTGGTGGCGGCAACCGCCGTGCTTTGGGCTCCGTACAATCACTGATCGTGCCTCGCTGCACGCCTAGCAACCCCACCCTGCGACCTTCCAGATCAGGTGTACGACTGAATGAGCCGGATGCAGTAGAGCGCGAGGTGGGGGCGTTTGTGCGCGCGCCTGCTGGCAGCGTCGGCGGCGGAGATAGCGGAGGCATCGTCCTGGCCTCCGGCGCTGACGTCGTGTACGGCGGGATGGCGGCTGTGCCTTCGCAGCGTGTGCGGTTAAGTCGTGGCGGTGGCGGCGGTAGCGGAGGCGGCGCAACCCGCTTAAGCAGCAACGGGAGGGAGGTATTGAGCACGGCGGGAACCAACTCCCCGGCCACGATCACGGGCGTTCGGCTGTCCTTGGCGGATGCCTCGCTCACACCTCCGCTGTCTCCGCTGTCTCCACTCAGGTAGCTGGCGTGAAAGGTTTGATGCATGCCGGTATGTTTGTCCTGACGTGCGGGGCATGTCCTGGTGACGTGCGGTGACGAGAGCGGTCTTGCGCCGCACGTGTTCTGTCTAGCATATGCGAGATGGTTGACTTGGGTGTGTGAGGTACTGAGAAGGTGAAAAGCCTGGCGAGCTTCCCAGGCAGCTCAAAGCCGGTTGCCCAACACCTGGGAGTAGCAGCTGCTAGGGTTGGGACACGTGTGACATGAAAGTGTTGTTAAAGCGTCGAGGCATTAAAAGTGTTGACGTTGCCTTTTGACACGTTGGTTGCGGTATTGGTGGTGGAATTGGTGGGGTTGCCTTGGCGCCGGTGTTGGTAGTGACGATGGCGACGGTGGTGACGGTATTGCTTGGTAGTGTTGGTTGCGGTCATGCAGGTCCGGTGCCGTTGTGGAGCGAGGAGCCCCTTTTCCGGCAGGCCAGCTGGCGTGCGTGATGAGGGCTCGTGAGCAGATAGGGACGAGGCCAGGAGCGCGCGAGACAAGCGAAATGGGAGTCCGCGGTTGTGTGTGACCCGGTCGGCCCATCCTCTTCTGTTACGCACCGGTGCGTGTCCGCGTCTTTGTGGTTGCACGGCACGTTCGCCCTCGCTTGCTTGAGTCGAAACGGAAAGGTGGTTTACTTTCATGTCTGGGTCTGCAGGTACAGTACTTGGCAGCATCGGTACGCGTGGTGTATTGCTTCTCATGTCCTTGCGTTGTCACTTGCCTTGTTGCCAAATGATAGCGTGTGTGCATGTGTGCTCTCCTACTTAACCCGGCAGACGTCTGCCGAGTGTTCTATAGCAGTTAACGCATCAAGGAACAGAGACGATTGTGGTGGTGGTGGTGGCCATCTTGGCCCCAGATGCTTGACCGCAATGGGCTTCATCTTAAGTTTGGCGCAGGTCGTTTACACAATAGTCGTACACAAGGGGGCATGAAAAAGCCAATGAAGCGTGGGGTTTAATACGAAGCCTCACCAGCCTCTGGGGGCCCTACCTGGGTATGTTTTGCATGGGCCATTCGGGTCCGATTTCCTGTCATATTTGGGGGTTAGCGGTTGGAGCTGATGTTGGGCTGCCAGCAGCCTCACATGCCCTCTTAATTACCGGTATCGTTGGTATTGTCATGATGTGGTTTGATATGGTTGGAGCAAGGAAGAAACCTAGTTCGGAACCCCTATCTGGGATTGGGGCCATGAACGCTTGCGTGCAATCGGCACTGCGAGGTCGGTGCGCCTTATGCATGTGCATGTACGTCGGGTGGGTGGGTAGGTGCGGCCGGGCGAGCTGCTGGTTGCGTGGCTCGCTGGGTTTCTTACCGAAATCGTCCAAATCATCACAAAGTTGATCGAGGAGCTGTAGTGCCCAATTATAAGTTACCTAGTCGTAACGGCCATCTTACTAGGCGAGTATGGTCAGCTTTCCCGCCGCAATTGTAAGCATTTGGGCGTGCATCCTAAGCTACACACCTGTCCATTGTCGCAACCATCATATGTTCACAGTTCCAGTTACAGTTTGTACGCGTGTACAGTGTGTCCGTACGAGCCAGGGGGGCCATGGACACTACCGGTATAAGAACCAAAGTTAGTCTGAGTCAGGGTCCCCTACAGGCCTCCGTTTAGGGGCTCTGCGCAGGTGGTTTCTGACAGACATGCGGGTCTCCCATACGCGGCTCAGGTAGCTAGCCAGAGCCTCTGGAGGGGCAGAGGTCATGGTTCATATGCTTGGCGCACGCTGCACGAGAGCCATTTGTGTCTGGTGTGCGTCGTATGCCAACGGCCATCGTGCCCTTATGCTTTCCAGCCGAGAATGCATGGCCGGAGAGAAATGCATGGGAGTACCGGCATTCTTAATGGAGCATACACAAAGGAGGCAATTGATTAGGGTTACACCGTTGGGAGCAACAACATATGTATGCACGTTTGCTAGAACACTTCTGATGCCCGCTAAACGTGCTTTATGTTTGTCCGCACATGTGCTGCCATGCCAGTACGTAGGTGCCACCAGCGCAGCCAGCCAGGGCTTGTAACAGGAGCACCTACGCTTGGAAAGCCCGCACAGCGCAGCGCACGTATGCCGCTTCCAACGCTGCCAAGGCTGTTGCTGCTTGGACGTAGCAAATAATCATCCCTCTTTCTCCACTTCACTTCGTAACATATAACATATGCCCATTCCTCGTAATGCAACAAGTACCAGTCGTTTCCCCAACAGCATACCAAGTGGGTTGGGCGCAACACTCGCCAACAGATTGAAAACCAAAACCATCAAACCCAATCAACCTGCGTTGCTACAGAAGGTACCGACTTCGCAGCAGCCCCATCAACTCAGAAAAATAGATAGGTTCATTTTTCGGAACATAGCACCATTGGTTTTCATCGGATCGGATGAGCAGGTTGCAACAGACACATGCAATCAGCTCTTTTATGCAGGAAAACCGTCCTGCAGCTGGCATGTCCAAGACGTCATTCATCATGCTGATCCCTCCAGATCCAGATCTGTACAGCAGCGCAATAACGCCACGACACCAACTTCCTGCTGTCAGTTAGACGTCGCTGAAATAAGCTCAACACAAAACATGTATGTAAGAAATGCCCCAATTCAAACCTAAAAGCAAAGCGCTGACGTGCACGGGTCATTATTCCCATGCAATGCACAAGTATGCACCAACATGTGTGTAGGCCGTCTAGGCCCATGCCAGGTGTGTGCTATGACACCGCGCTATGACACCCTTGATTGCTCCGGGAGCAGAAGTGGGGTGAAACAGCCGAGCGCAATCCCCGCACCAATACATGCAAGCCCCAACCCAGCGCATGCAAGAAAAAAACCGCCAAACAAGCTTACCACATAACAAGTGTTAAGAGACTTCGAATTTCTGCCAAACCCAAGTGTTTAGCCGTTGCACTGAGGCGGCAGGACGGGCAGATCACTCCTGCTTCCCAGTTTGCAGGTATCTCCATGCCGGAAACGTTTTGTCACCACACAAACCCTCCAAGTATCGCCGCCAACAATCGTTAACCTTCAAGCCGCTCTCACCCTGGGCATAGGCCACACCTACACATTGAATGCTTTAGCTAAAAGCAATGGCCAGGCCCAATCGCCTCTCTACAGCCGCACCACCTTGAAGCTTTTCCTAGCCCTGCCTGTGACTCATGGTCGACGCCACGAACATGCTCGCAGCCAGCCCTGCGAAACCCAGCCAAGCAACGCCACCAGTGCTCCGCCTGCACGGCGCGGAAGGCGAAGCCATCTCGCCGATGCCGCTGATGCCAGTGCTGCCGCTGCTGCTGCCAATGTCGGCGCTGATATCGCCTCCATCACCATCAGCTTCAATGGCGCAGGGTGCAGGTGACGCCGCGAGAGGCCTCGAGGAAGGCGTGACGGTGCGCAAGAGCTGCATCACCTCGGCCCTACGCGCCCGAGCGGCCGGACCCAGCCGCGCGAGCAGCTGCGACCCACGGGTCTGCCAGGAACGCAGCCTCTGCTGGGATGACTCCACCGCTGCAGCCACCGCTGCCGCTGCCACCGCTGACACCAGCGCTGCAGTTGAAGGAGGTGGTTGCGGCAGGGTGGGCTGCGTGGGGGCAGCAGAGGCACTAGAAGCCTGCAGTTCGAGCGGCTCTGGCTGCTGCGGCTGCAGCTGCTTGTCCCCCTCCGAGGCCATCCCGCTCTGGACGGCTGCTGCAAGCGCGCGACGCAGCAAGATACGAACGACCATGTCATCATTGCTCACCGTTTCCGGGGTGCTGCTGCTGCTGCTGCTGCTCCCTGTGCTGCGGACAGCCGCAATTTCGGCAGCTCGGCTGGCAGCAGCAGCAGAAGCGACGGGGCAGGCGGGGGGTGCTGCTGCTGTCGCTGCCGCCGGTATGAGGACGGCGGCAAATATCCTTTGCACCACTGAACGTATTACAAGCTCCGAGCTGCTTGCCTCACCCTGGTCGGCCACAGCTGGCACGGGCTCCTCCTCCTTCTCCTTCTCCTCCTCCGCATCGGCCTCTGCCGCTAAGCATCCTGCTTCGTCCTCCTCCGACTCTGGCTCTGGCTCTGCCTCAGATTCGGACTCGGACTCTGGTGCAGGCTCAATCTCTGACTCGAACGATGACGTCCAAGCCCCCGCCCCTGCCTTCTGGGCCTTTTGGTCACCTGTCCAAGCGGGCACCGCCGCTGCCGCCGCTTCTGCTGCGTCCACCTCCTTTGTTAGCTGCTCCACGATTGCCTCGATAGCCGCCACAACCCGACCCGCCTCAGACTCCATTATTTCCGCCTCCTCCGCCGCTGTCGCCGCCGCCGTCGCCTCCGCCTCCGCCGCCTTCACTTCCGCCGCCTCCTCCGCCATCTCCACCGCCGCCTCCGCCGCTGCCTCCTCCTCCTCCGTGGCTGTCACCTCCGCCGTCATCTCCGCGGCCACAGGCGCAGCTGGCTCTTCAGCTGCCGCCTCAGCATCTGCTACAGCTGTTGCGGCGGCAGCGGTGGCGGCGGCGAGCCCGCCGGCATTCCCAGCGGTGTCGTACGCCCGCGGCGGCGTCGACGGCGGCTGCGGCTGCGCCTCCGTATTCGTGGGCAGCACCAGCGCCGGGGCTGCAGGCTGGGGGGACCCCGCTTCCGCTGCCTCCGTCTCCGCCGCCGCCACCTCTGCCTCCGTGTCCTCTGCTACAGGTGCCGTACGCTTCACATCCTGCTGCGAAGCTTGACGGAGTTCGGGTTCCATGTCGTACATCCGCTCCGCCAACAGCGCCATCAGATCTTGTCCGTACATCTCGTATGTCGCACTGAAATCCATGAACCTACCAGGCAACGGAGCATGGCGGCGGAAAGCGTCATTAAAGAGCACAGAGTAGGCTGGGAGGTGGAGGCTGGCTGATTGGGATTCACGCTCGAGTCGTTGGTCGTACTGGGATGTCGGTTGTTAGAAAGCATAACCACACGATATATAAGCACCCAGTACGGTATCCGAGTACAACAATCGGAGGGAGCATGCAGCATGGGGCGTCCAGCACCCGCCCTCTACAGCAACAACACACTCCCCCGCAGCCTTTCCTACGCCTCCCACCTCTCCTCTGAGCTCTTCAGCGCAGGCTCCACCCACTGCTGAAGCAGCTCCCGCAGCAGCGCATCGGCAGAGTAGCGCCCGGCGGCCTCATCGCCCTCCTCGCCCACCACATCCTCCTCAGCCTCGCTACCCAGCACCAACACGGCGGGGCAGGCAGTGTCTTCTTCCCTGCTGCTGGCAGGTCCGCCAGACAGGCCCAGGATTGGAACGGGCGCGGGCTTGCCTACAGGAGAGGAATGAGGGAAGGGGGAGGCTTGTGTTTTGAAATGGGAGGGTTTGGGAGGCTATGGAATAGGTAACTGCAAAGGAAGGGTATTGGCTAATGGACATTACGAGGGCTGCATTCCTATATGGCAACGCTCGTGATCCCTCTTAAACCCTGACAGCTGGCTCTCTTTTCTATCTCACCTCGGGCTATGGGTCTGGGACTCTAGTTGTTTGCAATTATTCTATAATTTTTTCTCCCCCCGCCCCGTTGCCTGGCTTCCCTAAACTACATACACCCAACCCCGTTCGTACCCCGCCATCTCACCATGTCGCTTGTGTCCCCTCAGTGCCGCCAACACAGCCGCCCTCAGCCGCGCAATCAGCTGCCGCTGCTCCTCCCCCGTGGTGACAGCAGCCTCCCCTGCCTCCGGCTGCTGCTGCTGCCTGCTCAGCTGCAGCTGCGTCCTCAGCTGCAGCGGGCGGGAGGCCCCCAGCGCAAGCACCGGCAGCAGCGGCACCTCCCGCGCTAGGGCCGACATGTAGGCCAGGTCGATAGGGGCCACGGAGCTGCTCGGAGGAGGAAGAGGGAGGAAGAGGAAGAGGCAGCGGGGTGGGGAATAGTTGAGGAGGCAAAGGGGGTTTGTGACGAGGGAGGCAGGGTGGTCAAGGAAGCAACTATCCACACGTGTAGAAGACTGCTGAGCTTGGAAACACCCGGCGGCACCGCGTATCCGCGTAGGGGCGGAGCTTGGACATAAGTTGGCATGCTTTTGCTTTCCATGAAGCTTGCTGAAGCGATCGAAAATGACAACTATTCCACATGGCCGAGTGAAGGAAACGGCTTGGTCCCTGCACAGAGCTCCCCCCGCCGCGCGCGCCAGTGCCAAGTCCTATCCCCATTGCTTTGCCCTAACCTGTGGTTTCGGTGTGGCTTTTGATCCCCACGCGCACACGACCCCCTCATTCCCTGCAGCAGCAGCGGCTGCTGCTGCGGTGCCCACTTACTCTGCTGGCGGCAGGAAGTACAGGCACAGGGCGCCCCGGCAGGCCGGCTGCTGCGGCTGCTGCTGCGAGCTATCTCCCCCGCCCGCCGCTGCCGCCGCCGCTGCTGCTGCTGCTGCCCCCGCTCGGTAGTCCCGCTCGCGCTGCCGCAGCAGGTACTCCACCAGCTGGATCAGGTGCAGCACTGCGGGGGGGGGGGAACCGGTAGATGAGATGTGAGGCGGGTGAGGGAGGTTGGCGGAGAGATGGAGGGGGAAGCATACAAGCGGAGTGCACTTGCTATCACACGCGTGAAAATACTGGTAGGACGAATTGCTGAGGAGGAGAGCTAAAAAACCCATGCTTAGCATATAAATATGGACTGGAGGAGTTCGAGAGCGGAGCGACTGTGTAGGGGTTAATAAGCAGGGAAAGTGGGTCTTCCCACGCTGCCGGCTTTGGAATACGTGTTGCCCCAAAGAGACCATCAGCAACTCCTAATCAAGCTCCCCCGCTAGTGTTCCACGCACCCTGGCAGCAGCAGCTAAGCCGCCACCAAGCCGCAGCTAAACCGTCATCGCCCCGCCATCCTGCCAAGTAAACAGGCAGGAGCTGCCTTGCTTGTGACAAAGACCCACGGGTCACCACCCTCCGCAACCACCTTACCCTTGTTGGGCTCTCCATCGTAGCCTGGCGCATCCAGCAGCGACACATGCAGCAGCCGTATGCCTCCGCCGCCACCACAGTTGGCACCGGCCTCATCCGCACCCCCTCCTCCTCCTCCTCCTGCTGAGGCAGCTGTATCCGCTGCCGGCGCGGGCGAGGGCAGGGGCAGGGGAGCCAGGCGGGTGAGCAGCTGGGCGGTGTGACGCTCCAGGGTGGTGGTGCGGCTGAGGGTTCGGGAGGGGGGTGAGTTCTGCGAGGCGCCGGGGGACATGCCTGCGAGGAAGGAGGGAGGAAGGATGAGGGAAAGGATCGGGAGTGAGAGGTAGGGTGAGAGTAGGCTTGGTTGGTGGTATGGTGTGAAGAGGGAGGTGCAAGAAGGAAAGGGTGCAATTGCTAGGGGCGGGTTTGCCGGGGGACATCCCTGTAACATTTAACAGGCGATGCCTGCAGAGCAACGGGATCGGTACATGACTGACCTGGTACCCAGGCAACAGGGCAGCAAGACTGAGCGAGGCAATGGCTTGCGGGATGGGGAAGTTCGGCAGCAAACTCTTACCTGAGCTGGAGGGCTGCCTGGAGGACACCTGGCGGCTGCCGTACAAGGTCGTTAGGTTGGAAATGAAGCGCGTCTTGCCGAGATTGCTTGCTCCGGCAACGAGGATGGTTAGGTAGCGGGACTGGGGCTGCTGCTGCAATTGCGGCGGTGTTTGAGGTGAAGGAGGTGCTTTGGTGTTGCTGTCCGTGAGGGCGGCCTCAGGGTCACTCACTGTCTCACAGCGAATGGGCGTGATGGTCATGGCCGCGGGCTCGGAAAGCTTGTTCGCGGTGTTAGCTTGTAAGCCTAGGGGCACAGGGTCGAGGAATGGGGCCAACGGATAGACAATAGCTAGGTCAGGAGAAGGCAAGTTGGATTATAATGCATCAACTGTAACGATAAGATTTCTTAAAGGCACATGCGGTAAATCCAGCCCGGGGCTAACGTTTGTAGCTAGCTGCATGTGCAAATTACACAGAAAGACCTAGCTTAACCTGGAAGGGTCGGCATAAAAACAGCACATGGATAAACGTAAACTTAGCGTCTAGGTTACTTGTTATAGTTATAAGGCACAAAATTGCAACTGTTCGGCTCTCGCTCCCATGTTACCCCAACGCACGTGAGCTTGGCGACCCGGGAATGCGCTTGATTTCCTCCAGGCTAGACGTTCCAAATACGTCACTGGAGCCTCGACCGCTAACGGAATGCACCACTTCGCAATGTTCGCCACCAGCATCACACCCGTTTAACTGCGGTGACAGACGTTTGGCATGCTTGAGGTAAGGAAGGTAGCCTACGAGCATGCCTAATAGTGCTGTGGTCTACGAGAAGAATATGGGCGAGTATGCAGTCCTCCTTTCTGTCGAAGGACGTGCCCGGTACACAGGTAAGGGATAGCCCAGCCTCACCATTTGCTCAGCCGCAGGCATATTCCTGCTTTCAACTATGCAAGCCGTTGGTTGTAAAGCAAGACAGCTGTGTGGAAGCGCGGGTCTGCACTGCGGTCTGTCGAAGTCGCACACGACAGGGGCTAGATGTACCAGCAACTGAACAAACAGTAAAGGAGTAATAAATAATCAACTACCCTACAATGTCTGTAAGCAATTTAGGTAAGGTGTTGGTGGCCCTTCACTTCAACGAACCCGCATACAGCTCTACTACGGTAAATGATCCTACGTTATGCGCGTCGTATGTACTTTCACTGAGTATGCCGAACGGGCGGTAAAACATGATGAGAATCTGGTTTCGGTGGTCAGCGCACATTGAAGGTACAAGCGTGTCCCCGTGCAAGTGCGGTTGAGAATCGGTCCATCAAAGCGCATCCAAAGAGCAGGTAACCTCTTAAACAAACTATATTATATTATTTAAGTACATAAGTCAACTTCTGCTACGGCTCTTTACGCGTTTAGACCTTTGCTGCCATGCTCGCATGCGTTGTCGCAACCTATGACTGCCAGCGGACCTGCAAGCATTCCGTTAACGTGCAAATGCGCCATAGAGACAGATAATGTTTATGTTGATAAACTAGGGTTCCTAACCGGAGGCAGACCAACTTGGGCTTTGTGGGTGCGTTCCACCAAGGACGAACTCGAACCTCCCGTGGCGCATCGGGTGCCCCGACAGCAGCAGAACGCACGCAATGTCACCACATGCACCAACTACCAGATCCAGCAAGGTAGAGAGCAGCTCCGAGCTAAGCGCAGGAGCGCCTCGCAAACCGCGGGGTTTCGTATTGTGGCGGCTAGCCCAACCCCTCTACCACCCAATTCCTGACTACCATTACGTCCAGTCCCCCCCATCCCTCGAACGTCACTAGTTGGTTAAGCATGTCGAAGGGATTGCTACGTTCAGTCAATGATGGTACCGTATTAACATAACGGGCAGTAGCCTGCCGAGGCACGTTGCTTGCATCTAGGAAATGTTAGCTGCGAGTAAACAAGTTGGCCCACACTAAACCAGAGACCAAGCTTCTAACGGCGCATCCTAACATGCGCGCTACTGCTCATCCCTGCCAGTCCATGTTTAGCAGGAAGGGCCGAACTATGACCGGAACGCAGATTCCAGCCGCCCGTCCTGTTAAGGAAACGTCCGTTGAAATACCCACGGCGGAATCCGCCCCCCGTCACCGCCCCAATGCTCAATTTGCTCTACCGTAGTTGCCAGGAGTGCAGACACAATGCCTTTTGAGTACGAAGCTTCATGATTACAGCCGGTGCGTCAGGATGCTTTGCCAATTTGTGCAGTCGATGTGGCCCTTCGGGTCACCATGTTCGCATCCTTCTGAATGCACCATGCATGAGGAGTGTTCTCATGCATGGTGCACACCCTAAAGCTGCGCCGTAACGCTGCTCCCTCTCCAGTCCTTCCCCCAATCAGTGATCCTGCCCGGGCAAAGAACATGGATTCCGGATGGTTTGACCCATGGGTCGTTCTGCAAACGACAGTGTCACGTGGCTTGGCGGATAGACCCTTGTTGCGGTCAATCATGAGTGAGAAGAATTGTTTAGCACATCAACGGTTACAGTCACTAGCCCGGCCACCGAGACCGTCAAACGGATTTTAGGGCAGGCAGCTAAAGAATATGGAAACCTGCGGATGCTGTTCTTGGCAGGGGTTTGTGGCGACTCGAACGATAAACACACAACCCCCTAAAATAAAAAAATTTCGCTACTGAGGGTGGGATTGGTGTTATCGGTTTAGTTAGTGCCCAGGATTCGCAGGAGACTAGTGCCTCGCAGAACCGTATGAGGACTGCGTTCTACGATGCTCCTAAGGGATATACCGGTTATAGCTTCGCTATTAGACCGATGTTATGGGTGCGTCAGCGTTGCCTGACTTAGTTCTGAGTATCGAGATGAGAAGCTCTAAGTATCGAGATAATTAGCGACAGGGAAGGTAACGGGAAAGCTCAAGCTGTACGACCTCGAGGCCAAGCTATCTTGCTTTGGTATCACTTACTCTTGACGAGAAGGATAAGCTTAAGAACACAGGTTCTTTCCTATTGCGGGTACGCTATGTAACTTAGCGTAGATCGGTAGTTGAGATGTGGGAATGGCGACTATAAGCGTAGTTGCTTAACACAGCCTTAGGCTGCTTCTTCGGCAGGATTAAGGAGTCTTGGAGACGATTACTCTTGTTCCTTCAAGAGCAGGGAGAAAGGGAGGGGGTTAAGGCTGTGGCTGGTTTGCCTTGGGCCTTGCTTGAGACAGGGAAACCGGGGAAACCGAAAGTAGGGTTCGTCTGTCGTTACAGAGTATCGAACCGGAGACCTTAAGGAGTCGTTGAAGGGCCAGTAAGGTTTGTTGTACCAGTGACCTTAGACTGTTGTTACCACATACCAAAACTAGAAAATGCCTCGCCTTTTATACTAATCGGAAGCCTGACAACGTAATGCAACTCCTAAACAACGTAATGCAGCTTCTCAGATCGAACCTTCCACAAAGAAGCCGCTAAGAAGCTGAAGCTACAAAGAAGGTGCGTAAACCTCCTTACGTAATCTAAGTAAAAAGGCATAAAAGGCCTAATCAAAATAAGACGCATAAACGCCTCAGTTAAACCAAAAGCAAAGCACGTGGCCCGTTATCAGTTATACGACTGTACTATTTTAACCGTACAAGCGTCGCAGCAACAAAGTAAATGCATCAACTCAGCTCAGCCCGAAGGTCTGCCTGAATGTTACTAACAAAAGCCGCAGCTTCGACCAGAACTCCGCGACGACTGTAATTGTCAGACCGCACTTCATGCCAAATGCCTACAACAAAACAACATTGCATCGTATTGTCGCATACCATTCCTCTTAATCATCCTGTAATCCACCTTCCTACCAACAGCGTCTTACGCCGGAAGCATCTACTCGCATCGGCGAGCAAGCAAAACCGCTATTTCAACTCTGCCAGTCCTCGCGACCAAAACCATATATCCTGCTTCCAATTAGACTAAAGCCTACGCCACAGCTGTGGCGACTACCCCACACTGAAAATTCGTACGCCCTCGTACGGTGCAGCCTAAGGGGCGTCGTGGGACAGCTAACTCACTACTAATCACACATTCTTGGACTCTTGAAAGCCTTCGGAACTTGTTAATCTTGGTCTTGCCCGTTGTCAAGATGACTTGGTATGACGGTGTACCGGTTTACCCGTACTGTTGAAATGAAGACGATGGGCTAGTTGTAAGTGACCCTTGGGTCATCAAGGCTGGCGAAGGCTGCTTTACTGCCTTACTACGTTTTAAACTCGCGGAACAAGCGTAGAACAAGCATAAAGCTGGGAGCAAAGCATTGTTATGGCTGCTTTACATGCCACCCCACACTGATTCGAGACATCAGGGTGCTAGGCAGCTAAGAAGTAGCTGGTGGGTGCCATAGTAATCTGTTTCTCGGATGTTGAACGAAGGTAATAACAACCCATGCGGCTGCCTAGAAAGCACTGTTGTGTACGGCAATGTCACCGTAGGCCGAGGGGCATTAACAGAAGGCAAATGCTCTGTAGGTGAGGGATGGCTGGAAGAATTCTCAGGCACGTATATGTCATCTAAAGCTGTAGAAGGGGAAAGGCGGGCAGTGCCTGAGACCTTGTTAGCAAGCTCATGCTCAGACCCCGTACTTGATGGCTGGTTGGCAGGCGGCGGCTCGCCAACAGAGGATAAAGCCATACATAGCTGAATAGGACTGCTGTCGCTGATCGGACTTGTAATGCTCGCTGAAGATCAGGCGGTGTTGTAGGTAACGTGCGCACTGGAGACTGGCAGAGACAGTGCGTCTTGGGGGGTGAAGTAGTAGGGTGCCGAGAGGAAAGCCTCGGAAGTATCCGTACGACAGATTGCAGACTGACTGGTAAGACGGTTGACCACAGCAGGAAGGTCTTAATAGAAGGGTCCGCATCAGTGTCGGATGAGGACGAAGGAAGAATTTCTGCGTAGTCTTGCAGCATATGGTTAATACTGCGCTTGCGGTTAGATTGGGGTCGCTTGATAGCGGCTTCTGGGACAATTGGAGCTTGTGTCGAGACGGAGGGACCGGAGGTTATGACACGAGCGGGGGCAAGAGGCCGAACTGCCGGCGCGGTATTTCGTAATACCTCACTGGTAGACGGAGCGACCTGTCGCACCTCGGGCACTGCAACTTGACTGGTGGCCGCACTAGGAGTAGGGCCTTGCATAACTGGGCCTCCAAGGGGCATTGGGAGGATCGGACGTATGGGAACCAAATTGATGGGGCTCGGAAAACCAGCCATACCAAGCGGGGTTGGCGGAGGCACAGGCATGCGCCCGGGGTTTGCTGCAGGCGGATTTGCCGGAACCAAAGCCCGCTGTCGTTCTCGTGGAGGGTTGGCGGGGTTAGACGAACCTGCCGTAGCCCGAGTCGAGTGAATAACTCCTACCGGTGCTAAGTCAGCAGGGGGCCATTCCGGAAGGGAATCCCACATGCCGTCCGTTAAAAGTAGTTGTACTAGCTGCTGCAGCTCGGTATGATCTGGGTCATCATAGGAGTCCTCTTCGGGTAGAACAAAATCAGCAGGACCGCTGACCGGGCTGAATTCTCCTGCCACTAGATGTCCTAGCCTGCTAAGACCATCCACGTTGCTGTTGCGTCGGCCGGCCTTATGCATAACATCAAAGTCATAGGCCTGAAGGCGTAGGGCGTATCTTGCTAACTTGCCATGTAGATCCCGTACGCTCGCTGTACGTAAGTAGCGCACTGCCGTGGAATCCGTGATCAGGGTGAAGTGCGTTCCGTAAAGGTAAGGGTGGAAATGCTTTACCGCCCAAACTGCTGCGTAGGCCTCCCCGTCGGCGCTGCTCCAGTTAAGCTGGGGGCCGGAGGTAGCCTTACTCGCAAACTGCACAGCGTATTCTATGCCGTGACCATCCCGTTGTGCAAGGCAGGCTGCCACTGCGGTACGGCACCAATCGACTTGCAGTAGGAAAGGACGAGAGAAGTCTGGAGCGCGAAGGATAGGTTCGCTAAGAAGGGTGCTGCGCAGCTCTTGGAAAGCTGCTTCTTCCGCTGTCGTCCACCTCCAAGGCGTATTCTGACGAAGCAGGGCGTGTAGCGGCTGAGCGATGAGGCTAAACCCCGGAATCATATTGCGGTAATAGCCAATGGCTCCTAACCATGCCCGTACTTCTCGTACATTGCGGGGCGAAGGGAGCTGGGCTATATTGGCTACGTTCTTAGGGTTTGGACCTATAGTCCCGTTCTCTCCATCCAGTAGATGTCCAAGAAACACCACCTTACTTTTCCCAAACTCGCATTTGCTGGCAGAAACCTTGAGACCCGCCATGCGCAGTAGGTCTAGGACTTGCTGCAAGTGGCGTACGTGCGTCTCAATGTCAGGGCTGAACACCAGAATGTCGTCCAAATACACCACTACGCATCGCTGTCTCCATGCATGAAGGGATTGAGAGGGGGTCTCATCCAGAAGCGGGCCCAAAACTCGGCGCATGAGGGCGGCGAAGACGGCTGCGGCGCCTTTGAGTCCCATGGGCATGCGCACGTACTGATACTGAGCCGTTGGGGTTGCGAACGCCGTCCGCTCCTTGGAGGCCTCATCGGCTAGAGGTACTTGCCAATAACCGGATTTGAGGTCGATAGCTGAAAAGATACGGGTAGAGCCGGCTGGAGGGGCTACGCTGTCTAATAAATCCTGGATATTTCCCAAGGGGTACCGAATGGCCTTGGTGACATCATTCACCCGCCGCATATCCACACAGGGACGGAGTTCCCCGTTCTTCTTGGGTACCACCACCACCGGCGAAACCCATGGGCTGCTGGAAGGTTCGATGATACCTTCTGCTAGCATCTTGTTCATTTCTTCATCAACAGCGGCTTTTTCTGCCCTTGAAAGACGGTAGGGTTGCTGCGCAATGGGGGCAGCATCTCCGGTATCTATCTTCATGGCGGCCCACGTAGTCACGCCAAGCTCCCGGTTGGTGAGGGCGAACATATCAAACTCATCCAGCAAGCATGAAGTTAGAAGCTGCCTATCCTCTTCAGGCAATTCTGGGTTAATCTTCCCCAGTAGTGCCTTCTTATGTTCCTCACTGGGCTCCCTTGGTTCTCGTACGGCACGGGCTAATACACCCCGCAGCCGTGCCTCTTCCAAGTGTCCGTCATGGTTCTTGCCGTCGGGCGGTGCAGCTGGGGCCAGGGTTGTCACCTTGTTGGCCGTAGGTGTTGCATGCGCCTCGGTCGCTGAGACCAGTGCTTCTAGCTGAATCACTCCCGGGGTACGGGGCTTAGGTTCTATTAATCCAGTAGGGGGTAGGTCTGGTTCCTCCCTAGGGGGAATATCCGACAGTTCACTACCGAAAGAGGGAAAAGGAGAGAGCGTGATGGGTAGCTGGGGAGCTTCATCAAAGCTAACCTCCTCCTCAGGTCCAAGGGACGTATATGATGGAGTCCCGGTAGCCATGCAAGACTGATTATCGGTGCTGTTTCCATCACCGTCCTCGCTGCTGACCCAACCCTTAACGGTCCAATCTCCATCCCAACCTGGGGTCCACCAATCTACAGGATTCGCTTCCTCGGGAACGGGAACCAGTCCTCCCTCATCCTCCTCCGGATACGCTTCATCCATGCTTCCCTGGTTCGCGGTACCTAGCAACACATCTACCGCTGTTGGCGCATCACCCACCCCACACTGAGGTGAGACTCCATGGGAGGGGCCCAACGAAGGGTCGGTAATGGGCTGCCGGATTGCTGGAGCTGTTTCCGGTAGTACGGAGGATCTTGAATCTTCTGGATCTGATTCGTCTGATAGGAGCTCAGGGCACACTAAGTCGGGGGAAGAAGCTGCATTGCACGGGTGTACACCTTCAGCCATCAGCATGGTGGGATTAGCTGGGTGTGTGGTAATGTAGCATAGGTTGGTTGGCGATGGGACTGAAGTAAAGTATTGTCCCCGGAGGAAATTAATAGGAATAGCGCTCCGTTCATTCTTATCGTTGGTATACTCTAACTGATTGCTATCATACGACACGCTTGCCCGGATGGGGTAAAGGAAGTCGGTGCCTAGAAGAAGATGATAGTTAAGGGCCATGCTGACGTACGGGTCTAGCAGTACGGCTAGATCTTCCGTAGATACTTGCAAGTTCCTGGCTTTGCCTGCCGCCTTGCCCTTCTTGCCATCTGCATTCAAGAAAGTGACGTCGGCGTACTCCACCGTATCCAACAGGTCAAGCCGGCGCAAGGTATCCCGGGTGATAACGCTGTGGGAGGCCCCTGTATCGATAACAGCAGGTATGGGAACCTGTTCGCCTTGGGCGTTGGTGAGGAAAACGGTTGCCTTACAGACTTGCCACCTATGTGAGGGTGGGTCAGTCGCGAAAATGGGCTCAGCGCGGAGCTCATTAGGTAGCCTGGCGGTGCCTTGATTGATAGGTTGACCCGCTGGGTTAGGAGCTGCATCGGGTCTCCCGCCGGCATGCTGTCGTGCTATACCCAGGACCCTACTGCCTATCTTGGTGTAGATGCTAACAGGGTTGCAGCGCAGAGTAGTTCCGAGGGGTACGGAGTACTTGTTAACCTTGCTAACAATCTCCTCGGCGATGCGCCTCTCCTCCTCTTGTGGATCCGCAGGGATAGGATCAGTACGGCCCGTGGGCTCACCAGGCTGGCGTCTTGGGCGATAAGCGGCAGCACGGTCAACAGCAGGGCGTGCAGCGGGTGCTTGTTGACGTTGCTGAAACGGGGCCGGTGCCTCCGGTACTGCCGTTGTTCCAGGAGCATGCTGCCGTGATGGGGGTACGTAAGCGCGCTGAACTGCAGGCCTGTTTGGCGGTGCTGGGGGAGGAGGTGTTACCGGGACACGCTTCCTAGGAAGGGGTACTGCGTCAAAATCAGCTACCCTCTTCACATAGGCTTCAGGGATATACATGCATTCTGGGGTATCATCCTCCTCTTCGGACTGTACGTCAACTAAATGAGCGGGCTGATCGACTTGTTGAGTCGGTGAATAGTAGTGTGCTTGAGGATTTCCTTCTACTAGCAGGGTTAGACGGGCTAACTGCTTAGTAATGTTATCTATCTGGGATTGCGAAGGGGTATCAGGGGTAGCGTTAGATGGGTGATTATCCCGCTGAGCGTCTCCTGGATGCCTAGGACTCATGCCCCTGTTTGGCATACGTTCTGGAGGTCCGCGTTGCCTAAATTGGGGTGCATTACCCATCCGGTCAGGACGGAAAGGACGGCGGTCCTCAAAATCACGGCGTTGAGGGGGCGTCGGGAATTGGGGTGCCGTGGCTACAGGAGTGGTTGCGTGCATGGACTTAGGGTCTACTAAGTTCCTCTTTACGCCTTCACTGATGTAAATGGCATCCTTAATAGCGTTTTCTAGGGAGGAAGGCTTCATCAAATACACTTGGCCGTGAATTTCCGGAGCTAGCCCATTCAAGAAGTTATACATGTGTATAAGATCAGTGGAGAGATCGATGCCCAATTGCGCCGCTAGGTTGCGGTACCGGTCGGCGTAGTCTCGTACCGATTCCTGGCGTTCTTGCCTGCAGCCGGTTAGCTTACTATAGAGCTCTTCCTTGTCTACAGCAAACCTTTCTATGAATGCAGTTCGGAATGTAGGCCAGGAATTCACAGTTGATTCCACACCGGTATACCAAACGGATGCATCATCGCCTAGCCGACATACGGCTACATCCAGTTTGTCTTGGTCAGACCAGTTGTACATACGGGCGAACCGTTCTAGCTTAGCTACCCATTGCCAGGCATTATCCCCTTGACGAAAGTTGGGGATAGTACTAATACTCGAAGGATGAAGGGCCGGGGCTGCATTAGCGTCGCGACCTGCCATGATTCCTGTTAGATTTAGAGGGGCTTAGAGGGTATTCCCGTTAGGGGCTACTAGACCTCAAGCGAGAACCCCGTCTCGATACCACGAACGATAAACACACAACCCCCTAAAATAAAAAAATTTCGCTACTGAGGGTGGGATTGGTGTTATCGGTTTAGTTAGTGCCCAGGATTCGCAGGAGACTAGTGCCTCGCAGAACCGTATGAGGACTGCGTTCTACGATGCTCCTAAGGGATATACCGGTTATAGCTTCGCTATTAGACCGATGTTATGGGTGCGTCAGCGTTGCCTGACTTAGTTCTGAGTATCGAGATGAGAAGCTCTAAGTATCGAGATAATTAGCGACAGGGAAGGTAACGGGAAAGCTCAAGCTGTACGACCTCGAGGCCAAGCTATCTTGCTTTGGTATCACTTACTCTTGACGAGAAGGATAAGCTTAAGAACACAGGTTCTTTCCTATTGCGGGTACGCTATGTAACTTAGCGTAGATCGGTAGTTGAGATGTGGGAATGGCGACTATAAGCGTAGTTGCTTAACACAGCCTTAGGCTGCTTCTTCGGCAGGATTAAGGAGTCTTGGAGACGATTACTCTTGTTCCTTCAAGAGCAGGGAGAAAGGGAGGGGGTTAAGGCTGTGGCTGGTTTGCCTTGGGCCTTGCTTGAGACAGGGAAACCGGGGAAACCGAAAGTAGGGTTCGTCTGTCGTTACAGAGTATCGAACCGGAGACCTTAAGGAGTCGTTGAAGGGCCAGTAAGGTTTGTTGTACCAGTGACCTTAGACTGTTGTTACCACATACCAAAACTAGAAAATGCCTCGCCTTTTATACTAATCGGAAGCCTGACAACGTAATGCAACTCCTAAACAACGTAATGCAGCTTCTCAGATCGAACCTTCCACAAAGAAGCCGCTAAGAAGCTGAAGCTACAAAGAAGGTGCGTAAACCTCCTTACGTAATCTAAGTAAAAAGGCATAAAAGGCCTAATCAAAATAAGACGCTTAAACGCCTCAGTTAAACCAAAAGCAAAGCACGTGGCCCGTTATCAGTTATACGACTGTACTATTTTAACCGTACAAGCGTCGCAGCAACAAAGTAAATGCATCAACTCAGCTCAGCCCGAAGGTCTGCCTGAATGTTACTAACAAAAGCCGCAGCTTCGACCAGAACTCCGCGACGACTGTAATTGTCAGACCGCACTTCATGCCAAATGCCTACAACAAAACAACATTGCATCGTATTGTCGCATACCATTCCTCTTAATCATCCTGTAATCCACCTTCCTACCAACAGCGTCTTACGCCGGAAGCATCTACTCGCATCGGCGAGCAAGCAAAACCGCTATTTCAACTCTGCCAGTCCTCGCGACCAAAACCATATATCCTGCTTCCAATTAGACTAAAGCCTACGCCACAGGTTTAACGACACTGTACTGCACGTCGCAACCCACACACCAACATCTGGCCCAGTGATGCAGCATCCAGCAGCATGGGGTGCACGGCGTGCAACATGCATGGGCCTTGTGGAAAGAAATCCGGGTTCTGGCACTTCAAAATTTGCCCCACACCCTTATGTCTGAAGCGACGAAATGATGGTTATGTCCTACAGCTCGTCGCCAACTACAAACCAAGTGCGAGCAGGTCACTGCCCTACCTTAGGTAATTGTTTTGTAGGAGTGTAACCGGCTGAAGCCTTGGCTACCCAAGAGCCAAACATACTATTGGCGACTGCGCCATCAGTGGCGTACGTCAGCTGAAAGACGCACGCAAACGCACATTGCTCGCAATGTGTACCCGACGATAACACACCACAAAAAGACGCATAACGTAAGGCTTCTGTGCGATACAGGTAGAGCTGGCTCGATTCACGATTGCCAAGTTGCCATGGCAGCTCACCGCGGCCTCAAGGTAGGACCAAGAAGAGGAAAAAGGACAAGGATACCACACGCAACAAACAAGGAAAGAAACAACAGCAATGACAAAGTAGCGGCTTGGCGCAAGTTCCAGTATTCAATTCCTAAAACCAAGTTCACAACACACATACTAGAAGAAGATAGACCCACTGAAGATTTCCGTCACTGTCATGACTTCCACTTCAATCATACACGTTCACGCCTTCAGCGCATACACGCAACAAGTAGCGCACACGGGGACGACAACGGGCTCCGTCTTCCCTTGCCTTCAGGTACGGGAGCACTGTACTAGTCCTTACTTGTACGGGCGTGGTCGCGCCACGTTGTTAGACATCCAATTCATGCACATGCTCCCATAGTTGAAACCCCATGTGTGTTCCCACGTCAGCATTAGGAGAACAACTTAAGTCGCACGGTCCCATTGGGGTTGCCGTACCATGCCTACACACATCCTGCGGCCACGTGCCTTTAACGGCCACGTGAAAATGCACTTCCCATCCCCTCTCTCTTCCTCCCTGACGTCCTTACATAATCTTCCCACAACCCCTTCTCGGAGACTCCGCTGACCACCGCCCTCCCCCTTTACACCTGTGAGTGCTCCCCCCCGCCCGACAAACCACTCTGTCCACCTTGCGCCACCGAGGGTGCTCCGCTCCTTTCCTCCTCAGCGCCAACCTCCTGCACGGTCAGTGCCACATGCGGGGCCTGTCCCACCTCCATTGCTGCAGCTGCCGCGGCTGCTGCCGCCGCCGCCAGCATCAGTTGCTGCTCACCCGCCTCCCCTCCCGTGGGCGGCAGCTCTGCCTCCTCAGCTCCGCTGCTGCCCTCCTCTACCCGCCCGCGTGCCTGAGCCTGCAGCCGCTCCGCATACTGCTGCTGCTGCGGGGAAGGCGGGGGCGGGGCCTGCTGCCGCCGCAGCGGCGAAGCGCGCACCACGCAGGCAACCGTAGCCTCGCCCATCACCAGCATTGCAGCCGCCGGCTCCCCTGAGGCAGCGGCGGCGGCTCCCACCCCTGATCCGCCTCCAAACTCCCCACCTGGCTGCTCCGCTGGTGTACCGCTGCCGGCGACAGCAGCCCCTGCAGCAGCACCCGCAGCCTCCCTCCTGCCCGCAGGCCGGGCCGCAGCCGACACCAGGACCACGCCATGTCCCGCAGCAGCAGCAGCAGCAGCCGGTGCCGGAACTGCTGTCGTGAAAGGCTCCAGAACCACTACCGAGTGGGCCTCCTCCGCCGCCGCCACGCCTCCCATCGACAGCGCTACCTCCGCCGCTACCACTCCCCGCTGCTGCTGCGCCGCCTCCTGCTCCTCTCGCTGAAGCAGCTCCACCGCATCCGGCACACCACCACCCCCGCGCTCAGACGCCCCCAGCATCTTCATCAGCAGCTTGGTTACACTGATGCCACCCGCCTCCACCTCCGCAGCCTTCTGGACTGCGATTAGTGCGTCTCGTGTCGGCGGCGGCGGGGCGAGGGTGACGACGCTGGGCGCGCTGTGCTCGACATCCGCCTCCGGCACCCCCTCAGCCAGCGGCGGCTCCCTGCCTCCCCCCAGGCTGCTGCCCGGCAGACCCGCCGGCTGCGTGGAGGGCTCCGGAAGCACGTAGAAGTCGCAGGGGCCGCTGGGGAAGCGGCAGTGCCGGCGGTGGATGGTACGCTGGAGGGGAGCGGTGGCGATTGGGGCGGCAGAGGTAGAGGAGGGTTTTAGGGTTTGTTGTCACAACTTTAGGGTACCGTTTGTGCACTTCATATCCGCTAACTCAGGATTCCTTGATAAGCATCACCATTTTCAACTGGAAAGTGCATCTGTTATTTTTTCCAAGGTTTCTGCTTCTGTCATAAGAACCCCGCCCCTCTCCTCACCAGGCGGGTATACGTGGGCCGACCGGCTCCTCCACTAGCAGCCGCCGCCACCAGCGCCGCCACCCCCACCGCCCGGTTCAGTCCAGAGGCCGCAAAGTACTGCAGGTAGTGCGGGTGGTACGGCAGGCGGTAGGTCGGGGTGCCGTACAGTAGCTTGCCTACCAGCGCCTCTGTGTACGGCACCGCGGGCAGTTCCGTACGCAGATCTCTCGAGAGCTGCTGGCGCATGATGCGATGCGTGCGGCGCACGCAGAGCAGACCGCAGGTACGGCGCATGCAGGACAGCAGCCGCCACAGGAAATACCTGGCAGGCGCAGGTAAACAGGCAGGCACCCGGGGGGGTGTGCAACTCTTGGAAGGTGGGGGGGGGTAAGGGGGAATAGAGCCCGTCTGCAAGTTCGAGCGCATGCGTGTAAACTCAGGGTGGTTTCCTTCCGGTGAGTCGAGCATCACGGCATCCCCAGCTTGCCGGCTTCCCTTTCCCCTCGCCCCTCCTCCCCTCCTTAACCCCAAGCACATGCCTCCTCTACGCCCATCGCCCCCCTCCCGCTCGCAGCCCCGCACCTGCCCAGAATCAACCACAACGGCAGCGCCACCACCAGCAGCAGCAGCGCCAGACCATTCGGCTGCGTGATGCGGCGCCATAGCTCCGAGCTCTGAAGCGCCGAGAGGTCCGCGGAGGCGGAGGAGAGGCGAGCGCTGGTGGCGCGTACGGCGGCAGCGCCGAGTTGCGACACGTCGTCGGTCGTCACCACGGAGAAGTGTGTGTGCATCCACAGCCCAAAGGCGCAGTGAGCAACAGCCAGCCAAGGCAGCAGGGCTGTTTGAGGGAGGGTGTGGGGAAGGAGGGAGGAAGGGAGGTTGTGGGGCCAAGGGCAGCGAGGAACGAGGAAGGATAGCGGCCAGCCATGATGGTGGTAGCTTAAACACACAAGGGAACGCCAGTGTGGGGTTACGATGACCCTGGAGAGGCGCATCCAGTCATGGCCCCTGTTGCGGTGAAGCGGTCTGTCTAGCAGGCAAGGCACCCTTCCTTGCGCCACCCGCACCCCACTCCCCCTCACTCCCTCAATCGGTTCATTAGTCGTTTCCTCTTCCCTCCCTTCACTCATCACTCCCCTCACTTCCCCCTCACTCCCCTCTACTCACCCATGACCAGCTTCATGAGCCCGGTGTTGTAGCGCGGGGCTCCCCCGCACAGCCCCGTCAGCGCCCACCGGTCCGCCGCCTCCGCCACCGCCAGGTACACCACCAGCAGCAGGAAACACAGCGGCATGCCGCTGCCAAACAGCAGAGCCAGGGAGGCGTTCAGGAGCAGGTCTGAAGGGAGGGAAGGGAGGTGACGGGAAGGGGTAAAGCGGGGGATGGGAAGCGGGCGTCATGTATGGTGACTTGGTGAAAAGAGTGAGGTTTGAGTTTACACCCACCCAGCCACCCACCTAGGGCACCGGCCCACCACACCCAGCCACCCACCCGCTGTCCGCTGCTCCAGGGTGAAGCGCGGCCTCGCCCAGGCCGCATCGTAGTCCGCCTGCAGCGGCCAGGCCAGGATGTAGCGCACCCGGAGGCGCAGCGCCGCCAGCAGCCCGCCCTCCACCGCAAGGTTGAGCAGCGGACTGGCGCAGTTGATGAGCATGAGGATCTGGGGCGGGAGGGAGGGAAGGATTCGAAATGTGTTGGATGAATGAGGGAGGGAGGGAAGGAAAGTGGCGGGGAGGGGATTTGGGGGGCGGCAGGGGAGGGGTGAAGCGGGACGGGGTTACAGGGGTGAGCATGGAGGCTTAGGCATGGGGCAAGGCAGGGCGATGTGAATGAGGGCTGCACATATAGCGCCCACCAGCTCTCACACACAACGCCCCTGGGCCGAGCTTCTCATAGCAATTCTGTGGCCAGGTAAGGTCTGTTTCATCTTCTTGCCTCCCTCCTCACCATGATAGATAGGCCCACGTTCTCGTACCAGCCCGAAGTGAAATCGCCGTACGACCCGTACTGCAAGCAGGAGGGGGGCCGTACGGGGGATGGGGGACATGGAGACGTGAGCGATGTACAGCCGTGGATCGTAATGATATGGACTTGTGTCTATTAATATTCCCCAGGATGAGTCAGCGCGGCTTCCACGTACCGGTCTAAAGGCAACCAAGGGCAGCTAGTGTGTAGGACTCTGTGTGCCCGCACAGCCCATACGCGTCTTGTGCCTAGTCATCAACCCACACATAACCACGGGCAATCATGGCATACAAGCAACCATACGACATGCGAGCACAGGGCACTGCCACCGGTACCGGTACCTCCTGTCTTACACAACCCTTATCATCCGCACCCGCCGCCCACCCCCGCCCCCCTCACCTGCACAAAGTACCGTACCCAGCTGCCGTGCCGCCCCTCCCTCGCCAACCGCCCCAGCGCATCGCAGTTGGTCAGCAGCAGCACCACCACCGAGTTGACCAGCATGGCGCCCCAGCACTGCAGAGCGTACGACACCTCACGTGCAGTATGCGTCCAGTGGCTGCCGTACAGCACAAGCGCCCGTAGCAGGTACTTGATGTTGGAGTTGAGGCAGGCCACGACGAGGGCGATGGAGAGGCGGATACCCCAGCTCCTGAGGGAGTAGGAAAGGGATGAAGAGGCCCAAGGTAAGGAAGGAAGGGAGGAAGGGAGGGAGGAAGGAAGGGGGGAAGATGGGAAAGGCAAAGCACGGCAGAGTGACGGTGGAGCAGTGGAGGGGAACATGAGGGATAAGACGAGGGAGACGGGTTAGAACTCGACAGTCATTGGCACCTAAATGAAAGGCCAGGTGTCAGTGTTGCCGTGGCGTCCCAGTGATAGACTCCTTCCTAACCCACAGCGGTGTGGCAAGGTTGCCTCGCCACCCGCCCCCCACTCAACCCGCCCCCGTCCGCACCTGATATCCAGCTGGTTTATGAAGGCGGAACACGTCTGCGTCACCTCGTTCCGCTCCGCACTGCCCTCCACACCCACCGAATCCCCCAGGGACAGCCCCAAACACAGACACGGCAGACACGCCTGCAACCCGCATCCCGCCACAATGCCACTGCTGCTGCCTGCCGCACAGTTCTGCAGCGCCGCGCGCACCGGCCGCTCAAACAGTAGCCTCGCAGTGGTGTTCGCCCATTGCAGACCCAGACCAAACTCCAATCGTACGGCGCCCTCGTACGACGCCTGCAGCTGTGCCGTACAAGTATCCGCCAGCTGACGTGTGCAATAGTCTGCCAAGCCCGGGTACTGCGCTAGACTGGAGGTATCAAGAGAAGACGGAGGGAGTGGGGATTTGGAGGAGGACGGGTACGCGGTCATGGCTGTTAGGGAGTCGGAGATGAGTTTGCCGGTGCGCCATTTGATGGTGCTGCTCTCCTGGTTTCGCAGGTCGGTAAGTTTGGTGATGGCGGCGGCGCAGAGAAGCACCAGCAGCAGCGTAACCAAGCTAACAGCTAGCTGTCGCGCCGCCTGCTGCCACTCCGGCACCGCCAAGTGTTCAAAGATGTAGTCATCCGGCGCGGAGGCTCGCAGCACCCAAAAGCACCGCCGCTGCAGGAAGCGGTCGCGGCAGCGCTGAAACAGACTGCCCAGCCAGCCTGAGAGAGGGGAGGAGCGTGGGGGGGCGTAGGAGGTGGAGAGGGGAAGGGAGGGCGAGGGAGGGAAAGGGGCGATGAGTTGACGTGGGAAAGCATTAAGCATCACTAGGAAGCACCGATGCACAGACGTCCGCTCGCGTGTTCCAACACCCTTCTCCCCTTCCCAATTCGAAAAACTCGCCCCGTCGCCGATCCTCATCCGTTGCTCCCCACCTCTCTCTCTCTCTTAAGGGTGGGGACCCTTGTCAACCGCCCAGCCCGTGCTGCTCCCACTCACTTCCGGGGCAGTGTCCCAGACAGGCGCGCCTCTCATTCTCGGAGTTGAACGTCACGAAAGCCGCCCGCACGCTCTGCCGCTGTTCCGCCACGCCCCTCAGCTGCTCGGCCGTGTCAGCCAGCTGCTCATCGAGCCGCTGGAGCTCGTCCAGCTTCTCATCTGGAATGCGGGTGAGGAAGGGGAGCCGAGGGAGGGAGATGCTCACTTTTGCAAAGTGATAACAGGCAGCACAACAGGCCAAGGCACGGAACGCCATCCACCCTCCATCCCTCTTCCCATCTCTGCCCCAAACGCAACCCCACGCCCACCCACCACCAACCCAACAGACACCCCCTTCCTTACCCCACCACCCGCCACCAGCTCTCACCTGTGCGCCGCACCAGCGCCGCATCAAGCACCATGGCCCTCCGCTGCTGCAGCCGAGCCGCCTTCCCGCAGTGCCGCAGCGTGCTACCCAGCCGGTCTGTCACCAGCACCACGTCAATCACCTCGCCGAATCGGCTAAAGTATGCGCCGACCTGAGAGGGGGACGAGATACGGTAACATGGGGTAAGCTAGGCTCCCCCCACGACATAGCATCCGCCGTGACGTACCGGTAGAAAAAGCTGTTCGGTCGGGCTCTTCAGCACTTCCCCATTCGTGTGCTACCAGCCGGGGGCCTCATCATTCGCCCACCCACCTGCGCTGCGTTCACGCCCGGGGGCAGTCCTCGCACCATTACGGTGTAGTCCGCCGCCTCCAGCGTGGAGCGGTTGCTGGCCTCAGCGAAGCGCCGCAGGTGGGCCCACAGCGCCGCCAGACAGCACACGAAGAGCAGCGCGGCGCCGGCGTCAACCAGGGAGATCCCTGGGGGTGGCGGGAGGAGAGGGTGAGGGTGATTGCCGGTGTGTGACCCGCAGTAGCAGCAATAGAAGAACAAGGCGAATGAGAGGATACGACCTGCAGGATAGGGTAACCGAACAGAGGGATGGCACTCCAGCCCCAGCTGCTCGAGTTCACCCGAGAGGAACAAGATGCAGGAAGCACCAAAAGACCAAAACCGTCGCTGGTTGCAAACAAGAAATGGAAGCCAGTCGGAAAGGACTAAGCCATACACATTGCTGTGCCAGTCCCAAGACGCCATGACCACCAGCAGCCCCATGCCCCATCCCAGCGCCCAGACCTACACACGAGAAAGGTGCTCTTCTGCATGGGTCCCTTCCAGCTGCCCGCCAGCTCGACATTCATGTACTGCAGCGTGCCGTTGTCCAGGCTGTCGTCCACGATGGCCGCAAAGGTCATGGAGGCGACCCGCGTGGCGGGGTACATCTTGACTCCGAACGCGTGGTCGTGCATGTGCGCCTCGTCCGTGAAGACGCTGCGACCAACGACCACCAGGAAGGGAATCTGCGGCGGCGGGCACAGACAATAAATGAAACACTGTAAAATGCCAAGAAGGGCAGATTGTGGGAGGGCCCCCGTGGGAGAGGAGCGCAGTGGGCGAGGAAAGGAGTGAGTGAGCCCCTGTCTTTGTGCAGAGTGAATTGGGTGAGGAAGGAACTGGCGAGCTGTAGGACGCCACAAGGCTTGGCGTGGGTGGGTGGGTGGCTGCTTAAGGCATGTGGTTTGGCACGGGTGGTGGCTGGTGAGAGCGGATGGATGGCTGGCGGAGGAGAGGAAAGGGGCTTCCTAGCATGGAGGAGCGAGGAGCGAATTGGGGATTGCGCATTGCGGACTACCTGGAAGGGGCTGGAACCCGTTTTGAGGGCATCTCTTACCGCGCAAATGATGAGGAGCAGGGCCATCCGCCGGAGCCATTTGAGGAGCTCAAAGTGTAAGCCCACTCCCACACCCCACTCCGCACCCAGCTTGTCCGCCGGAGCGCTGAAGGGCGCTCTTGCACGGCCCGCGCGGAGACCATTGTTGCGCCTGGCCTGCCGGGGGATTGGAAGTTGGCATGGGAGGAGTAAAGCAGGCAGTCAAGGATGGACGGTGGTCAAAGGCGTTGGGACAGGAATGAGCAGTATGCAAAGCCGGATACGTGCGTCAGTTGATTCAAGCTTTGTCGGCTGCCTAAGGAAGCAAGGAAAGGAGGATTTAGGCCAACAAAACCGGCACAGCGCAGAAGGACTCAACAAAGCCAAACGGCCATAGCCATGCAAATCCTGATCTAGTCTTGCATAAATGCAGAATGTACCAGTGACATGGGAAGCCGTGGACGTTTAAGCGGGACAGGTCTAATTCAATGTTGGAAAGTAGGATACAAGGGTTGCTCACCCTTTCAATGTAGGTTCTGCGCAGCTCCCCGATAGACTTGGCCGGAGGAGTCAATGGAGAAGCCAGATCCTGTCGTTTGGGACCAGTCGCTTTGTTAAGAGGACTTGAATGTTCAGTTCACTGCTGCCCATCCTAACAGCGTACCTCAGCTTCTGGCTCATTCATTTTCAGAATTAGTATTGAGAAGATTGACGGGCGCTGTGCCTAACACTACTTGGTATCAGTGTTGTATGCAAGACCAGCTGTTGTCTTTTGAATTGGCCTAACCGTCAAGGTCCAACGACCGGCCGACCGGCCGCCTGACGCGCGAGTCCCTAGCTGCCTAGCAAATGCTGTTGCTTAAGAGAAATACATGTTGTCTACTAAAGCTTAGGGCGAGTGGTAAAGTCAACAGGTTTTTATGGCTGTCGTTGACATTGTCAAATGTCGACGCCGGTGCCGAAAGACACGTATATGTTTAACAGCCTTCGTTCCGCAGTCAAGCACCATATTTGGTATTATAGAAGTCTACTACAGTGTCTTCATAGTATGCGATCACATTCTGCTGCGTTCGAAGCAGGTCAAGGGAGCAGTACCTTTCGTACAAGGCACCATACTTTTAGGCAGATTGGCAGAAGCTGCATGGGAGCTACTACAGTGATAGACGCAACGCGGACGCTGCTCCAGAAAGCGTTGCCATTTGGAACTGCCGTCACATTCCGGTCCCGCATACAAGGCACGGCAAAGCACCTGCGCATTTTACAAATCCTCGGCTGTCGGATACTTATGTATGTGCGTTGCCACCCTGCCAGCCCACGCCAGCTTACCCATTTGGGGTCCTCCATGCAGCCTCCTGACGGCCCCAATGCCGCTGAGTGTGCATGTGTGTTCATCCAAATACAGTGCGTATACAGGGACACTGCAAAAGCAAAGGTAATCATCATCGCGAAATCTTCCTGAGACTATCACGCAGTCTTGACGCTGTTCGGTGCACACAGATGCACCCTCTTACTGGCTCTCCTTGCCTAGGGAGTTACGCGGATCGCTCTACCAATAAGATGACGACTCCCTACGATCCCCGCTCGGGGTTTCCCTCCTGACGCTTTATGACAAAGCAGGGTCTTCCTACCATAACCCAAGCTGCCAAAGCCTGAAAAGCTACGATATAGCCTTTGCTACAGGAATGAAATACCAACCCTTACCAGCTAAACCATACCATACTTGAGCACTAGTCCTCTTATCCACAGTGCGTAACCTAGTAAAGGGCTATACACATAGGACATAGCAGTCATACCGCCACAACAAGCCTGACGAAAACAACTGCTTCCTCCACTCGCCTAGCTGACCTGCTCCTGTCTGATGCAAGGTCGGCATGGTCCTTCCCTATCAGTATCCTGCACGGCTAGTACATCCTCCTTACACTCAGCTACCGCCTCCCTCCTCCTCACTAGGAAGTTCCCCCTCCTCTTCCTCCGACGTATCGCCCCCCGTCGGCTGCCTTGCACCCTGGCGCTGCGTGCCCTTCCCCTTGCCTCCACCGCCGCCGCCAGCCCCCGCTGCGCCGCCACGGCCCAACTGCCCTTTCCCCTTGCCGTATGACGGACCCCCGCCGCCGCCGCCTCCAAGACCATCATCCAGCTCCTCCGCAATGAGCTGCATGAAGTCGTCAGCTGGTCGCTTCCCGGACTGACCCCCGGGTCGCGCCCCACGCCCAAAGTACGCCGTACTCGTCAGCACGTCATAATCCTCCTCCTCCTCTTCATCCGCCGCGTTATCCTCACGGCCCTCCTCAAGCGAGCGGGAGGGGCTGCGAGAAGCCGCATGCTGGGCCGCATTCCGTGACTGCGACCTTGCATGCTGTTGACCTCGCCCTCCACCACCACCGCCACCACCACCACCGCCACCGCCGTCACTATCACTGTCGTACCCTGCGCTACCTCCGCGGCTATAATGACTGCCGCCACCACCAACCCCACCACCCCCAGCGCCTCGCTGCCCTCCAGCACCTCCTCCTCCTCCTGCTCCTCCCGTGTCCCCGGCGGGTGGTGTGGGCGGCACCCCCAGGTGTGTCAGCATGCGCGCACTGGCCTCCAGTCGAGCCATGCGGAAGTTCGCGCCCACTGCGATCACCCGGTGCGGCGTGTTGCGGATGATGAGCTCCACCTCGACCAGCCTGCAGCGGGGGGCGGGGCAGGGCGGGGAAGTGGAGCAGGGCGAGTCAGGGCGGCAGTAAGGACAGATAATGTGATGGCGAACGCGGTGGAAGGCAGGAGAGGGGGGAAATAAACAAAGGGGCGAGACGCGCGGAGACATGGCGTTGGCTTGGGAAGGAAGGAGCTGTGTTCCACAACAATCAAGCCACCACAATGGCCACCACCGCCAGGAGCCCGTCTGGCTGACCCACCCACCACTAGAGCACCTGCTCGGAATCCGGCCTGCTTTTGCAACTCCCCAGGCGGGGGGGGGGGGTAAAAAAGTCTTTGCCAAACCCCATGATAAAAAGTCAAGAAAGGGGTGCCGGACCCACCCACCCACCCTGTCGTACCGTTTTTGCTGTACGACAACGCTGTAAACTTCGCAAAATCGCCCCAAAAAAGCACCATTCGACTCCATTTCACATGATCTTCGTCGTTCTCACGTTAGGCGTGCCATTTGGCAACATGTCCGAGTCGCTCGCCACACGGGGGGGGCCAGGCAGGCTGCCAGACTCAATGCTCTCTGGTATGCAGCCGATACACATCTCTTTTAAACCTCACATGCATTGCTGTAATGCTTGAGTGCACGGTTGCGTTGGTAGGTGTGCTCCAGCCCACCTGCCACTGCGTCCCTCACATGACCCTGCCATCGGTACGACCCTCCCCCGGGTAGCAGGTTGGGCTTGCACCCCATCGCCCTCAGCACCAGATGCAGAACCACGCATGTTTCCACCTGCCACGGGTGTGTCGTCAGTACGCCTGTTGCGTGCCCTCCCCCTTTAACCTTGCCCTAACTTTGTGATTTTATTCATTTGGTTCCTCTTTGGGCCCCTTCCACTTAGCCCCTGTCCCTGCTGCTTGTTTTGCCTCTGGAGAAGCCATACCGTGTATGTTGGGCCAGCTAGGGTCTTCCATGGGGACATGCCACCCGCAAACTCCACACAAAGGCTCTAATATTAACATAATATGCATACACTATAACAGGAGTACTAAATCTGCTATCCGTTTGGCGAAACGATACCTAGGAAAAAAGTTTTGGATGTCAAAGAAAAAAGTCATTGGGGCTCAGGACCCACCTTCCCACCCCTGCCGTACGACCAACTTTGGAAGCCTATAACTTTTTCCGTACAACCCCGATTACAATTCTGAAAGCGGATTCGGAATGCTCTCGTTGAGTACTTTAATGTTGAAGCATGGGATCATTTTGCGGCGAAACTAACCCCCCCTGCCCCAGGTGCCATAAACCTCCCCGTTTCCTCCCCATTCCCTTTCACAATACGCACTTGTTAGGCGGGCTGCCCTCGTTCCGCAGCGTTTTCCAAATGCAGCTCTCCTTGCTGAAGATCTGCATCAGCCGCTGCAGGCTGACCTCGCTGGCGACATGGCCACCCGTGCCACCCGTGCCACCTACTGAGCTCTGCATGCCCCCCACACCAACACCAGCAGCACCACCAGCCCCCTCATGTGAGGAGGAGGACGCCGCAGGTTGCGGGGCAGGTGCAACAGGAGCAGGTGCGGGCCCTATGAAGGCGGCCGGTCGTGCAGCTGCTGGTTGCTGCTGCTGTGGTTGCGGCTGCGGCTGCGGGTGGCCCGACGGCGCTGCTGAGGGGCCGGGTGCGGGTGCGGTGGCGAGCTGCACGCCCAGGCGCCTCAGGGCGGCCATGGCTGCGAGACGCTTGGCTTCCTTCTTGGTCTGACCCTGCCCGCGGCCGGTTTCCTGAGAAGGCATCAAGGAGGAGGGGGAGGGGGAGGAGGAGGAGGAGGCATCAACAGGAGGCTGGAAGGGTTGACCTTCAGAGATTACACACCAGAAACGCGAGCGGAATGGCGTGCATGGGTAGGGTTTACACACGTGCACGGTATGCAAATAAAAGCAAGACACTCATTACATCCACGTCAAGACGGGACGACTCACGACTCGCATGTTACCCCTGCACACGTGTTCCCATCCGCTCATGCATCTCTCTCCGCCTAACACGGCTAACCACGCTTCCGCCCTTCATCCTCCTTTACCCCCCCTTCCCCTTCCCCTCTCCCTCCCACGCACCTTCCCCCCGTAGTGCACCACCACCACCCAGTGCCCCGGGCTGCTGTCATCCCCCGACAGGAAGTCCAGCTTCACACGGTTCCGCTGCGCCAACTCGTTCAGCTTCGTTACCGGGTTCTCAACCGCCACCATCTGCACCGGCTCCTGCGGGGGAGGAGCCGCGGGAGGCGGCGGCGGCCCCCGCTGCTGCTGCTGCTGCTGCGGTTGCTGCTGGGGTTGCGGTTGTTGCTGGGGTTGCTGCCAAGGAGGCAGACCTCCTGGCAAGCTGCTAGCGCTGCTGGTGGTCTTGCCGGACTTGCTGTCGTGCGGCGCTGCGCCCTGGCGTGCCGCCTTTGCGGGCGGCTCGCCAGCGGCGCCTGAGGAAGAGGGCGAGGGGGGTCGCTTCATGCCGCTGATGGCTGGCTGCCCGGATACACCCACCATGCCGCCCTGGGGACCCATCATGCCGGGCATGGGCTGACCCGGCCCGGGCCCCGGCCCGCCCATGTAGGACGGCTGAGGCTGGGGCCCCCCGCCTGGGTACTGCATGCCGGGCTGCATGGGCTGCTGCGACATGCCGCCCTGCTGCTGCTGCTGCGGATGCTGTTGTAGGTGCTGGGGGTGCTGCTGCGGGTGCTGCATGGGGCCGTGTGGGGGCGGCTGGTGGCCGGGGCCGCCGCCAAAGGGAGCGCCCATGGGTCCAGCCTGGGGGGGCATCCCGGCCATGGGGCCACCATGCGGTGGCAAGTGCTGGGGGTGCTGCGGGTGGGGCTGCTGTTGTTGCTGCGGCTGCGGCGGCATACCCATGGGCAGCATGGGGCCGCCTGGGGGTTGTTGTTGGTGCTGTAGCGGTTGTTGTTGCTGCTGTAGCGGGTAGTGTTGCTGGGGTTGGTGCTGCGGTTGGTGCTGTGGCGGCTGCGGGTGCCCCGGAGGCATGCCTTGCATCTGCATGGGTCCTCCGCCCGGCTGCTGCATCTGCATGGGTCCACCCCCCGGCTGCTGCAGCTGCATGCCGCCCATCCCCACCTGCATCCCCTGCGGTCCGCCGCCGCCGCCTTGCGGAGGCATGACCAGCATCATGGGCATCCCATTGGGCTGCATGGCCATGCCCATCTGTGGTGGCTGCTGCTGTTGCGGCTGCGGTTGTTGCAGGTGGGGCTGCGGCTGCTGCTGCTGCATGGGGGGTCCGCCCATCATTCCCCCGCCCATCATTCCCGGCTGGCCCATCCCGGGTGCCGGCGCCGCTGCTATCGTGATCATGCCTGGCGCAACCCCCGTGCCAGGGAAGCCCTGTGGTCGCCCCATGAACACCGGTTGCTGCATCATGTGGCCCCCCGGAGCGGGCTGACCCATGAAACCCGCCGGGCCCTGCATGACCATGGGTCCGGGTGCAGGCGCCGTAGCTAGCCCGCCGCCAGGCAGCTGAATGGGCGGCTGGAGCATCTGCGGCTGCCCCTGCGGCTGCTGCATGTGCCCTTGCGGCGGGAACCCTGCCCCCGGGGGCCCCATCTGACCCGCGGGTCCCATGACCATACCTGGCGCCTGCTGCCCGGGCCCCGGCTGCCCCTGCGGCGGAACCCCAGGCCCGCCCATGGCGAGACCTTGCCCCGGCCCAACAACCTGACCCGGGCCCGGTCCTGGGCCGCCTGGCTGCATGGGCTGCGGTTGCGGCTGGAAGATGAGGCGCCCGTCGGGAGCCACCACCAGCTGCCCCTGCAGCCCCTGACCCTGGCCGCCAGGCGGGGGGAGGAACTCAGGAGGCGGCAGGCTGGCAGGCCCGCCAGCAGGGGGAGCGGCGCCAGGACCCTGGACTGATGCCCCAGCGCCGGGGCCAGCTTGCATGGGCGCAGGCCCAGGCAAGCTGCCTTGGCTGCCCTGGCTTTGCAAGGACGGCGTTGGCACGGGCGGAGTTGGGGGTCGGCCGGGAACAGGCGGGTGGGGAGGCGGGCGCGGTGGAGGCACGTTGGGAGCTCCTGGGAAGGCCTGCTGTTGCTGTTGTTGAGACTGCGGAGGCTGCGGCTGTTGCGGGTGCGGAGGTGGGCGTTGGTGGGGATGCGGCTGCTGTTGCTGGTAGTGTGGAGGCCCTCCTTGCGGCTGCTGTTGCTGGGAGGGTGCCGGTTGCTGCAGTTGCTGCTGCTGCGGTTGCTGCTGCTGCGGTTGTTGGGGCGGTTGGAGCTGCCCGGATGCAGACATGGGGGGCTGCTGGCCAGGTACTGCTTGCTGGCTGTGAGGTTGTTGTTGTTGTTGCTGCTGCTGAGGCGGTTGCTGCTGCTGGGGACCAGCCGGCGGTATCTGCCGCTGCTGTTGCTGCGAAGCCTGAGGCGGCTGCCCCTCCTGCTGAGGTTGCTGCTGCTGCGGGGGAGGCGCCGGCTGCTGGGCCTTCTGCTGCCCCTGCTGCTGCTGTTCCGGCTGCGCTAGCGACTGGGGAGGAGCAGGAGGAGGAGGACCAGGAGGGTGCTGTTGCGCAGCTGGCGGCGGTCCCGGCTGCTGCCCCTGCGGCTGCCCTTGCTGGGCGGCAACTTTGCTGCTGTGCTGCTGCTGAAGCAACCCCACGACTTTAGCCACCCCTGCCGGCCCCTGATTCAGCCATGCCTCAACCTGCGCACGCAGCTTGGGCTCGTACGCACTGAACTGGTTGAACAGCGCAGCTACCAGGGCATCGTTGACACGGGGAGTCCCTCCGCCGGGGGCCGCAGCAGCCGCTGAGGCTGAGGCCGGCGCCGCGGGTTGAGCGCCGCCGCCACCCTCTCCGCCTCCATCGCCTCCGCCTGGAGGTCCCGCCTGCTGCTGCTGAGGCTGCTGCTGGGCTGCTGCTGGCGCCGAGGGACGTAGCAGACCCGATGGCACCTGCTGCGGCTGAGTCCCTGACGCATCCGCAGCCACAGCTGAGCCCCGTCCCTGTCCAGAAGCACCGCCAGCAGTAGCAGCGTTCGACGCCGTGCTTTCGGCGCTGGCAGCAGTGGGTGCTGCTACTACAGGGACGGGGGCTCCGCCATTCATCCCGCCCGCCGCTCCTGCCCCCCTGCCATGCTCCTCCGCTCGGTCCGCGGGTGCTGATGCAGGTCGCGTGGGGCCTTCGCCCGCCGCTGGTGCTGGTGGCAATGGCAGCTGAGGAGGCTGCTGCTGCTGCTGCTGCTGCTGCGTCGCAGCCTCCCCTGCAGGCTGCGGACCCGCACCACCTGCCGGTGCGGGGGCGGTGGTAGCCGCGCTGGGCGGCGCAGTGACGGCGGGCAACCCCGGGCGCGGCTCGGCAGCGGGGACCTGCTGTTGCTGCAGCTGCTGGGGTTGAGGCTGCGGTTGCGGTTGGGGCTGGGGTTGGAGTCCGGAGTCGAAGGCCTCGATGCTCCACTTGCTAGGGTCCAGCATGGCAGTAGTCGTACGACGCTTGGGCGGCTCAGGGACCACAACCGGCTGTGCTGGGGCCCCGAAGGGCGCAAGTACGGGCTGCTGCTGCTGCGGGAGCTGCTGCTGCTGCTGTAGCGGTTGGGGTGCCGGTAGCGTCCCCGCCTGCGCTTGGCGGGAGGCGGCTGCTTGCCTTGCCTGCGTCAGATAAGCAGGATGGAAGGGGGGAAGAAGGACAGGGTGCTAGTGGAAAAGGGGCACTCGTCAGGCAGGAGACCAACCCCGCTAAACCCCATCCAACCGCTCACTCCTGCATTTCGACCCCCCCCAACTGCTTGCTCTTGTCCTACTCAACTACACACGCAGTCCTCTCAACCCACACCCACACCCACCCGACGTGCTGCTCGCGGGTCCACTGGCTTCAATGAAATCACTGGCGCCGGCCCCTGCCCCTGCCCCGCCGCCCCGGAGCCATTCGCCGCAGGCACACCCTCCTGACCCATGGGTCCGCCCACCGGCCCCGCTGACAGCGGCTGCTGCGGCGCAGCTCCCAGGGGCCCGAAGGCGGGCGGCAGCCCCCCCGCATGCAGCGGTAGCGGCTGCTGCTGCTGCTGTAGCTGCATGGCTGGTGCTGCTGCTGCGGGGGCTGGTAGCATGGGTGCTGTTGCGGGTGCGGGCTCGGACTGCTGGTCGGGCGGGGGCGTGTTGCTGCTGAGCCGCAGTTGCGCCGCGATGGAGGCCAGGGTGGGCATCTGGTACACCCGACTGCCGCCCGACTGCGAGGAGGAGGAGGAGCGGGGGTGAGCAACAGGAGGGGGCGGGGTATGCGCGGGTTGGTTGGTGAGTTGGTTGGTTGGGAGGTGCGAGGAGGAGGAGGCTACAGGATGCGAAACATGAGGCTGCTAACCGCCCTCCCTCAGGTGCCCACCGCAGCCTTCCCCCTCCCCTGCCAGCCCTATCCGCCCCCCCTTAAACCCCTCCGCCGCCTTCCCCCTCTTACCCTCAGCACGCTAGCCACGCTCCGCAGCCCCGGCAGCAGCACCCCCGGGTCGCGCCGCTGCTGCTCCTCCGGCGCCCCCACCGTCACCAGCCGCTCCGCCAGCGCCCGCAGCCGCTCGTTGATGTCGAAGAAGAGCTCCGCGCGCAGCTGCATCACCGCGTCGCGCATGCGCTTGATTTCGTTCTCCGAGGCGAGTGCCAGTCGGTCGGCGGGGGTGCCGGGGCCGGACACCAGGCGGGCCGCCTCGTCGCGGTACCAGTACCAGGGGACAACCTGGGAGGGGAAGGAGCAGGAGGAGGTCAGGGTCAGGGAAGCGAGAGGGGGTAGGTAAGCAGGCAGGCAGGGTAGGGGATGTGGAGGCGGTGGATGCGGCCACCCGCCATGCGGTACACATGCAGTAGCCATCATCGCCTCCCAGCCCTCCCTGCCTCCCTGCGCGGCCCCCACCTGCAGGATGCACGGCTGCGCCGCCGGCTCCCACACATCCAGCCGGTCGTCCAGCACCACCGCCAACGGCAGCGGCGGCTCGTCCTCCTGCAGCTCCGGCCACTCCAGCCGCGAGTTGCCGGCGCAGTCAGCGACGCCCAGGGACCTGGGGGCGCGGGAGGGAGGGGGTTGCGGGTTGGGCGAGCCGGGTCAGGGGCGTGAGGCAAGGGGTCATCAGGAAGACAGAGGGGTCAGGGCAGCCCCTGCGCCTGTTTCAGCATGTGCTTGCTTGCTAGCTAGCTAGCTCTTCCAGCCCATGGCACTGCACCCTCACCCCCACCACCACCCGCCCCTATATCACGCAACCCCCGCTGTAGTTGCACAACACCAAGTCAGACACCACCACCACCACCGCCCCCCTCACTTGAGCAGCTGCTTCTTCCTGCCGCCGGGCACGTTGATGATGCGCGCGCGACGCTGCTCCACGGGGATGATGCTGGCGCGCGTGTCCAGCAGCCGCCACACCTCCAGCGCGTACTGCCGCTCCGCAGCCGTACACACGTACACGTCAAACCTGGGGCGGGTAAGGAAGCGTGTGTGCGGCAAATAAACGGGTATGTTAAGGAAGCGCGTGTTAAGAGAACTGGTCGCGAGCGTGTTAAGGAAGCGCGCGCGTGTGTCTTTGCGTAGTGAAAAACAAGGGGCGCACAATAACGGGGAAAGTAGGCATGGGGCTCTTCAGTTCTCCGCAGGCAAGACTCTCCGAATGTAGAGCAGCCCCAGGCCGCAGCCCCCTCGCCCCTCCGCCCCCCCTCCACCACCACCACCATCCCAACGGCTCTTCGCTCTCCTTCCTTTCGTCCCTCCTGCACTACGCCCACCCACCGCTGCTTGATCTTCCCATCCGGCTCCGAATCCCCCGCCAGCAGCCCCCGCAGCTCCTCCCAGCTGGGTCGCGGTCGCAGGATCATGCTGGTCTCGCGCTGCTCGGGTCGGATGCGCGTCAGCATGAGCGGCTGCGGCTTGTCCAGCCGGATGACCGGGCGGCGGATGGCGGTGCCGTCCTCCAGGTAGGCGGGCTCGGGCCTGGGGGAGAGAGGGGTGGTGGGGTGAGGGGGTAGGGGGAGTGGGGGTTGCAGGGGCAGCATGCGTGGGAGAGAGCGACGAGGGGGGAAAGATTGGGTGGGAAACACAGTTGCCCCAGCCCCCGACAAGGCACACAGCCATGCCTTGCTCCATCTTATTTCCCTCCCTGCCGCCCCCAGGTCCTTGTTCCGGCTCGCGGCCAGTTTTCCAGTACAGAGGCCCAGTTGACCCAACACGCCAGCGATCAGCTGTCTTAACAGACACCCACCCACCCCTCTTCCCGACACACCTGGCCTTGTACGTCACTCCGTTGTATGTGATGCTGTCCGTCTTTGCGAACTGCCGCAGCAGCTCCAGGTCCCCAGCCAGCAGCTCCTCCTCGCGCGCGGCAGCAGCCTCCGCGCCACGCAGCCGGGCGGCCTCCTCGCTGTCGCCCGTCACTCCGCCGGACAGCAGCTCACGCAGCTCCGCGGCTTTGAGACGTCTGGATAAAAGGAGAGGAGGAGGGAGAGGAGCAGCAGTGGGTGGGTGCGTGTGGGAGGGGTGGTATGCGGTGGGTGCAGTGGCATTGTGTGCGTTGAAGTCAGGGAGGCGTTTTGGGGTTGTGGGACTTGTCGTCTTTCCTGACGTGGGTTCCTGACCATGTGCGTTGTGAAAGGGTTTGACTACGGCAGGTGTACGACCTGTGCTTTCAGTGCAAGTATGGAGGTGTCGTACTTGGGCGGTGCTTGCAACCAGGAGCGTTTGAAAGAGACATGGTTCAACGGGACTATCATTCCAATCAGTGCAGTAGCAATGACGGAGCGAACAATTCCAGGTGATATACGTCCTTAGCACACGTTGCAGCACTATGCGCACATGGTTTGTTTGGGGTTGACGTGTGTAGGCTTGAAGGTGTGTTTACTTTGAAGCGCGCGACGCACAACACTTGCTAGACGCGCTTTCGGCTAGCATTGCAACATCGCCTTAAGGCTGTGCACACTTGCAACTTAGGCAAAACGCATGCGGAGGAAGCGGCCCTAAACACAGTGTCCCGTGTAAAGTGCCGCTTCTCTCCTTGCATGTCCCTTGTCTTTTGACACAGACACATTTGCAATGTAGTATGTTTAGTCATACGGCTGTTGTTGTCAAAGCCGGTCAACTTCTTTTACTCCTTTACGTTAGTATGTGACATGCTTGAGCCATGAATCTCCCAGGTTCAGACAGTCACACAGCAAAAACACACCGCATCTTCCCATAACCCCAACGCCGTAGCAGCATGGGGCCAGCCATCCCCGCACCTGTTCTTGCGCGCCACCTCTATCTTCGAATCAAGCGTCGACATTGAGTTTGCCACCAGCAGTGTTTCGTCCAAGTCAAGAACTACAGCCATGCGGCTGTTGTCTAACATGAGCGACACGGCGGAGGCCACACCGAAATACAGCATGTAACCCCAAAAGACCGGCCCCTTGGTGCCGTCATCTGTGCATCAGGAAAGGTGGGAGAAGGACCGAGCTTGGTGCCCGCTGCGTGCCGAAGGGAGGTGGCTGTTATGTAATGCCGAGATGCATGCAAATGTACGACGCATCAACGCAAGGCACTTGACCAGGCAAAAGGGCAGTGAGCAATGGCCGTAGGGACAGCATACAGTTAGTAACATGTGGTCTGGTGGTCGTGCGTACATGGTAAGCTGCACATTTAACCGGGCGGTGGTTACGAAAGCTACGTAAGACCATAACGACCCATGGGCCTTGCCAATCGCTATGCATATCAGTATAAACTTGGCAAAGTGTACAAAGAAGGTCAAGTATCGCAAACGCTAGTGTTCTGATTAAACGCATACTGAAAAGTGGGCAGCCGAGACATGTTCACAAGGTGAGGCACACGTTTTGCAAAACAAAGCCAAAACCGAAAGCGGTCCCAATCATTATAAGGGCTTGTACTGCAACTGTTTGCCTCGACAATGCACTCAACGTGGCCTCGGCGAAAAAGAAGGAAATTTTGGAAGAAGCTCAGACAGTGGAGCCAAGGCAGGCAAGAGAAGGCACAGGAAGCAAGCCTATATTATGAATGATTTGAACCTTTATTTTCCATGGAATACAACGGAAGGGAAAGGCAAAGTTAGGTAAGTCACCTTGAACTGAGAAGACAGGCGCGAGCAGCAGTTCGCGAGTCTCATTTATCTTGATGACGATCGCCTTCCTGTTTTCCAAGCAATGCTGATGCTCCTCAGCAAACCTCTCGAATGCACTGCAAGTCCATGAACTCTTTGTTAAGGCCCGGCGGAGAGTGAATCACCGCATGGACGTTAGAACACGCTACCTGGGATTCTCGGCACGATCAAGTGGAAGAAGGCGGAGGTCGGGAACTTGGCCTGTGCATAGAAGTATGGGTATATAGCCGGACACTTTCCTCCTAAGCAAGGCGCCCATCGCAGCTATGCTTCCACTCACCTCCACTGCTGATATGAAGTGTTAATAAAGTTGAAACCTTTTTACTCTCCCTACACATAAAGACGTACACGCGCACTGATAAGGTATGCGTCGGTGCCTTGGGCATCCCCGCCAGTCAAGAATGCTTACTCTACAACCCAGCAACATAGCAACACTTTTGACCATACAACAACCCCAAACATTCCCAATACACGCAGTATGTACCAGTAGCAGTAGACTTTAAGCTCGGGGCCCGACACCGCCTGTGACAGCGCATCGTCCCATGCCTTGCAAGGGCTGATCAAGCACGGATACCGTGCATCCTTGTCAAAGAACAAGGCAGACACCCTCATGGTATTGGGACGTGCGTTCTAGGGCAAGGTTTTGGGGGGTGCGCGCGGCCTGCTTTGGATTCTCTCAGAAAGGACCCTACACCGCCGCCGCCGCTGCCGCGCTTATAACCTATAGCGGCAAGCGGCGGCGTATAGACTTCGCTCCTACGCAATCCGTCGTGAGGTATTGGGAGGACCAACAGAGGCAAAGATATAGGACCACGTTACACGTCCCCTCGCGTAAACAGTCAAGGCGTGTGCAGTTTCTCTAATTGTGTAGTATGTATTGGCAAGTGGAGACATGGTAAAAAAACTATGTGCATGGCGTGCATGTCCATTAAGTTGCAATGCGGTCGGGCCTTACGTGTGCCGTATGCGGCACTGTTGACTGGTTGTCATGTGCTTTCTTTGTTTTTGTTGAGAAATTTTTTAGTCCGACGTCTGGCTATGGCAGGCTGTGGCAGAAGTGAATTACCCTCGCCGTGTTGTGCATAGCTGAATGACCGCGTTGTTACAATAATATAGCCGGACTGGCTCTCAGGATAAATGAATCCACTTACACAGGTACATAACAACGATTCTGAGCTTTGGTTGCAAGCTATGCGGAGCCTCTGAAACCCTCTTCCGTTTCCATGTAGATCAAAAACACACAGAAGGCAACTCGCCGGGAGGTTGACGCTGGCATCAGCGATTCCGCGTCATGGCACGCCCGCTTCAAGCACTCGGCGTACGTCTTTACTGGCGGGCTTGACTACGGCCTCACCGAGGGAGACCTGCTGGCTATCTTCGCGCAGTATGGCGAGATCGTGGACCTCAACCTCATACGTGACAAGGACACCGGCAAGTCGAAGGGCTTCGCCTTCCTGGCTTACGAAGACCAGCGCAGCACTGTGCTGGCAGTGGACAACCTGAACGGCGCCAAGGTGGTGAAACGCACCATCCGTGTCGAGCACGTGGACAACTACAAGAAACGCAAAGCGGAGGTGCGGCCGTCGAGCTCGTTTGGGGGGGGGATCGTTTCGGAAGGGACTTGGGTTTTCATGCCGCGGAATTGCAGCTTGTGAACATGGGAGGGCGGTTTGGAAGCTGCAGCGTGGGCTCAGCATGTGTTGCCTTCGCTGCTGCTACGCCGCAGATTGAGGGTGAAGACCCTGACGCTGTGGAGGAGGAGGAGGAGGAGGATGCCCAGGAGGGCCGCGGTGGTGACGTGCGGGCAGCAGGAGCAGCGGGCGACGCGCCAGGTATGCCTACCAGCTTCCCACCACCCAACATGACGTGACAGCGCAACGTGATCCACTGTACCGCCCCCGGCCCCGAGCTTTACCTCGTCGTACGTTGCCCCTTGGTATACGACGGGTTTTGCAGCTTACAATCCGACGCACATGCGATGCTGCTCCTAACCACCGCCCGTTTGCTTCCCGTTGCCGCCACCACGCACCCCCCAAGCAGGTGGTCCGGGTCCTCCGCCCCCTCGCCGCGGCCGCAGCCCCCCGCCTGCCGCACCCCCTTCCCGGGCTGGTGGTGGTGGGTTGGCGGCTGAGCCCTGGGCGGCCGCCGGCTCCATCTTCTCCCTCATGGAGGAGGCCAGGCAGATGGAGGCGGCGAAGAAGGTGCGAGGGAGGGGGCACCGGATGCTGAGCCTGTCCTGTTTCTTCTGGTGAATTGCTGCCTGGGCTCTCCTTGCAGTGATAGCAGGCCAGCAGCGGGAGCAGCAGTGCCTTGGGGTGACTAGGGGCACACATGGCGTGTTATTGCTGCGTTGCAACGTTAACCTGATGAATATGCATTAAATGCATGTTGCTTTCCTTTTTGACTCCTTGCAGGCTGGCCGGAAGTCGGAGGGGCGGGAGAAGGACCATCCCTCGGGAGCGGCCGCTGGCAGCAGCGGCAGAGGGCAAGCAGCCAGCGAGCGGCCCGGCACTGCTCGCGGGGAGCAGCGGCAGGCAGCTGATCGCGAGCGTGATGTGCGCGACCGGGAACATGACCGGGACCGGGATCGGGAGGAGCGTGGTCGCTCTGCGGGAGCCCCTGCTTCTCGCTCCTTTGGCCCTCCGCGGCCCCCTCAGCGCCCGTCAGCTGCGGAGGAGCCCGCTGGGCAGGGTCCGGCTAGCACCCGAGGGGGCGGTGGCAGTGGCGCTGGGGGTCGCTATGAGAGCGCGGCCAGCATGCGGGATGATGGTCGGGAGGAGGGGCGGGAGGGTAGGGGTCGGGGGGGATCAGAGTACAGGCGCGGTGAGCGGGAGGGAGGGGCGGAGGAGCGGCGGCGGGGTGGGTCGTCCAGGTCACCGGGTCGGAGGTACGGCAGCGGCCGGGAGGGGAATCGGGGCGAAGGGGAGGAGCGGGGAAGGGAGTCGGGGCGAGGGAGAGGAGGGGAGGCGGAGGTGGAGCGGGACCGGGATCGTGGCAGGGCGCGAGACCGGGAGCGCAGCCGCAGTCGAGAGCGGGAATGGGAGAGGGAGCGGGAAAGGGGACGAGGGGACAGGGGTGACCGGGAGCGTGGGCGGGACAGGGAGCGGTGACAGAGGCCGTTGGTGGTAGGTAGTGTTGTTGTCGTGACGGTGACGGTGAAGGTGATGAGGGAGCATGATAGGCGCAATGACCCGGACGCTGTGTTGTAGGGCTGCTGGCATGCGATGTGTTGTAAGGCTGCCGGCATGCTGTGGGTCTACCACTCTACTTGCCGTTTGGCATGCGTCGCCCATGGCGCTGCTTGAGGGATGAGGTGACTACTCGTGCTCTGCAGTTTGGGGCTTTAGTACGCTGAGCTTACCACAGCAGCTTTATCCGCTCACGAAACAAAAATGACAACGTCAGTTTTTCGCTAAAGCTCATGGTTTACAATCGTTGGCTACCATTGCACGCTCACTAGCACACGACGCGTGGGGGACGGCCCCTCACAATGCTGACACCTGCACCCTGCCGGAGGATGCCGAGCTGGTTGTTGCATGTGCTGCTCGCACGGGAAACCACAATTTGCGGCCACATGTAAGGCGGCGTCACTCGTCCCGCCTGCACTTGCTCCGTACTTGATGGCTCTGGCTGTCCTCTCCTTCTTGCGGTGCCTCTGCAGGGGGCCCGTGACACAAGTTTACGAGCAATCCTCCTCTCTCACATAAGCATGCTAAGCAAACGGATGTCGGCAAGATACTAGTACGCACACGGGCTGGTGTTGCAACAGAAGTGTAGTGTACTACGACGCTTGCTACCCCTGCTGCGGGTTGGAGCGTTGGACGCACCTGTAACCTCCTCTTCCTCTCGTTTGCGCTTGGTGCTGCTAGCGCGTTGCTCCTGGCTGGTGCCCACCGCAAGCAGCCCAGCGCCCTGCTGCGCTACCAGCCCTGCCACCGCTGCAGAACTGCCAGCTGCTGCGGGTGCGGGTGCGCCGTCCCGCGGGTGGCCCCCCTGCATCCCACGCTGCAGGAGCGCGCAGCAGGCTGCATCCAGCGCGTCGTCCATTAGGGGGTGAGGGCCGCCTGCAGGCTTGCAGGTCAGGGCCGACGCACCAGGTACCGGCACCTCCAGGCTTTCCTGCCCTCGGGGCGCTCCAGGGGAGGCCATGATGGGCTCCGGGCAGGGTGGTACGGCAATGGGCTCATGCACGCCGCCGAATGCCTGCTGGATCGACTGTACGACAAGATCCTGGTGAATGGTTGTTGGGCCCTGGTCTTCACCTCCATGAACCAGCCCTGAACAATCACTTCGATGTGTGTTGCCTAGCAGCGACAGGGGTGCCGGAATACGCAGCGCCTGGCCGCTATTAACCGCACCAGCATTCAGCGTTGGCAGCGCCAGCACCGCAACCGTATCTGCATTGTAGCGGCTTGTTCCCTGCCCACCGGTTGCACCTCCACCACAACCACCAACCAACTGTGTTGCGGGGACTTTTCCAATCACATGCTGCATGATGACACGCTGCTGCGCTGCTAGCTGCTCCAGCTGCCTCTGGATGGCCAGAAGCGCCCGCCGGTCTTCCTCCTCTCGCTGCTGCTTGGCTAGCGCGCGTCGCAGCAGCAGCACCGCGCCGGCAGCACCGCTCAGCAGCCGCAGCACCCAGCGAGCTTGCTCGGCGATGGTGGACATGGAGGAAGCGAAGGGAGCCACTGCTGCTGCTGCTGCCCCAGCCTGCATGCGTGAGGCGGGAACGGGGCAGAAATGCAGCAAGGTTACGAATGCAGCAAGGACGTATACCGGTACTAGCGACACAACAAAACCTCCTCCCAAATAAACTTGCATGCGCAGATAGCAAAACCTGGTGTGCTTTGCATGGCGGTATATAGCTGGAGCAATTACCGGAAAGACAGCTAAGCACCTGTAGAGCAGGGCAGCAGGCTCCCCAACCCCCATCCCAGCTTCTCTCTCACCAAGGGTCCACCATCCAGCTGCTGCGGCACCCATGTCTGCAGCCCCTGCCGCAGCAGCCGCTCGCCGCATGCGGTGAGCAGCAACAGCCCCAGCAGCGGCAGCCGGGCGGGCTGCAGGCTGGCGGAGCTGGTCAGCAGCAGCGCTAGGGCCGTGGAAGCTGCGTAGAAAGCCAGGTCCTGCGGGGACGTAAAACTCGGCACCTTAGGAGCCGGGGCACATCCCCATTCGCCAAGGCATGTACGCCACCCACAAGAACAAACATCCATCCTCCCAGAAGCATTGCGCCACATTCCTTTGCGCCAAGCCTTCTGCTGCGCTCGTGGTGTGCACATCGTCTTCCGGGTTCCGACAATTCCAGTATGTTTCTCCTCGTGGCCGGTTTGCCTAACACACGCTTCCAGCCCAGCCCAGCCCAGCCCACCTTGAGTGTCCAGCTGCCCCCTAGCAGCCTCCCCAGCAGGCTGCTGGTGCGCTGCTGCGCTGCCAGCACGCCCTCCAGCGCGCCCTGCAGCTGCCCGCTGCGCACCAGCAGCCGCTCGCTGCTGGCCGCCAGTGCCGCCTGCAGCGCCTCCGTGTGCGCCTGCCGGGCGTCAAGCTGGGCGGCGTGGGCCAGAACCTGCGGACATGGGGAGGACGGAGGAGGGTGACGTTCATGCGAGGGTTACCGGTACTCGTTAAAAGGCTGTAAATGGCGGGGAAGAGGGAGTACAGGGTTTGAGAGGGCGGTTGGTCGCTCACCTGCTGCCACTGCAGCCCCGCTGCCGCCGCGTGCTGTCGCTGCTGGTGCTCCAGGTCGCTCATCTGCTCCAACAGCACCGTGTGACGGCCAGACAGCTCCTCCTGGGGGGTTATGGCGGCAGGAGAGGGCGGGTGGGCCGGCGGGTGGGTTGGGGATGAAGAGGAAACAACTAACTGACTGAGGGATGGGGGGGCGGAGGAGGGTGGTAGTGGGCAGCAGGCACAGCCGTCCGTTCCCTCTCCAAAGGCCATGCGTGGACGGTATTCCTAGGCGACTTGATGCTGCTCTTCCCGCCTCCTTCCTACCTCCAGGGCCAGCGTGTTGTTGACTTGCTGCTCTATGACCGCCGCCTGCTGCTGGATGACCCCCAGCCGCAGCAGCCCCTCCTGCAGCCCATCCGCCAGCCCCACCTGATCCACATGCAGCTGCAACGGGAGGCAAAACGGGAGGCGGCGGCCATGGCGGTTGGGTAAGGAGGAAGGGGAAGTCTGGGTTCTCACTTCCTAGGCAGTGGTTCCAGGGGAATGGGAAACAAGCTAGCCACGCCAGCAGCGAAGGGCAGCCTACAACGGTAGCCAACTGACACAACGACATGCGGCAAGCCAGAAGGGGTGTGAAATGTAAGATGTCTGCCAGCGCTCAAGGTTCCCAGGTTTGTCGAAGGAGGGACGGATGGGTCCTCCTGAATGGGGCCACCTCGCACCTGTGTCATGGCCTGCTGCAGGAGCAGTTGCTGCTGCTGCTGCGCCTGCAGGCCTGCAGCCACGTCCGCAAGCACCTGCTGCGCTGCACCTGTTGCATGGAAAGGGACCAGCAGCAGGAGGTGGGGGGCAACGAGGGAGCGGAGGAAGGCTTGTCTCTGGATCTTTCCAGTAGTGTGCAGCAAGCAAGTGGTACAGCTAGGGCATGCGAGTGACAATGCGAAGCACTGGGCCAAGGATTGCGGTAAGGAGTCCACGACACAGTCGAAGTGTGCGTTCTCAGGCAATTTGTGCGACGTCTACGCCAGCACTCGCGCCGGCTCCCCACCACCGCCTTGCCCCACATCTTTATTCTACACCTCCTGTACAGCTCGCCAGTTCCTTCCTCTTTTTACCCCCCCTACCGCCCACCACTACCGCACGCCGCACCTGCCCCCAGTGCCAGCTTGTTGAGCAGCTGGGAGGTGTGGCGCTCGAACTCCCGGTTGGAGACGTAGAGGCACAGGCTGATGGGGGGTAAGGAGAGGTGGGGTATACATAATCCGCATTAGGCTGGATAGCTGGGTTAGCATAATTGTAGAGGGTGGGATGGAGGAGGAGAGAGGGCAACAGCAGGTATCATGTAGCATGTAGCATGTCTTCGAAAGCTTGCACCAATAAGCTTCAGGGCAGGAACTGGGAAGGCAAGGACATAGTGGTTGGCACACGCGCAGAGCACCCCCCGCAAACGCACGCACGTGTGTATGTTGGTGAAAAAGGTGTTGTAGCTTGCGAAGGCCCGGTCGTCCAGCTGCCCGGAGCACTCCCGGTGGCTCATGCGCGGGCTGCAGGAGTAACCGGCGTGGCCGTTGGCGGTTAGGAAGCAGATGTTCATGGCATGAGCTAGCTGCGGGCGGGGTGGGGGTAAAAGAAGGATATCCAATGTGTGGTGTGATAGTGGTAAATTGCCTGTAGCTGACAAGGGGTGGAGAGGGGTTGGCGGCCATGCCGCGATGCGGGTTCGTTAGCGTGTGAGGTTTGGTTCATCGCTCATGTGTCTTCTTGGGAACACATGGCAACGGTAGCGTTGTAAGGGTGACAACGCGCACATGCTGGCCTACACGTACGGCGGATGCGTGGGTTGGCGGGGTGGCATGACACGCGGTTTGCACAGGGGCTTCTACCTTGTACTGTTGCTCTGTTGTCATGCTGTTACAGTCGCGGTTGACCTGCATGGGGAATTGGGAAAGAGGGAGGGTTTGGAAGCGCGGCATGAAGCATGGGCTTAATAGTGTGACGCCTAAATCGCCATAGCATAATGCAAAGGGCCATGGCGTCCCACAGGGCGCGGCGGAAGGTGCGATAGCCGAAGAGCGACTCGGTTAGAACGACAAGAATACCCTTGCGATAACATAATATGAATATTAAGGCCCGTTCTACGCTTGCATTCCAACTGCTGCCTCTAGTTGCCCCTACCGACGGCTTCTCATCTTCCTGCTGTTTGCGCACCTGGAGGAGCGCTTGCGAGTAGCAATCACGGCCGAAAAGGCTTTGAATGAAAGATTCACGGTCGGATAGCTCGCGCAGCTGGTCATATGCGTCTGTTGAAACCGGAGGGGCTCGGTCGGTGGCAATGCGAGGGAAGTCGACGCAAGCAGAAGCAGCATTTTACCTTTTGTTCGTGTCGCCACCGCATTGGGTAATTCGTGATAGGCTAGAGTATCCATAGCACTTGAGATCGCGACATGCAGTGCAAGGCACAGCCCGACGACCCACGGGTGCCTCCCCATTGTAAGTATCCGGACTGTCATAACATCTAACGGTTAGTACAAATGCTGCTGCTCACATCGGTAAATAGCAATCCTAGTCAAGTTGCTGAAAGCTTTGCGCCGAATCACGTCTTACCGTACATCTACCACGATCCGTTACCAATGCAGGTGCACAACCTATTCGATCCATCAGGTGCAGCAAGTAAATCCCTGTTATACTTATTATAGCTGCGAAATCCATTAGTGCATTAACTTTCATTTGTTGAGCAAGCAATGAGTGCGCAACTGAGAAGCGCTTGCCGCCCCTGTGGATTGGGACACAGTAAAAATGTTACACATCGACGGAGACCCTTCATAGGTGCTCGTCGTCCTTTACCGCGCGTTAGGTGGGCTCGGCTGCATGGTGCAGTGCGTACCACTTTGGCTGCCCTCCATGACACCCCAAAGCTATTACTTATAGGGCAGCAAGCGAGGAGGTGGACCTGGAGGCTCAGGTGGAGCTTTTCATGAGGCGCCAGGCTGAGATTGAGAGCGGAGGTGTGTGATGGCTGTGATGTTTGCGAGCACCAGGCACCGAACTGACACCAGCTCCTGCTTAACGGCCCCCCTCAGCTGCATTTGTGCGCGCCAAGGGAGTGGAAAAGGTCATCGGCGCCGACCTCGTGAGCGATGAGGTGGGTTGGGGCGGGTTTCGGGGGCTCTGTTGTTTGGGCAACAGCACACCAACAAGCCGAGTGCCGCCGACCTCCTACGCCCCCCTCAGTCACCAACCACACGCTGCCTTCCCAAGCCCTCCCCACCCCTTTGCACACCGTCACCAACAACAATCGCATCCGCCGCCTGCGTGCGTAACAATAACGACCGGTACCCACAATTACCTGTCAACGTGTCCCTTCCTCTTTGCCCTGCCTACACACCTAATACGCGCTGTCCGCCTCGCTCTACCTATGCCCATCCTCCTCCCCCGCGTGCCTGTCTCCGCCCCCCTCTGCCCCCTCTCCCCCCTCCCCCCGCCCCCCTCAGCTTGCCCAGCAGTACTGCGGGCAGATCTTCGAGGTGCTCAAGACGCTCAAGCGCACCCGTGACATGAGCTTCAACGAGGTGAAGCTCATCGTGTCCATCGAGGACCCCCGGGCGAGGGAGCGGCGGGCGGCGGACATGGAGGTGCGGGCGCGGGAGGCGAGGGGGGTTACGGGGCAGGGGAGGGAGGTACGGGCAGGGGGGGGGGTGCGGGGCAGGGGAGGGGAGTGGCTGTGGATGTGGGTGAGGTGTGGCCAGGGGGGGTGAAAGTAAGGGGACTGACGAGGCGACTAACGAGCTGTGTGACAAGCCTTCACCATGGGTTGCAAACAGAAGGCCAGGGGGCAGGGGGGCGGATGTGGGTGGGGCAGGGGAGAAGGCAACCGGCGGGTATGGAGATGGAGTAGCGCGGGGACATGAGATGGGGTAGGTCTGAAGGAGGAGGTGGGCCGCCCTCGCTTCCCTCTCCCGACCGCCCTCCCGCCCCCTCGCCCCTCCAGGACGAGCGCGGCGTGTCGCGTGATGAGATGGCCGCGGCGCTGGTGGAGATCGGCGAGGGGCGCATCCCCAACGACCGGATAGCGCTCAAGTGCCTGCATGATGAGATGCTGGGATGGCCCTTCCTGGAGGTTGGAGGAGGGGGAGAGGGGCAGGGGGCGCAGGCGGCAGCGGCAGCGGGCGGCAAGGCGGCAGCGGCGGCAGCAGGGGCTGGGGGGCAGCCACAGCAGCAGCCACAGCAGCAGCCCAGCGCTTCGGAGTATGCAGCGCTGATGGGAGGTGGGTGGTGCCTTGGGTGGAAAGAGCTTGGGCTGTGGACGGGAGAGAGGGGGTTGGTACTGGGGAATGGTTGTGGAGGGGCTTCCCCAGCAGGAAGGAGAGCTAGCGGGCGGGCGGCAGCGACAGGGCTAGGCTGGGCAGGGTCGAGTGATTTGAGCGTGGGTATAAATGACGTTGACAGAGGTTCAGGGGGAGCTGAGCAGGACTGGCATCTGGGAAGGCCGTGTGTTAAAAAAAACTGGCCGCGGTGCGTGTGTTTGGGCCTCTGGGGGCCGTGCTGCGGCCCCTGTGCCTCCGGCTGCGGCCAGGGACCGCGGCAGTGTGCTGGTGCGGGTGCTGGTAGGCCCCGGGGCGGCCACAACGGCGCGCATGTGCACCTGCAGCACCGGCATCTTCCAGACAGCCCGGGCAGTTCCTGCAGCAACGGCCAAACCTCACAACTGCCGCCTCAACGGTAACCGCAGTACAGTGCGCTGTCCGCTTCAGCCACCGCCACGGGGGCAGTCCGGAGCTGCACGTGAGGCCGGAACCTGTGCCTGTGCCGGGTTCTAACCAGGTCACCAGCGCTTGACGTCTCTTCCTTCCTTTCCCTCCCCCCTCCTCTTGTCCCCCCCCTCAGGCGACACCGTTGCCAAGCCCTACGTGATGAGCGACTCCCTGCGTCAGGGCGAGAAGCCGCAGTCGGTGACCGACATGTTGCCCGGCTGGGTGGGGTACGGCATGTTGTACGGCGTGAGCGCCATTCCCGTCATGATAGCGCTGGGCACTGTGGCGCTGCTGTTCTTCAGCTCGCTCAAGTAATTCAAATTTGAATAACAATGGATCCACATGGGAGCTGATTGGGAGTAAAGCTCGCTCAAGTAACAGCGAATCCGCATGATTCACGCATTCGATTCATGGGAGCAGGACGGGGGGGAAACGTTTGCGGGGGTGGTGTGGGGGGCATGGGGGTGTTTAACAGGGTTAGGGCTGGGAGTAGTAGCGGGAGGGGGCTGCATGCATGCTGGCCCCTATATATCCGCTGGGGAACTTGGACGCTCCTGTGCAGGGGGAGGGACTCGGTCGCTGCGTGCCCTATGCCATGCCATGGGTGCTGTTGGGGATTCAGGGGGGGGGGCTGAGTATGATTGTAGGTGCGCTGGTAAGCAGTGTAAGAGGTGTTGGGGTTGGAGGGCATTTGGCAGGAGCTAGTGGAGATGAGAACGGGTCGTGGAGTGGAGAAAGATTCGAGAGGGTTTGGAAAGATGGCAAAGAGTGAGGCAGTGAGACATAGGGTGGAGTGAGTTGGAGGGGGCGGTGTTAGGAGAGGTATGAAGCAAGGGTGAAGAGGTCGAGGTGGGGGGCATCAGTAGGGAGAGCCGAGAGTGTCCACTCGTAGCGGCTGTGTTGGAGGAACCGCTGTCCTGCTGTACGTCAGCTGACATCATGCAACCGTTTGAAAGTTTTGCGCACCCGTTTGTGCGGTAGCAGTGAACGGGGATGTACAGGTAGGTATGGGGAAGTGCGGCTCCTTCTTCGAGGCCTTATCTTAGTAGTGGGTGACGCTGGACTAACCCCCTCGTCTGTCTATCTTGGTCCACTTGGACCATCGAGCTTTGTAAGCATTAAAGTTGGACTCGCGGGGTTGGGTGATCACAAGACGTCCTGGGACGAGGTGGTTGATGAGCGCAACAGTCTCTCGCATGCTGAGCATAGCGATTCCCTGCACTGGTGGCTCTGGAATTCCACGACAGCACAAAGTGCAGTGTTTGCTCTCCCACTTTGGAAAAGCCGGGGTACCGAGGTCCTTGCCACGGATGTGCAGAAGATGCGAAGTACCGGTAGTGCGATTATTACTCCCATGATAGTAAAGGGATAGGTCAATTAAAGCATAGTCTTACGCGTCCATAATCCATCGTCTTCATGCGTGAGCCTTCATGGGAAGCAGGCCAATCCGTACACGGCGACCCCATCATTTGTCAGGTTCTTGTTTCCTACAAACACATCCAATAGTTAAATAACTTCGACAATCCACACATTTCCTCTATACACCTATACCGACTTGCATCGTCAGCGTTATTTGCGAACACTGTGTGTGAACACCACAAGCAGTCGAACAAGCGGCCCTGGCGCTACATAGGCGGCCTTTCATGGCTCTCAGCGAGTTTGGGCAAGCTTTTCTCGAGAATCTGAGGGATTTGACGACCCCTGATAGGCGGTCCATTGTGACTCTCAAGGACTTGGCGTTCGAGAATGTTGGGGAAGCTGGAAGCGTGGTGCGGGCAATCCGTCAACACATTAAGCAGGTGTGTCCTGAACGGCTTTTATGTCTTTGACAGTTCTGGGTGTTTCCCAAGTGTGCGTCCGCCGGCAGGGGTACCTTTTCACCTTGTTTGGTGCGTGGTATTTCAGTGCAGAAAATGATGCTTAATCATTCTGTATTCCTGCTTTGCAGTGCCCGGCGTCCCACCGCCTACCAGCACTTTACCTAATGGACTGCATGCTGAAGAGCGACCCCTGCCCGCCAGTCTACGCGGAACAGATAGGACAGTCCCTATTCGAGGTTAGTTCAGCATCCATTAGCCGGGATGAAACTTAAAACAGTACACGCTTAACGCTTCTTTGCGCTGCAGATCTTCGGATTCATGTGGGATAACGCGGACTCCTCAACGCGGGCGGCCCTGACCAAGGTCTGCAATCTTTGGCGCTCTGTGGGACATCTGGACCAGAAGGTCGTTCAGGCCTGTGAGGCGCGTACTATGCCTGTGAGCCGGACGTCCACGTCAGCGGTCCCACCCGCTGTTGGAGGAGTGCTTCCTCCGCCTGGCTATCGGGGCTATCCGGTGACTCAGCAGCCGCATGCCACGGCATCGTATGTTCGGCCCCCGGCCACTATGGGTAACGGTGTTTCCTTTGATACGCGGGTATCAGGGCAGGCGCACCCACCACCGCAGCTGTCAGCTGTGCAGTACTCAGCTCCATTCCCTGTGCGGCCCGCATACAGTGCGGCACCGCAGCAGACAGTGCTCCTGCCCATGCAAGCTTTCCTCCAAGCACAGCAGCCATTGCAGCAGCACGTGCATATTGTTGCTCCCACCCAGCAGCTTGCATTTGCACAGCACCCAGCACCCCTGCACTACCCCGGGGCGCCCATGGCTCCGCCAGTTCAGGCGGCTGGCCCACTGGCGCCATCTGGGTTGTTGGGTATGCATGCATCGTCCCTGCCAGCTGTACAGCGTCACGGCATCCGGCAAGCTAGCCCTCAGCCGGGTGCTGGGAGCCCTCAGCATCCCCCGCAACCAGCGGCACGGCCGCGTTCGACCGAGTTTCCTGGGCCGCATGCCCTGAAGGTAAATTGCGTGGCGGTTGTGAGTTTTTGTGAGTGTGCTAGATGCTTAGGAGTGTCGGGCTTGTGGAGTGGCGTGGTTGGGTTATGGGTGCTTTACCGCTGTTTGCGCCCAGTCCTGGCGCTCTTGTTCGTTCTCCCAACTCTCAACAATGTAAGAAACGGCAGCCGTATCCAGACTAATTCACAGAACGTTTCGGGCAGTGGACTGGTTTCCAACCGACAGCGATTCAGTTAGCGAAACCAAACAACAATCAGCCGACGTTTTTAATTAGGAACTGCAACTTCTACGGATTGCAGGAACTTGACGCAACGGCAGTGCAAGATCTGCTTGAAGCATCTAGCCGCACGAGACCGGCTTTCTTGGACGCTGCATTTCTGCGGAACAAACGGCGCACTACACAAGCTCAGACGGGTACCCCGTCACGGCAATGGTACCCATCAGCGGACCTCTGGCTGGTTGGCGCGTCTGCGGCACCGGAAGAGGCGCAGGTGTCATTGGAGGTGAGCACCTGGGATGTCTGAGTAGTCGCAAGGGAACCGCGGTTAATGCTTAATTGTTATTGTAGGAGGATGAAAACAAAGAAGAAGAGGAGAAGCTCTACTTCGTCGAGGAGGATCCCTCACAGCCTGAATGCGCTATTTCGGGCGAGCCGTTCGATCGCTTTTATGATCCCGACTCTGATAAATGGTGCTATAAGGACGCCGTGCTTCTCAGTGGCGACGACGCTGCCAAGTAAGTGTATTGCTATGTGGTCCGGATGCTGCTTTGTGCTGGGACTCATCTTGTGGCTTCGCGCTTGAGCCTGGCACCTATTGTTATGACTTCGTATACGGTTTTCCTATGACGTCGACCTTAGCTTCTATGTGAGGTTGTCCAACCATTCCCCAATGGGCAAATGATGCATACTTCAACACAGCGTTCCGCACTACATATCAATTCCATTTACTACGAGGTCATCTATACGCCCATCCCGCTTTATGACCGTACAGGTATGGCGTCATGGATGGCTCCATCGTGAAGGTGCAATGCTTGGCCGGTGCACCCTCGAAGCTTCAGCTAGCGACGCTCAGAGCGGCCAGTGCCACGGCAGCTGCTGCGGACGAGCTGCGGCAGGCGGCTGCCCACCCGGATGTCGCTGGCAGCAGCGGCAGAGCTGCAACACCCTTGGCTGGGCCAGCATCAGGGACAGCAGCAGTCGGCGGTCAGCCATTGCCCGTAACACACGCTGCCGGCGGAGCCTACTACCCGCCGCAGCCGCAACAAGGCATAGTGGTGAAGGAGGAGCAGCATGCGGGGATGCCGGTGGGGATAGTCGGGGAGCCAGGCGGAGGCTCTGGGACCAAGCGGCTAGCTGGCGAGGTGGACGCGCGTCAAGGCGCCATGGGGATGGTTGGCGCGGGTGTAGGCTTTCAGGACCCTAAGCGGGTGAAGCTGGAGGTTCAGTGACGGGGGGCTGGAGGCGGGGTATGGAGGTTAGCATTGCAAAAGAGCGTTGTGTATGGGGGTTAGCGATGCATACAGGCTTGTCGCTGGTTTGAGCGATATGGGTGAGCACGCGGTGACATTTTACTGCCTGTCGTGTGCCTGGTCGCTGGGTTATGCTGTACACGTATGGTGGATACGGGACCTGTGGTTATAGCTGTTCATGACCAGGACACGTTGCTCGCTAGCCTAATATGTGTTTGCGTCCGTACTTTGAGATTAGGTGCAGGAGTCAGGCCAGGCATTTTGCTGTTGCATGGGTTGCATAATGGCAGTAGCCGAAGCGATTGGCGTCCAGGATCGCTCCGCTGTATCACTAGTAGTCGTAGATGTTAGTTCATAGCTTGAAGTGCATTACTCTAGATGAGTTAGCAAGCGTTGGAAGCAGTGGTAAATGCCCAAGTTGAGGTTCACCCAGAACGCACAAGCAGGTTCTGGCTAAGGCGCGTTTCGAACACAAACCGTATGTTTGCTTAACACTGGGCACCTGTAAAAACAAAGGTGTGCTTCTTGGCTTCCCTACAAAATATAGTCTCTAGTATCGGCATCCCATTTCTCGTCGGCACTTCTTGATGAATACCAAGCTAACTGGACGTCAGCACTGTTTGGTTTCTAGCAGCCCATTATTAGCAAGCAAATGGCAGCGCCTGCCAGGGTGTTGGAGTGGGCCACAACCTACAGCGGTCTACATAAGTACGCATGTGTCCCAGTTTGCAAAAGCGCGACACGAGAGTCCAGCGCGCACAGATACGCAGCTTGCTGCTACGGCTAAAGGAGATGCGCCGACAAGTACGCTTCGTGAGTTCGGGTAGGTGTTTATGTCAAAGTCATGCGAGGCGTCGCGACATGCAAGCGGCGTCCTTACCTGTCGAAGAACCGAGCGTTGATGTCTGTTATGCATCCTAGCAACATGCATGCCCCTTCCTGCCGCCACCCGTGCTCACAACGTGTCGTGCGCGCCAGAACCCATAGCGAGTTCAGCGACCCACTCCGCCATGCCCCTTAGGCACACTCCGTGTCACATACAATGCTACGTCAAGCGCACCCAGTTACTTACGTCATCTGAGATGCGCCTTTATCGCACGTCCGTTCCTGATCCCTCTTCGTCCTTACTTCACCTTTGTCCATCCTCTACGAGTCCAATCGATGCCTCCTCTCCAACACCCACACGGTCCTCTTCGCCACCTGCCTCCAGCCCCACCTCACCCCCGTTTCCCTTGCACATGTCACGATGCTCGCAGCTTTGCCAAGGACTTTGCCGAGCGCTACGATTTGGGCCGAGCCATCGGCTCGGGCAGCTTTGGCACGGTGCATATCGCCACGGATAGGGCGACGGGGCAGGAGTGAGTATTCCTGTTGTGCAGCGCCGCAAAGGGGCTGCGATTGGGGCTAAGGACGGGGGAAGAGGGGGCCTGGTAGTACGTGGGACGTGGAACAGGGCGTCCGCGACTGTGGCTACTAAGGAGGTTGTTGGCACTCTGCTGGGTAAGATCCCACTCCCCTGTTGATCCCTGCCCCTCCCCTGCCTCCCCTGCCTCCCCTGCCTCCCCTGCCTCCCCTGCCCTCCCCCAACAGGGTTGCAGTCAAGGTGATTACGAAGCGCATCCTGGGCGGCTACCTGGACCCCGTGTTCGTGAGGCGCGTGCAACACGAGGTGAGGGGTCGCATGGGACCGGCAGGGGCAGGGTCCGGGGCTGAACTGACCCGGGGGTCACTTCCCTCCCCTGCTGCGGGCCAACACCCTCCCTCTCACCGCTTCTGGACACCCCATGCTGCTGTGCCGCGATGCGGTCAGGGTCTTCCTCTTGTTGTTGATGCTAAACGCATCACTGCCGTACAACTGCCGTACAACTGCCGTACCACCACCGCCACCACCCCTCGCAGGTGGACATCTACAGCCACGTGGGTCACTCTCTCAATGTGGCCTACCTGTACGGCGCGTACGAGAATGCCGTACACGTGAAGCTGGTGATGGAGCTGTGCAAGGGTGAGTGGAGTGATGATGAGGGGGTGGGGGGTGACTGGTGACTGCTGCGGGGGTGGTGGTGGTGGTGGTGGTGCACCTGGGGACATCAGGGGGACGATGTGGAAGATGAGGGCTGCAGGGATGGCCCTGGGATCAGGTGAGAGTGCGGCTGCTGGTACTGCAGCCCATGCCTGCCTGTCAGGCTGTCAGCCCATTCAGTGCACACGAGGGGCCTCTCCTCTCCTCTCCCCTCCTCTCCTCTCCTCTCCTCGCCGAGGAGCCTCTTTTCCCCATTGTGTGCCCTTGCCCCGCCCGAGCCGCCAAGGCATGCTACGGCAGCGAAGCGATGCGCTTCCCTGCTACACACACGGAGAGGGATGGAGAGTGTTTTCCCATCATTAGTTATTGTTAATTAAGCAGTCAAACAACGCCTTAGGCCCTGGCCCTTACCCCGCCCTAACCCCCTTACTTCATGCCGGCTCACCCGAAACCCCCTGGTGCCCTCCCCTGCGCCTTTCCCCACCACCCCACCACCACCCGCACCCCCGCTCACCCGGTCGCACCCCCCGTCAGGCGGCGAGCTGTGGACTCGTGTGCAGCGGGGCAAGTACTGCGAGGGCGCTGCGGCAGCACTCGTGGCAGAGATACTGCGGACGCTGGCGCAGTGCCATGCTAAAGGTGGGGGAAGGACGGTGAGGGGATCAGGGGAAGCATGTGCGTGTGCTAAGAAAACTGGCATGTGCGTGTGCGTGTGTGTATGGGTGACGGTTGGGCACGGGTGCACGGGTATTTAGGGTGCAGGGGGCGCAGGGGGCCGTATACAACAGCGTAAGACCCAATGGGTGTTTCCTCCAATTTCCTCTTCCTCCTGCCCTCGCTCTCTTCCCTTTTACCCTCCCCCCCCGCTACCAGGTATCGTGCTGCGCGATGTGAAGCCCGAGAACTTCCTGTTCCTCACCCCCGCCCCCGACGCGCCTCTAAAGATGATTGACTTTGGGTTGGCAACCTACTGCAGGTGGGCAGGAGGGCTGGGGGGAGGGCCGGGGGGGCAGGAGGGAGGGAGGAGGACGGGCTGGCAGGAGGGAGAGCCGATTCTTTCACTTAACACCCTTCCCTGTGGTTCCCTCCTTGTCTTTTCCCACTCAGCATCCCCCGTCCCTCCCTCCCTCCCACCCTCCATATCCCCCTGCACAGGCCGGGTCAGGTACTGAGTGACCGAGCGGGCTCACCCCTGTATGTGGCGCCAGGTAAGGCCCTGGGGAGGGGGGAGTGGAGGTGGGGAGGGGTAAAAATAAATGTCAGCATATAAGTGCAGCAACGAGTCCCAATCCCATATCCCGACTCATGCAGTGAGCGCATTCGAGGGAGGGGTAAGGTGGAGGGGAGGGGAACCGCAGGGGAGATAGCAGGGCGTCACTCATCCTTCCTTACCCAACCCGCCTGCCCCACCCTACCCCTCCCTCCCCCCTCCCTGCCCCCGGCCAGAGGTTCTCAAGCAATCCTACGGTCAGAAGTGCGATGTATGGAGTGCTGGGGTGATCGCCTACCAGCTGCTCACGGGTCGCTTCCCGTTTGAGGACGAAGACCAGGGCTTGCTGCTCAGCTCCCTAGATGTGCTTGGCAACGGCAACGGAGACGCCGGAGACAGCGGCACGGGAAAGCCGAAGAAGAAGGCCAAGAATTTTACAAACAAGGAGGTTTTCTTCGCGATCCTGTACGGAGATCTGGATTTCGTACGACCGCCCTGGAACGAGATCAGCAGCCTGGCGAGGGAATTCGTATCGACATTGCTACAGCGCGATCCAAACGTACGGCCAACTGCTGCCGAGGCGTTGCAACATCCCTGGATCCGGCAAAACGATCCTGCAAGTGCCAGTAGCGCTAGCAGTTTAAGTAGTTGTACGGCATCGTTATCGTCGATGGAAGATATTTCCGTAGACAACTTGGTATCCATGGATGTGGCAAACGGACCCACGGGTCTGGCCTCTGCCATTGCTCGGGACGTAATCCGCGGGGCCGGCAGCAGCAGCAGCAGCAGCAGCAGTAAAGCTGCTGGAGGTAACGGCAGCTGTGGCTGTAATGGTAGAGGCCACAAGAGCTCGAGTGGAGGCAACGGCAGCAGCAGCGGCAGTCGCACTGGTTCCCGGTCGTTGAGTGATTCGTTGGTTCAGCGGTTGCAGCGGTACGGCACGTACGGCCGGTTAAAACAGCTGGCGTTGCGGTGAGTGCGGTTGGGAGGGCGGCTGGCCAGCTAGCAGTCCGAGGGCTATGTCTGAAAGGCCGATTTGGGTTACGGCCGTCAGCTTGTCAGCCTGTGTGGTGGTTGTTGGTGCCACAATGCCACTGCCCCTTGAGTCGCATGAGCATGACTACCGGCGGTGCCCTGACACCGCCTCTGCCGCTGCATTCCTCCTACCCGTGGCGCCTCTCCCCTTTCCCCTCCACTCCTCCCGCGTGCGTGTCGCTCTTCCATCCTTCCACCTTCCCTTGTTACATCTTCCTCCCCCTCCCTCCTCCTCCATCCTCCTCCCTTTCCCCCTCCCTCCCTTGCCCCCAGTGCTATGGTGGGCCTCCTGGCCGCCAGCGAGCCGGAGCGCCTGTCCGCCCTGTCCGCCGCGTTCCGGCAGCAGCTGCACCCCCCCGAGTCACCGGGGTTACCGGGCGCCGAGGGGCGGCTGCCGTACGGTGCGGTGCGGGACATGCTGCTGAGGGAGTGGGACCTCAGCCCCACGGGTGAGGTGTAAAAATAAGGAAACTGACGAACTGTATGACGGAGGGGAGTCAAAGACCATACCAAACCATAGGAGACCATAAATTAGGGCAAAGCAATGACGGAGGGGAGGGGAGGGTGAGGGGAGATGAGGGCAGGAGGCTGGCAGGCAGGGAGGTGCATGCAGCAGCTGCACGCACTGTAGCCGGTTTGCGGCGAGCAGTCTGGGCTTGCAACGCCCCTTCATTGGCTCTCCTTGCTCACACCTTTGTCGGGTTGCCCGCACCCGTCGTGTGTTCCAACTATTACCCTCTCCCCCTTCCCCATGCAACCCCCCCATTCGACCCCCCCCCATGCAACCCCCATATTGGATATTCCCCCCCCCCCAGAGGCCATGCAGCTGCTGGCCGCCTTCGATGTGGACGCCCGGGGCTGTGTGGACCGCCTCGAGTGGCTGGCGGCGCTGGTGGACTGGCGGGAGGTGTGGGGGGGGGGGCGTGTGTGTGTATGGGTGGGCGTGTGTGTATGGGGGGATTGTGTTTACCAAAGCTGGCAGCGAGTGTGTGTGGCTGAGGGTGGTTCGTGTGTTAAAATAACTGGCCGCGAGGCGAAACGTACTGTGATTGCCGAAAGATGGAGTCCTCCCACCGAAAACGCCACAGGTGAAGTGAAGTCCGTTGGCTATGTTGTAATAGAGCTATCGAGTAGTATCGGAATCAGTGTAAAGCAGTAATAGCAATGTCGTAACGCGACCGGACCTAAGGACCGGAGTAGTAAGTAGGTAGGTATAAGTAACCGTCACTGTCGTGTGTAAACTGGATGTAGAGAAGCTGTAGCTGTCGCTGAACAGGGGTAAAAGCAGGGGTGATGCCAAGACGTCGCAGTGCATGCTCGAGCAAAGCAGGACAGGAAAAACAAGTGCAGGACCACTATGTGCGTATGCGAAGATTACCGTAGACTGACCGTAGACTGACCGTAGACTGACCTGGTTCGTGTGTGTGTTAAGGGGGAATGATGGGTGCTGGCGGGGAGGGAGGAGGCTACCGTACACCAGCGGTGCCGCTATCCCTCAACGTCCCCTCCAAACCCCACCCGCACCGTTCCTCGTGTTCTCTCTCCCACCCCTCTTGTTTGGTTTCTCCTGCCTCTGTTCCACCCCGACTCCCGCCCCCCCCCCCGCCCTACACCCCCCCCTCCCGCAGGTGCAGCAGTCCCCTCGCTGGCCCTCCTACGTTGACCGCGTGTTCGACCTCTTCGACGTCTCCCACTCCGGCTCCCTCACCCGCAACAACCTACAACGGCTGCTGTGCAGCGGCTCCTTGGATCACAATCCGGATTCGGGCGACGGTGCAGATTTGGATTCGGGCTCGGGCTCGGATCTGGAGGAGTGTCCGTTTGACGACGTGGTGCCTGCAGCTCTGCGGGAGGCGGATTCGGATGCCGACGGTGCCATCTCGCGTCAGGAGTTCGGGGAGTTCCTGAGTGCGGGGGCGGCGGGGGACCTGCTTGAGTTTTATGAGAGCAGGAGGAGGCGGCGGAGGAGCCAGCAGGAGGAGGGGGGGCAGCAGGGGCAGGAGGAGGAGGGGAGGGGAGGGGAGGAGTGATGAGCAGGCAATGATGAGGCATTGACCCATGTAGCTCCGGAACCTCGCATGCGTTAACCGCCAGACCTGAGGCTAAGAGGAGGGAAGATATATGGAAAATGACGCAACTGAAGAGGAGGGAGGAGGGAGGGAAGCGTAGGGTGCAGGGGAAGAAAGGCCAGTGTTGGCTACAGCAGGGTCAGGAGCAGCTTGGGACGGAGCGTTATATCACTTAGCAGCGGCGGCACATGTGGGGTAGCAGCAGCGCGTTGTATGGGAGATGCGTTGGGGGGTGGCAGATGTCGCTAGGGATTTGCCGTTGGTAGGATGAAGGAGGAGGAGGAGGAGGAGGAGGAGGAGGTGGAGGAAAGGGAAAGTATCATGGTAAGCGTGAAGAGTCGTGCAGAGCCTCTTGCGGAAAGTAGGGTGGATGGGCAAGCGGGCCGTGTCCTGCATAGCGCCTGGTGAAAAGGTGGGGGTGGGGGTGGGGGGTGGGAGAAAGTGTGCATGCCTGTCACGTTCGTCAAGTGTTAACGTACCGTAAGGTTTCAAATGTACCGTTTCTAGTTGGGTGGGTTCATCGGCTTCTGCGCGATCTCGGTGTGTGCGCATGGGGGGTTAGGGATTTGCGTGGTCGTGCGGTATTCTGTGGGGCGATCTATCTGCCTTTTCATCATTTCCGTGCGTGCGCTTTGGGTACCCACCAGCACGATGTGCCCCTCCTGTTGCGTTGTTGATGTTCGGACTTGTTAGTTGTTCCTTCCGTTGGGTGGCGGTTGCGGTTGAGTCATGAGCGGTGATGACACTGATGAGCGCATGATGCTTTCCAATGCCAGCATAATATGGTCATTGTAGGGTATATGCGTTGACCACTTGGTCTGCTTGCGACATGCTTGCAGGCGGTTGTTGTTGTGCCCCGCCCACTGACTGTGTTTTGATCCTGGACTGTATTGATAGGGGGGGGGGTGCACGATACTGTTCGTGGTTTCGGGTTTTGGTTCGTGGTCCGCGGGCGTTAGTAGCCCTCATTGTGCACGGGCATGGTTGGGGTTTGTGTCCTTCCGCGCACCCCAGGGAAGCCTGGCTTGTCCAGTGCTGTTGGGCAGTGTTCCCCTTACCTGTACACTATTATTCCGATTTGAGACTTTGAGATGCGGCTCCTTGCTCCGTGTTCGGCCTTGGTGAGAAGCCCTTTCGAAAGGCCCTGAAGCCTGTGATGTTGTGATGCTGTGATGTTGTGCGAACAAGAGAGAGCATATGAATCGTAGTATGTGGGCATCAGCTGCGCACACGTACCTTAACACCTCGTTCGGGAGTGATGACCTGGAAAAGAGAGCGTCTTCGGCTGTGCAACAGCAGCCGTAGACACGCACGTCGATAACGGTATATGCCATCCAGCTTATACAGATGGGTGCTTGTTTAACAAGCAATGGGCGGCGAACCCCGCTCAACCATCTCCTACAAGCCGCAGTAAGAACCCTGGTAGCAACCTCCCTTGAGCTGCACCAAAGCAAACGGTAGCCAGCCAAGGCTAGAGCAACCCACGTTTCGCAGACCTCAACCGCCAACCGCCATGCGACATCTCCTCGTCACCTCCCGCCCAGTGCCCAACTGCCTGTAACCAACCCTTCCAAGGTACTCCTCGCAATAATCAACGCCAGCGTTCTACAATTCTCAGCGCATGGTATTCTTCAGTAACCACACCGGTGCAAGCACCAGTGCCGCTGTCCGCATACCGTATCTCCTTCCGGGTGTATCTGTTTATTTCAAAACCGCGCCCGGGCCTTCAAACCTAAGGTTGACACTCCCTTTCCTCCCATTACCTTTTCTCCACTTGCAGCCCACTACCCCTGCTGCCCATCCCAGCGCCCCGGCCCCATCCGCGCTCCCCTCCATCCCTCCACCTCACTCCACCTCACTCCACCTCACTCCAGCGCCCGCCGGCCCGTCGCAACCAGCCTGCGGTACAGCGGCAGCATCTCGCGGAACGTGGGAACCTTGCCGTACAGCACATCGCTCATCTGGACGGTGCTTCCGTACAGCTTGCGGTTGAGGTCGTTGTTGGGGCGCGTCTCGGTGCCTGAGGGTGGGTAAAGCACCCGCCTCATGACGGATAAAGCGTGATGGACGTGTAGTGGAGCGTGTATGATGATGATGGCCCTTGGGTCAGTCATCAAGACTTGTATGTCTGCAAGTACCGGTAAAGTGGCTGCTGCTTACCGTTAATGGATATGTTGACGAGCAGTCCTCCGGAGTAGCTGTACGCGAACACTGCGTTGCGGTTGTCAGCCTGAAGCAGCGGCAGGTGCAGCAGCGGCAGCAGGTGCAAGTGCATTGGGTGGTGATGAGCCCAGCGGGCAGCTTGCTGGGAAAGGAATGCAAACAGACACGAGGTGGACCCCTGTGGGCGCGATACAAGCTAGGCCAGCAGCCCGCCAAGCAACCCGCTTCACCCTTGTACGCCGACGCAAGCCCCTCTTACCCACAATCCTGTCCCAGCCGTCTCACTTGCACGCCCACATCCCAGATCCTCCCACCCCCTCTACCCCTACCTGCACCACCATCTTTCCCACCTCCCCTCCGCTCCCTCCTCCCCAACCCTCCCTCCCCTCTCCTCTCTCGCCTCATCCCCCCTACCTGCACGTCCAGATGGCAGCCCCGACCGAACGCCCCCGCCGGCACGCCGCTGCCCGCCCCCCCGCCCGTGCTGCACACCCGACCCAGATCGCTCCCCAGCGCCACCGGGCCGCCCTCCACCAGCCGCCGCAGGGAGGCGTACGACATGAGGGCCAGACAGGAGTCCACCTGTACGGCAGGTGTGTGTGTACGACAGTGATCTACGTACGACATGTAAAGCAATCATTTGCATAATGATGATTGAAATGCATTGTTGGCCTTGACGAGCATGGTGGGTGGCGACCGGACGCGTGAGTTTAGCTTGGCTACCTTGGCAGAACCGGGTGCGCTGGTAAAGGGGGAACGAGAGGGGGAGCGAGAGGACGGCGGCGGCAGTCGCCGTGCATGTGCATGTCACGGCAGGTAACACGGCGCATGAGGGGGTCATGTCATGCCATGTCATGACTCCCCGCCAATCAGTTCCTTCCTTCCTCCTTACCCACCCATCCACCCACCCCAGCCCCCCCCCCAGGGATTTTCAGCAACTTAAATCATTATCACACCACACTTTGGAATTTCTTTCAACCCCCCCCCCCACTCACCACCTCGTACCCCGCTGCCAGCCCCAGGCCCAATTGGGTTACACTGAAGTAAAGGGGACCCGACCACAGGGAGCTGCCGTACATGTCCTGGTATGAGGGTTGGGCCGTACATGTTCCGTAGCCGCTTCCGTCGTACATGTATGACGCATGTTGGCATGCACGGAGCGACAGCGGACACGCATGCATGCGTGTGTGCATGCAGCACCGCAGCAGGGAGGGAAGCAAGGGGCAACATGCATGGCGGTTTCAGGTGATGAGACGCGCCTCATGTATCGCATGTTCAGGGCGCTGCTTTCGGCAGCGGAGCGGCACATGCATCAGGGCCGTCGAAGCAGTCCCTCCCGCGCCCCCTTGACACCTTCACGATACGATACACTGCAGCCCCGCCCCGCTGCCCCGTCCCGCTGCCGACTCCTCGTACCTGCTCCAGTTTGCGGATGACGAAGCCCGACCCATGGGCCACTGTGACGCCCAGTGCGCCCTTGTGCACACGCACGAAGGCCAAACCCTGGAGGTGCGTGTGGGGGTGGGGTGGGGCGGAGTGTTTGCGGGGAGTTTCAAAAGCGTAGTGGACGAGGTTCCACATGTATGTATGTGCCGCTGCAAGCAACGCATGGAGTCCCATTCCTTGCCGCACCTCGCAGGCGTTTATCACTCCCGGCTGCATGGCGTCGTCATCATCATCGCTGCTGCCGTTGTCGGCGGGCCCACTCTTGCCGCCGCCTTGCTGGGGGTCTCCGGAGCCAGCAGCAGCAGCAGCAGGCGACTTGTTGCTGGCAGCAGTGAGTCGGGTGATCAGCTCCGCGGCCCAGGCTGCATCCGAGGCCCTGGGTGGTTTAGGAAGGTAGGTGTTCAGGAGCAGGGCGACCCACGGGTCACACGAGAAGTCACCGAGTCACCGAGTCGACTAACCGTCCAACGGTCCGACTGACGGACGATTGCGTGACTGACTGGCAAACAGACAGACAGACTATACCGTTAGGCGGACCAAGGCCCGTAAGCTAAGCGGGGGCTCGGACGCTCAGCGTGTTCGAGAGCTCTTAGGGGACTAAATGGATGGTCGTGAGCGCGCGTTCCGAACAGCTCACAGCTGCTTGCTCAAGGCCGGATCGTGCATCTCGCGCAGTTCAAATCTTGGCGCCACTGCTGCTGGCCGCTGCTTGGAGGACTCCACTGTTGCTGCTGCTGCGGGCGCTGCTGCGGCTGGAGCGTCCAAGGGTACCCCCATCGCTGCTGCTGCGTCCTTACTTGTCATCAGCTTGCCGCTGTCGGCTGATTGGCTTGCGTTGCACGCAGCTGCAGTAGTAGCTGCTGTTGTTCCGATGTTACTAGGTTGCTGGGTCCCGTTTGGCACCTAGCTACCGCAAAGGAGCTTAGCGATCAATAGTGTAATATAGCTAGCGCTTTTGTTGTCAGATGCTAGTTGAAGTAGATGCGGAATCGGTCGGGATGGAAAAAGCTTGGGTTTAAAGCGAAGCGGTACGATCTCTCGCAACTGAGCAGCTATAACTGTGCGTGAGGAGCTTCTCTATCTTTTTCCTGTTGTCCGTTCGGTTTAAAAAAGTAAGCAGGTCTATGGCCAAGCTAATTCTCGTGCCGTTGTAAGTACGGCGCACCGTAGCCCCTGCTGACTCCCGCGGTACGGCAGGTCCGGTGATGATGGTTACAACATTGCGGGACCAGCTGCGGGTCCATGCTGCGAGGTGGGTTTGAACCCAGCAGCAGGATTTGCAGCGGGGCCAGCGATCGAGCGATTAGCCCGGCCCCGGCCAGGCGGATCACATCTACCCTGAATGGGCAACAGCCGGGTACCAGCCGTACGAAACGTGCTACACCTCCTCCCCACCCCCGCAGCTTGCATTCCTTCACGGTATGTGCTCAGCCACCGTCTCTATCCAGCCACCGTCCTGTCTCCTGCTGTGGCGTCGGTTGGGTGTAAGCAGCAGTAGACGTACGTACCCCACAACTTATGGCGGATACGTGCCGCCTTTCCCCACCACGCGCCTTCCCCTAAGCTTGGGAGTCCGACACACGGCACCTCTAAGCTAATCAAGATAAGACACGTGCATGCACGGCGCGTATTATTACTATTACACATCATGCATGCCATGAACCGCCGCCGGCAGGATGGAACGACCCATGGGTCAGCCCCATCACTTCATGTGCTCCGCCAGCCATATCCAGGGTGGGACGGGCAGCTGGTGGTGGTGGCGATCCCCACCACG